TTCGAGAAAACAAGGAAAATATAATTTTTGCGGCATCTTACTTTTAACAAGATTGTAACAGATTATAACACCAAAGCTGTTTTAAAATTTTGATACGTACCCGAGAGAAGGAACAACAATACACTCGACTCCCGATAACTCGAACCCTCGCTAACTCGAACTCCCGCTCAGACTCGAACCAATTTTCGTTTCCCCTCAGGTCATTTTCTATATAATTTTACCCACGATAACTCAAACTATGTTTTGAGCTCTTAAAAAGTCGGGAAAAAAGCCGTATACTGGCGTCGGAAACATTGAATTTTGGATTTCCTATTGACGTGCTGTAGGAGTATAGTTTACTAGTGGAAGGTGATGTTGATTGTCACAGGCTAACGTGAAGTAGCTTTTCTTCTCAAAAAAGTAAACCGCATGCTCTATGTAGGCTATCTTTTAATTTGTTACGTTACGTTCTGATTTATAATCTCGAAGTATCTTTTAATTTTCACTTCACATTTCTACAATTAAATGTGATTGAAATGTTCACTGTGCAGCAAAAACTGTTTTTTACCTTACTCTCGGCTATTTTCTTCCAACTCCCGATAACTCGAACCTTTTTTCGATTTCCCTTGAAAGTTCGAGTTATCGGCAGTCAACTGTAGTCTTTTGACATATCAGGAAAAAGTTTCCACCGCATGTGACGGCTGGGACACGAAACGAAATTAAAAACACAAAACACGAAGACGAAATCCAGACAGTTCAGTAAATTTAACATGTGATACCTCTTTATATACAAAAAGGATACGTATTTTCTGTTAATGAAAATACTGACTAGGGAAACGGAAGGCTATCTTTGTGGTCTTGTAACCAGTTGGAGGCAGAAGAGCAGTCATCTTTTGTGTTGATGTGGAAGACAAAACCAAACTAGACAAACAAGATCTTTTCCCCTTTTTAGGAAGCATTCACAAGCAATTAAACAAAGAAACGACGCTGTAAACTACTATGTTTCTCGAAATAGCACTGAATTGCGTGATTATCATTTAATTGCAGGTGTTGTGACATGTGTGGCAGAACTTGTCAACAATCAATTTTATCGAAGAATCTTTTGCGCTTCATACGTCTCCGCAGAAATAACATTTCTTTTTGGAATTGATTTAAAAGAAGGTTCTCAATTTCAATTTTAATCATCTAAAAGTTGAAAATTTGAAAAAAGGTATCGATTTTTACCATGGATGGTACCTTAAGTATTTTAGTGGCATCTTCCCCATATTATCATGGATTATGTCAATGTTTCTTTCTGAATTTTACGCGCCCTCTCTAGATAGTCCTCAGTCCTTTGATAGTCACCTAGCTTTATGTACGATGTTCTTAGGTTTTCATACGCTAGAGCTTTTACGCGTTTGTTCCCAGTTTCGTTCTTTTCCAAATTTAAGTGCTCTCTCATGATACTCCACAGCCCTTTGATAGTCACCAAGAGCATGGTACGTAAGTCTTCAGTTTCCATAAGCTGAAGCTTCCCCTTGTTTGTTCCCAGTTTCTTGGTTAAGTCTAAGTGCTCTCTCATGATACTCCACAGCCCTTTAATAGTCACCAAGAGAATTGTACGCAATTCTTAACCTTCTATAAGCTTCAGCTTCCTCTAGTTTGTTCCCAGTTTCTTGGATAAGACTAAGTGCTCTCTCAAAATAACCCACAGCCCTTTGATAGTCACCGAGAGAATGGTACGCAGTTCCTAAGTTTCTATAAGCTGAAGCTTCCTCTTGTTTGTTCCCAGTTTCTTGGTCAAGTCTAAGTGCTCTCTCAAAATAGCCTACAGCCCTTTGATAGTCACCGAGAGAATGGTACACAATTCCTAAGCTTCTATAAGCTGCAGCTTCCTCTTGTTTGTTCCCAGTTTCTTGGTTAAGTCTAAAGGCTCTCTCAAAGTAGCCCACAGCCCTTTGATAGTCACCGAGAGAATTGTACGCAATTCCTAAGCTTCTACAAGCTGCAGCTTCCTTTTGTTTGTTCCCAGTTTCTTGGTTAAGTCTAAGTGCTCTCTCATGATAGCCCACAGCCCTTTGATAGTCACCAAGAGAATGGTAGGTAATTCCTAAGCCTCTATAAGCTGCAGCTTCCTCTTGTTTGTTCCCAGTTTCTTGATTAAGTCTAAGTGCTCTCTCATGACACTCCACAGCCTTTTTATAGTCACCAAGAGAATGGTAGGTAGTTCCTAAGTTTACACAAGCTGCAGCTCCCTCTTGTTTGTTCCCAGTTTCTTGGTTAAGTCTAAGTGCTCTCTCAAAATAGACCACAGCCCTTTGATAGTCACCGAGAGAATGGTACGCAATTCCTAAGTTTCTATAAGCTGAAGCGTCCTCTTGTTTGTTCCCAGTTTCTTGGTTAAGTCTAAGTGCTCTCTCATAATACTCCACAGCCCCTTGATAGTCACCAAGAGAATGGTAGGTAATTCCTAAGTTTCTATAAGCTAAAGCTTCCCATTGTTTGTTCCCAGTTTCTTTGTTAACTCTAACTGCTCTCTCGAGACAGTCCACAGCCCTTTCATAGTCACGAAGAAAATGATGCAATATTCCTAGCTTTACGTAGGCATTAGCTTCTCCTTGTTTGTCCCCAATTGCTTCTGTTATTTCAAGTGCACTATCAATGTACTTTCTGGCTATAAAGTAGTCACCAAAATAAGAATAAACATATCCAAGGTTTACACGAGCCGAAGCCTCTCCTTTTCTGTCCCTTATTTCTTGTCTAATCGTTAGAGCCTTGTGGATATATTCAATAGCTTGGAGATAATCAGCATTGTTAAACATGAACTGAATTCCGAGCTTTTCAGCATTAGCGGCTTCTTCCTCTTTCAGCCTCCGACTTTTCACCTCCCCTTCCAATCCTTCACCTCTCATTTCGCTTCCAACAGACATGACACTTTCTGTGTAAATAAGTAACTCTCAATTATTAGGGGCCGATCTAGGACGTTTTTTATGTGGGGGTCCAAACTTCTAGCTTCATTCACCGTTCACATGTTTTACCGGCCTGGTAAACTTTCTTAAATGCAAATTTCGTTATACAAGTTACATTTGATGATTAAGAGGTAGCAATTTCATTTTTAAAACACTTAGTCAATACGTAAAATAGAAAAGTATATTATCTGATGACTCCATCAAGAGTTGGGGTGGAGGCACGGATCCTCCTGACCACCATGGATCCGGCAAAAATAAGTAAATAAGAATATAAATCTCTTAAAATATCTAACGACATTGTTAGTTGTTTCAGCGTTACATATAACTCATGCATGAACTAAAAATTAATAAAAAAAAGTTAAGCACGAGAACTGAGAACAATAAAACCGCCAGCTTGCATAATTGTTCGAATAGTTATACGGTGCCTGGTTTTTCTTGGGATAAATGATAGCTTTTTCAAATTCAAGTCAGTGAAGTCTTTAAGGTGACGGAATGTAATATTTCAGAGTAATCTACGAAGCCAAAATTACGGCAAAACTAAAAAAATGTTGGGGGATCTATCCGGAGATAAATGCTTTCGGGCACATTGCAGAATAGAGGCACTTTCCCAGTCTGCACCTGGGAACCCGGGAAGAAGCTCTTAACTCACTATACTCAACCCAGGCCAAAATCAGCCACGTCCACAGATCCCCCTAGCGCTATGCTAGTGAGCATGAGGAGCCTTGAAACCGAATGCTACAGCCAGCGCGAAGCCTGTCAAAAAAATGAAAAGAAAAGTCCCTTTTGGCTCCTTTTGGCTGGAAAAAGTCCCAGACTGAATTACGCGACAAAATCTTCCTTGGTCTTTGAAGATCATTTTATCGACTGTGTAAGTTCAATCATTTGTATACCGTTTTAGATGATAGATAAAAAAAATGCAGTGGCTGTTATTTCTCTCACAGAATGGTTAGTCAAGGGGCGACGCCATTTTGGAGTCATTTTGGATTTCCCTGGCCGGGCGCATCCTCCCGATTCCTCCCGACAACATCCCGACGAGGTTAACGGTAACATCGTTCCTAGGGTTCTCTCCCTTGCTTGAAAGAATCCTGGTTGCGTGCTGGTCACCTGAACCCCCAAAACCTGGAGGCAAACAAAGATTTACCTCATGGAAGGGGCAGTAAAGTATAAAATTGTCGCTGTTGTGAGAAAAATACAAAATACACTGGAGAGGTTGCAAAAAGGATTACTTTGACCGTTTGAAGTATGTCTGTCATAAGAACAAATTTATATTCAAAGTTTTCCATATTATACACGTGCTTTCGACTTGAAAACGGCTGTAGTTGTTTTTGACTCGCGGAAAGTATTTACGTTGAAAGTTTTCGATTCTTCTTAGCTGTGGCATGAAGCGAGGGTTACCGAAAAACTAAAGCCGGAAGCCGTCAGCCTTATGGGTTTCGAAATCATGTCATGCATGCATGAGATGAAGAGGTATATAAATCAATTTTGGCATCTCCAGAGAATCCGGGCAGTGTTACAAGAATTTCACTCATCAAGAATTTGTAAGACCGCCGGTCGTTGCAGGAAAACAAACGCCGAATTCTCATGCAAACTAGTCAGTGCACTTAACGGCCGTGAACGGCCGGCCTCGCTATAGCCTGAGAAAACAGCCGACACTTTTCGACGCCACCACTGGTTTCCCCGCGAAATGACGTCTGAGAAACGAGCCCAGAAATTCCATACTGGTAACGCGTCACTACCCAGATCTGGGTGGTGCTTCTGAATGCTTGAAGCAAATTTCCCACGTGGTACGACCAATTAGAAGCACTACCCAGTTCTGGGTGGTAACACGTCAGCAGTATGAAACTTCTTCGCACATTTCTCAGACGTTTTTTAGCGGGTAAACCAGTGGTGGTGTCGTGAAATGTCGGCTGTTTTCCCAGGCTACCCTCGGTACCGAACTGAAACCAGTCTTCAGTCCTTAAAAATTATGAAACATGAATCAAAGGGAATTTATTTTGCTTCTTCATGTTGTTTTAAAATGATGAACCTGAGCAAAGCAAGAGACCAAATCAGAAACTGTAAGCTTAATTCTACTCAGCTGAATTTAATTAATTAACCTCGTAGTGTTGTGTGATGTATACGATCGAAACACTTCTTGAAAGCGTAATGAAGAGTATAATTCTCGCTCCTTTATTTACCTTAACACAAATAGCATGTATACATATTACTGCCTCGAGTTTTAGCTCATATTCAGTTGCTCCATACCCTGGCCATGGATGCCAGATTTTTTTTTTCTTTCCTAATTTCTGATTTCAAACCGTAAGCACGGTTTATTTCATCATCCTCGGTACTTGGTAGTTACTATATGGACCACAGATAAAGATAAAAGACATTAGCCCTACCCTGGTGAGGAGTTCATTGTCACAGATAGTCATATGACCAGCTGCAACTTAAGCTGCAACTAGGGTTCTTTCGCGAAGCATGAGAGAGAACCCTGGGAGCTAGGTTGGATTAACGGATGACGTCACGTCTGAGATCGCCGAGGATGATTGGAAACAAGACTGGGCCAAAATATGAAAATGTAGTTAGTTAGCGTCACAAAATAACTATATCTCTCCCTTGTGATAAATATGGCCATTTATGCTTTTCGTGTAGTGTTGTCGTACTTTATGAGAAAAATTTCTGCCTAGCTTCTCAGTTCCGACATAAAGACATGCCGCATTTATTATTTGTCATACAACTCCACCACGGCGGTGTACATGAGTATGTGTAGTTTAAACTAGCAACAACAACAACAACAACAACAACAACAAATTGGTAATTACCTTTATCTTCTTCGCTCTGCAGTTCAGAAAACGTACTTTGACTGAAAGCACCGCTGTCAGATATTCCCGATGGCTCAAGGAACATCTGTGGCTGATCATAAAAAAATCTCTGTATTTTCCACATAAGTGTGCTTTTCTCCTCCTGTGTGTCTTCAAATGCTCTATTCTCTGGAAAATGAAGAGCAAGGGATTAACACAACAGTTTTCACATGAGCTTCTACTTGTGTAATGAGTGTGCTCGAGTGTGCCAACACTGAGTTGCTGAAAATCCTCGCCCTGAACGATTTACCACCGAAACTCCGCTGGAGCGAGAATGGCGATTTAAAATTCAGCGATAGCAACGAAGGGGAAGAAGACAGCAAGAAACCACGGAGTACTGGGACAATATCGCCTTGCCCGGCGAGGAATTCATTTTAAACCGTGGAAAGCACACATGTAGCTCAGTTAATTTCGGCGCTTTCCCGCCGATTTATCAAAGTTTGCACCCTGTACTTCGGCCCGCACGCCATCCCACCGTGTTTGAATTAATAAAATGGCGGCCGAAATAATTCTTAATATGATTTTCATTACACATTTAAAAATAAAAAAGGACAATAAGGAAAAAGAATCAAAGAAGAAAAGAAATACAGCAGAACCTCTCGGTACGGACACCCCTTCATTACGGACAGTCCCTACAAAATTCTCATTCTGTAAAAAAACCTCTGTAATTGAACTCTTTCTAATACGGATAACGGACACTAAATCTCGGCCCCAGAGAGTAAATTCATATAACATTAACCTCTTTATTACGGACACTGCGGTGATCAGGTGAATCCCGAATCCCCGATCAGTTGAATATGCACAGGGTGAATCCCGTCTAGTCTGGCTGATGAGCTATGCAAGGTGATATAAAGGCCAGTGGCTGTATACCAAACAACGATTTGCGAAAGGCGTACAGAGGAACATAAACTGGGCTTATTTCATGGCCATAATTTTTTTTACGGTTTTGAGGCTCGTTGTTTGTTCAGTGTTGTTTTCCTACATATGATGCGAATCAAGGCTGGTTACTGTGTGCAAACTCGATTCACAAATCTCCGCTCCCGCATAAAAAAAACGCACATAAAAGCGCGAAATCCTTAAAGGCCAGATAAGTCTCTCATCTCTTCCCCTCATCATGGGTATTGCGATGGGCTTTTGGTGGGAAAATGCTTTGAAAGCTTTCTTTCTGGGCAATCTGGCGTTCGCTCAGAAAATTCAATGACTTTACTTGCGTGGTGAGCGCCAACATTTAAGTACTCTCATCTCAACAGATAATTCCAAACTCCACTCACGCGCAATCAGTGGACTATCTGAGAGTAAAAAGGCCCGGTTCAGACGCCGAACTGTCAAGAGCCGAAACCAAGAGAATATAAAGGGGACAGAGAGGGCATCCCCCATATACACCCTATTCCATAGGTAATTCGTCTCGAGTTATTTTTAGAATCGGGATAAAGTTACCTCGCGCGAGGCGTGGATGTTTCGTGGAGGTTTCGCATGACCAAACGCCGTGCAAAACATGTCGGGCGAGAGGCAATGAAAGCGTAAAAAGATCGAGAGCATTCCTGAATATTGAAGCGAAATGAGTCGGCGCTCACCTGGGAAAAAGGAATCGCTGGACTCTTTGACAACCCGTGAAATCAGTTTAACTCGAAGTTTACGTAACCTCAGTGCTTTAATAAAATGAGAAATTTCGCCGGTCTATTGAAAGCGGTCGTTTGTACAATTTAGGGAGTTTAAGATCCAACGACGCGGACGACAACTAGAACGTCAAAAAAAAAAACAATAGATTTAATTAGCAAAACAACAACTTCGCACGTGCAACACACTTTTTTGTTCATTTCTTTCCTGTTTTTGCACGACTACGACGTGAAAATGCCTAATTTCGCGTTTTATGGAGGACGTAAATAAGCAACGACGAAATTTCATTTCTCTTTCTGAGCTTGAATATGGTCCCTTGAAATTCAGCTTTAGGAGGGTTCGCCTACCATTGACAAATTAAGTGGGTAGGAATAATCGCTATAGAGGCTGAAAAAAATAAACATCAAACCAGAAATTGCTCTCTTCAAACTGTAAATTATAAATGATCCTGAGAGAATTTTCAGTGTGTTAAGGATTTCCCTGCTCTACTGTTAGCTCCATACAAGAGAGGAAGGGCGATTCTTTTTTAATTTCGGTTTCGCTGACACAGCTTTCGCAGAAATCTCGCTGTAGTCGTTTTCGTCGACAAAAGGAATAGCAAAATCGCTCTCCGCGTCTTCCCTCATTTTGTTATGCGTCATTTCGTGAAGGACGCGTGGCTCTCAGCGTGGGTCATCCACGCGGAGCACATTCGCGCTATGTGATTGGCTGTTGTCTAATCCCCCTTGAGATCTGGGGTGTTAAAAATAACTCGAGACGAATTACCTATGGAATAGGGTGTATATGGGGGATGCCCTCTCTGTCCCCTTTATAGTCTCTTGCCGAAACCTAATTCGAATTAAGGCCGACCCAAATTATTACATGTAAGATCGGCTGAATTGATTCAGACGCCGATCTTAATTGCAGCTGAACTACGGTTCAAAAGGGCGAAAATTCGGTCAAAGTACTTACAAAATACATTATAATAATTTATGCGTTAGGTTCGGTACATGGAAAGTTCGGCGTTTGAATCAAAGCTTTTCCAAACTGCCCAAAGGCGAAATTCACGGCCGGGCTAGGCGAAAAGAACGACTGAGCCGTTCCAATTTGAAACAGGCGTTCCTAACTGATTCAGACGCCGAACTTTTCATGCACTTAATTCAGTATATTAAGTTCAGCTCATGAAAAGTTCGGCGTCTGAACCGGGCTCAAGAAGATCCATATTTCTCACGCAATATTGATTACCCGGATCCCTTGAGTCCATGAGATGCGTTTTTTCCTTTGTCTGCGGGAAGACGGCTGGCACATCGTTTTCTTCAACTGAATCAGAATTTCGACGACTTCTTTGTCTATCAGGGACATTTTCCTCGACTTTTAAGGCTGTTTACATGAAAAAGATCAAAATGAACAAAAAGGATGGTGGATCATTGGGCTTGAAAATACTACTGAGATAAAGGTATGTTCGGCTTTTCTCCCTGGGCCGTGCCGCAGTATGTGAAGGGAACGGGGATGCTGGCCGAAAAATTCAAACTTAACCCTAAAGGAGACTAACCTGTGCATAGCTTTAATATTATCTGTCACCTCGAGCAGGGTATCATAACCAGCCAGCCAAATGAGAGCTAGAGTAGCTAGATTAATTGCGATTAAGTCATTCTTCATTTAAAATATATTTTTCAATTCTTTTTCAGTTTTCTTTAGTGCAGGGTGTGTCCCCTCCGGGCTTTTTTCCATGACTTTTCTTATCACGCCCCACTCTGATGTATGAAGATCTTTGAAACACTCTTTTAGACCTATTTTGCAACTAAATCTACTAGTCAGCTTAAATTACCTCGTGTTTCAGTTGTCATTAGATCAAAACAGGCATTGTGATAGTCTTGTTCGTCAATATGAACCTCCAGTGTTACTTCCTCTCCACCTGCGAGTTGTTTGATTTCATCAGTCACCAGGAATTCTTGAAGCTTGTCACGCAGAGCACCATTCTGGTACTGTTTCCACAGTGCCTCAAGAGCTGAGCTGTTTTCTGCCTGAATTGTGAAGCATATCGAACCTTCACTGATTGCTCGCAAGGTGTTGGCAGCAGGAAGGACGGCTTCAGTGAAAGATGTTACGAATTCTTCAAGGTTGGTACTCCTGCGAAGGATCATCCAGGTGGTGACGATTACTGTAGCACCGGCAACATTACGGAAAGTGCAGTAAGGAGTAACGGCTGTAAAGATTATCAGTAAACTAATGTTATGACTGGGCCATTGGGTACATTCATCTAATTATGGGGAAATTTCATTAATCAAAATTATGACAAAATTCTCAAATTTGATTGGCTATCAACTGTCCTGATTTCAGTACTAATTGGACAGTACGCGCCATCGCACGCGCGCACTTAAATGGCTCAGTTGTTTTTTACTTTTTTTGGAAAAAAACTCTCGGAATTTCTTGTGTTTTATTTTGAAAAAGCGCAAAATATAACAAATTTGGTTATAGTTGTGATTAATTGGTAACACAACTTCGTGTCGTCGGTTAATCACTCTTGATTACAGATCCACTCGGTCCTATCACCATTATTTACTATCATTTAAACCCTTACTCTTTTCATCCCTCTCCTTCCTCTTTGATTAATTCGCTTTTTTAGCAGATCATTCTGTTAGAAACCTTCCCCGCGGTAACTTAACGTTTGAGGCATTTTTTAAACTTTTATTTAATTTACCTTTTACTGAAAAGATTGAATTATCACCGGAAAAAGAAGAAGAGAAAAAAAGAAAGATATCTCAGTATATACTGACGACTGTCGCTGCAGAGATGGGAAAAGGCTCCATAGCTCAATTATATATTATTAAGCGTACTTCCTATAAGTCTCTCTCCAGCATATTTTGCGGAAGACAAGACAGCAACAGCTTGAGCTGAAATTGGAAAGACAATGAGAAGTTAATTATTGCTTGAGTTAGTATAAAATAGATTTGTCTTATCTAAACCTATCTCTATCATTCAAGAACTGACTTGTAGGTAATGGATGCCACTGGTGGGTGAGATTTTTGTGGAAGAGCTCAGGTCTTTGAAGTTGTACGTTCCTAGGGTAGCCTGTAACTCACCGATGTGAGTTGATGACTGAGGCGGCTGTATTCCCGTGTATTTGCAGGTAACTCAGTCCTTAGGTCACGTCCACCGTGCTCAATGGCCATATCGACATATACCCAATTTAACAGCAAAAACGGGATATGTAGCTCATCTATATTTAGAAGTACGCTGGCCTTACTACGGTAGCTTTTTCAGCGCGGTTGTGTTATTTCAAAGAGGAATAGTGGAGGGATTACTCTGGGGGTGGGGGGGGGGGGGATGGGGATACTCGTCGGTAAATTAAAATTAAACCCCCAAGGGAGACCATTGTGGGTGTGGCTCAAGCTTAAACTGGCCCCTAAATTAGACCATACTAGACTCGATGACATTACGGTATTTTTTTGTAAATTTCTTTATGCACAGCCCTAAGCGATACCTGAATGGGCAAATATAGTGACTTTCCGTCCCAAACACCCTAAGCGAGACCAAAATCTGCAATTTACACCCCTAAGCGAGACGACGAGCATGCCCGTTACTTTTACGTGGGAGCCCCCCAGGGGTTTACATTTTTGCTTTATACAGTGAAACCTGTATTAGGCGGACACCCTCGGGGAATGCTGTAGTGTCCACTAAATACAGGGTGTCCGCCTAATACAGGTTGTGATAGATAACGTCATATTAGGTGTCAAATGCCATTCAAATGAACAGTGGAAATGTTAAGAATACTCTCAGAGACTTTTCGGTATACGTTTGCAATAGTTTCTTTATCAAAGTGGACCAATTAATCATAGTACCATAAACACAGATTGCAACTCAAATTTGAAGAAATCAGATGATTGAAACAAGCTTTATACAAGCAAAACGAAATAGAAAACAATACTGTAATCCCGGGGGGGGACTCCGCATATGAAAGGGGTGGGAATGCTCGTCGGAAATTTTGAATTAAACCCCTAAAGGAGACCGATCTGGGCGTGGCCCCAGCTTTTTTTGACCCCTAAAAGAGACCATGTTCAAACATAGACACTTGGATGATATGAATGGAGTAAATAAAACGAATTAAAAATAAACATATCAAATATATATTTTTATATTTTTTCGCGTGCAACCCTAAACGAGTTCACCGCTAAATATGATGGCGTTTTGTCCAGAAGACCCTAAGTGAGACCAAACTCCGAAATTTACACCCCTAAGCGAGACGACGAGCATCCCCACCCCTTTCGTGTGCGGAGTCCCCCCCTCCCCCAGGACTGTACTGTGAAACTAATCAAATAGGTTCGACAAGTCACGTTTTTTAATGTGAAAATCGACAAAGTTGTGGGTGGCAATTTGGGGCAATCTTGTGCAATCTTTCGCATTTCCAGTGTCCGTTTAATACAGGTTGGTAACAATAGAAATTATCATTTCAGGTACTTTTTAGGTGTCCGCGTCCGCTTAATAGAGGTGTCCCCTTAATAAAAGTTTCATTTAAAGTAAATAAGGGAAATAAATTTTGGGACTTCGGCTACTCGTCTGCTTAATACGGTGTCCGCTTAATACAGGTTTCACTCCCGGGGGGGGGCACTTTAGGAATTTCTGGGTGGGGATGTGCCGCTGGGACCTTGGAACCCTTAACCTATACCAGAGCTAGTTCAGTTGAATTTTGCTACCCTATGCTAGGCTAAACTCCCCAAATCCCCCTATCCTAGAGTAGCTGTTTACCTAGTCTAGATAAAATCTTCAACCAACTAATCAGTTTCCTGAAAAATGATACCCCATTCTAGACCCAAACGCTCTGATTTATATACCCTATCCTAGAGTAAACTGCTTGAAAACCATAGCCTTCACAGCGGCACATACCTATATAGCCCATATATGGCAGTGCCCCCCCCCCCGGGGTTTCACTGTACCTGCTAATCATTTTCTGATCGAAGCTATTAAATTTGTATCGCTAAGTTTATTTACTTTTATAAATTAAAAGCGAGAGCCCTAATGGCTCTTGTTAAAAGCCAATTTGTTCAAAAATTTGGACAAAACAATTGCCCAAGAAGGAAAAAAATTCACTTCCGGTTGACAGGCCTCCTTGGGGATCGATGGGGAGAACGAGTGTAACTTTTGAAAGTTTTCTTTCTTATTCTTAACAGTAAAAAACCATAAAGGGTCTTCGTTTTCGAGTTTTGGGGTATGAGGACTTTTCAGATCTTAGGGTTTTTGGATTAGAGCGTCCCGTGTAAAATTTTCTCAGCTGCACTTCGATCTGCATTTATATTTTGATGATTCTCGCGGAGCGAGCGGCCCGTAGGCGGCGAGCGAAGCGAGTTTATAATTTTGTCGCGCCCGCTGCGCGTGTCACGCGAGGATAAATCTAGCCTGCAGTGCAGGCGTATTTTGGGTGGGCGAAACCTTGTTCGTGTTCGTAATATTGTTGTAGTTGCCATCTTTGATTTTATGACAGTGGAAGATTGGGGAGAGTAGAAATAGTAACCCTTACGGTAGGTGCGAGGGCGAGGCCCCATCTCCTCCTCTCTTCGGGAAGTCCGTGAGAATCAGCGTATTATTGGTCTGAAACCTGTCGACGATATTTAACTAAAGTAATTTATTAATTAAGCTGAAATGAATACAACAAAGCCTGGCTTGATACAAATTGGCCAAAACACCGAATTTATTTGCCGTACAGTTCCAGGAATTGCTTCGAATCGTTCGAGTATTCTGAGAAACGTATCGCTTCAATTCACAAGAATTTTTTACCTTCACTTGCATTCATAGGCTTTCTACACGAAATAGGATTCCTCCGCCTTTAGTTTTCCACCGCCTCTTTTCCACAGTCGAGTGTTCTTTAGGATATAAACAGTTTTTACTTTCACTTTTAGAGCGTAATTATGAGTGTGCTGCGAAGCCACAATAACAAAACGCGCGGTGGCTTGGGCCGGGTCTGTGCAACCGGAATGTACCGTTCCATTGAGCAAGCAAAATTTCCGAAATTTCAAACCGGTATTTTTGTTGAATGGAAAGCGCCCCCTCAGTTTATAGTACGGGGGCAAATCGCAAAATATTTCTGAGGCAAATAATCGCGGGCTGCAAACACAACAGTGCCCGATTGGACAAGTGGCTGTAAAACCTTGCCATGGAAGGTTTAAAGGTCGGTACACACTAGGCGACAAGTTGCTGCTACACGTCGCGGCGACAGATCACTCCATGTGTACAGGTCGGGCGACTAGTTGCAGCAACAAGGTGAGGCGACACGTCGCAGCGACAAATCGCTTCGTGTGTACTGGAGAATGTTTGTGAAAATCTTTGTCTCCGCAACAGAATTTTGTCGCTGCAACAAGTCGCAAAAAATCAAATCAGACTGAATCTGTGCGACTTGTTGCGGCGACAAATTCTGTTGCAGCGACAAAGATTTTCACAAAAATTTTCCAGTACACACGAAGCGATTTGTCGCTACAACGTGTCGCCGCGACGTGTTGCTGCAACTTGTCGCCTAGTGTGTACTGACCTTATAAATACTGAAAGAACGGTGACCTGAACTTCAGCGAAAGCAGCGAAGAGGAAGACCAGTCCGTTAATCGAGCGGCCTATATAAAGCCCGAGAGTGAATAAACACGGAAATAATGCGAAATGGTTTTGAAATACTCCTTTGAGCTATATGTCCTCAAATGCATCTTTGAATTCATGATAAATACAGGAGGTTCAAACAGTGTGAATGGCAGAGAAAGATACTTCAACGGTGTCCGGGGGGGGTACTCGGGATTTCAAGCCTGTACGGGGATGATCAAAGGATTTTTTTGGGTTTGAAATTTTCGATTCAGGGATTTTTTTGGGTACGAAAATTTGGCAAGTATTTTTTGGGTAGCGTGATTTGAGTAGGGATTTTTTGGGGGTATTAAAAAGAATACGTAGTGCCCTGGCTGCGTAGTTCTGCGAATAAAGTACAAACAAACGTGTTTTGCTGTTGTTTAAATTTCCAATGTTTTTCTTTGTGTTATAGCATTACCCCTTTCTGAACTTTTAAGGGCCACCAAATCGGCATGGGATTTTTTTGGGGTTAATTTTTGGTCCAGGGATTTTTTTGGGTTTTGTTCGAAGCCCTAAGGATTTTTTTGGGTCTTGACTTTTGGCTCCATTCGATCATCCCCGTCTGCACTGTCTCAATTTGTAATAATCATCGCACTTTGTAATACCTGTCGCAATTTGTAATAAATCCATCGCACTTTGTAATACCTGTCGCAATTTGTAATAAATCCATCGCACTTTGTAATACCGGTCGCAATTTGTAATATACCGTGTCGCACTTTGTAATAAAAAAGCTGTCGCAATTTGTAACAACCGTCGATCGCACTTTGTAATAAACTAAGCTGTCGCAACAATTTGTAATAATTGCATCGCACTTTGTAATAACTTTTTGAGAGTAATTAAACTTACTTCGTCAACATCAATATAACGCCAAAATATGCATGGTACTTCATAAACAAAGATGGAGATGACGTCTGCTGGCACGTAACATCTCCGCTAGTTCAAACATTTAACTTTAGTCACAGTCCTAAACATTTTTTTTAGATTAATGTTGATTAGTTATCTGACTTACGAAATGCTGTATTCTTACACCTTGCTATTGTACTAGGTGGTTTGCATTCGGTGGTTACCCGGTGGGTGTACTTCCTTATATGGCCAATACGGGGATGTGCCTCTGGACAGAGCATTGTCAGAGTACAGGATCTAGACAGAGCTAGACACACTAAACACAAACGAAACATCATTAAAAAGCATTTAATTTCCGCAAATCGTAACATCCATCCTACATCATGCGAATAAGGACACCACGACAGGGGCGTAGCGTGGGATTTTGAAGATGAACGCACGAGAATAAATTTTCCTAAGCGCCGAAGGCGGTTACAAGTAGGGGGGTCTGGGGGCATGCTCCCCCAGAAAATTTTGAAATTTAGGGTCTTGGAAATGCCATCTCCTGGTTTTTCTGCGGGGCATTTTCAATAAATAATGCGGAAAAAATGCAGTAGAAAGTTGTTTATTTTAACCATTTCCCTAGTGTTTTCTGTAAGCTACAGTGTTCCGAAAAGAAAAAAAATACGAAAAACAATGAAGACAGGTCACAAGCAAAGGGCGAGGCGTCGACCCTTAAGACGGGCAAACTCCGTTACCAACCTGTCAATATCCACGTTCTTATGTTTATGTATATGAAGGATTGCTAGGGAGCTTAATCTTTCGTCCGTCATCGTACTTCGCAGAGGAGATTTTAGTCTCTTTATGCTACTGAAGCTACGTTCGGCAGTGCATGTAGACACAGGATAAGTTAACAATGTTACGAGAGCAACATATACACCGGGATAAAATTGGGAGTTTGCGTGGTCAAGAGTCTCAACCAAAGTCTGCGGCGTCACATTCGGATCCATGCCACTCCATTTGTGCTTCCATCTTGTGACTTCGGTTTTAAACTCATCCTCAGAATTTATGCCTACGTACCTTCAGCTTCTTCTGCACGTTGTTCAGTTGTCTTGTTAATTACGTTGAAGTAATCGTGTATCGATTTTCGAGCCATATGTGTGTACTCTGTGTCACGAAACACACGAAAACACTACAGAAGCCAGAGATCACGCTCCTCAAGTCGCAGAAATATTCATAGGATTCTCTAACAGTTTCTTCGGAAAATCAATCACCGGGGCTTCACTGTTTGACCTCACAAGTATATTCCTAATCTCCGTTGACGGCAAATACGTTTTGTTCTGAAGCCACACGTCATGGCATAGTGACCTCTCCTTCAAGAATACCTGCGGGGCTGGGGAAACTGGTGAGGCTGGCTGACCTTGAGGGAGGGGTACATTTTGCCATTATATTATTAGTGGCCAGCACTGAATGATTAACACTTGGATAATGGGAATTCTAATAAAAAACGCCAGTATAATGTGAAAATATGCAATTATTAGCCAGCAAATTTAATGAGAAAAAATTTTTTCTCAGATCTCAGCTGTACGCACGGGCGTACGTGCGTATATGGACGCTACACCCTGCACGAGAGTTCAAGCAATCCTTGTTAGATCTTATAACAGGTCGAAACAACACGTGGTGCACCGTCCTTGTCTAACGCGCAATCTTAAAGAAGTAATAGTGGCTTCTATATTTTGGCCAACTTAATCAAACGAGGCCTGGAAAGATTCAAAATGTTTACCGCAAATAAAAAAAAAAACGTCACCAGTGGCAAACCGTCGAACCACAACAGAAACCTAAAAACAAAATCCAATTAGTCGCCGGCCAATACCTTCGTATGTACCTGTTTTTATAACACTCACTTGAGGTCTTACACTGAGCCGGCTGGCCATTTGTTCCATTATTCTCACTTGATTTGGACCCATATAGGAACAAAAGGAGTACTCATTCCATCTTAAAACAATTGTTTTCTATAAGGAGTCCTCTAAAGCAAATACCATGGGGCCGGGATAGTAAAAGATTATCCTTCCCTGCGTATATACAGCTCGTAAGACCTTGCAATTCTTCCGAGCGTGTTCTGGATTACTGTTTTTCCACAAAATGGAAAGGATGGAATAAACCATCCATTACTACTTGAGTTACCCTATCTTAGGATCAAACCAAAGACACAAGGCCAACAACGTAAAAAATGATACCCTATTAAACGCTCGAGATCCTCAAAAACCATACCCTATCAGGCGGTACTTACCTATCTAGCCCATCAATATATGGGATTATCCCCCCCCCCCCCGAAGACTTCACGTGTCACGTGGCAAGCAAACATGGATTTGGACGACGAATGCCAGGTTATTCATGAATTTTTTGTTGTTAAATGTTGCTTTTGTTATTTAAATATTCTTGGATTTAAACATGATTCATATCTTTTTGGTTATATGTCACAGGAAGTTTCATGTCTTTCATACAAGCTTTTCTAGTTGGTGACGTGATTAATCAAGGCAGAAAAATTTATAGCGGAAGACATGCATGTTTGACCAAAGAAAATGCTACGGAAATGTTACGTGCTAGCAGACTTCACCATCTTTGTTTATGAAGTACCATGCATATTTTGGCATTATATTAATGTTGACGAAGTAAGTTGAATCACACTCAAAAAATTATTACAAAGTGCGATGGAATTATTACAAATTGCGACAGGTATTACAAAGTGCGATGGATTTATTACAAATTGCGACAGGTATTACAAAGTGCGATGATTATTACAAATAGAGACAGTACACCCGTCACTTGAAATCCCGAGTACCCTCCCTGGGAACAGTATTATTTTTCGGGAACAACCTGCGTAGTGGTCGCATGGCCCCGTGGTTAAAAGTCACCCTTTTTTTCGCCGGAGGAAGTTGGAATGCAGGTTCAAATCCCGGCGTGGCATCTTCCAGTTTTTTTTCTTTCTTTCATCGTTTTTTTACCTTTTGGCTTTTTACTGTTTATTCTCACTGCTGACCCTGTTAGCTTCGCGAGATTTTTGCGAAAACGTATTTCTAGTATATACTTAACCACACTTCATTCAATATTTGTTAACTAATTTGTTGACTGCTTGCAGTCCGCCTTTTCTCTTAACCAGATTGCTTATAAACCAAATGCACGTGTGAAGTGTTTCCAATTTCTTATCGAATAACTAACCTTTTCTTCTTCTCTTCGCATCCTCTGATTCTTTTATTTTTCTCTCCTTGGTTTCTTCCTGTTCTCTCCTCCTCTCGAATTCCTCAACTTGTTGCAGCAAATCTGGCCTGTCTTCTCCCACTAGAGTCTTTAAAATTCCTACTTGTCCAACGGCTAAGACATTGTTATTTTCTAATTCTGTAAGCAGCGCGCGTGCATTTTCTATTCTGTGTTCTGTCTCCTCGGCTATCCTCCCCTTGCAAATTGCAACCAGCCGTTCTAGATGACCGCTTTCGTCGAGTACTCGGCTAACGGTTTCGAGTAATGCCCTAAATTCCTCTCTTTTGATTTCGAACTTCTCGATTCTTTCCAGAAGATTCCAGTTCCCTTTTCCTTTCACAATCTCTTTTGGTAGTTGTAGATTATCAATTCCTAGATGTTTTTGCTCTTGCAGCTCCTTAAACAAACTTAGGACATCATGAATTCTGTGCTCACTTCCTTCTCGAATGAATCCTCCGAAAATGTATAATAATCGCTCGCTTTCAGAAAGCCAGTTGACTTCCTGGCTTATTTCATACAGTAAATTGCGGTACTCGATGGAAGACATTTAGCAAAGAGTGAAAGAGAACCTTTTCTTTTTGCAGCGAGCTGAATACTTTTCGCATCAAGAAGAGGGAGAGCCTTAGAGTGCCCAGAATTCAGTTTGCGCGGAGATCACGAGATAGACGACTCCAAGCAAAAATATGCTAATGAGCCGAGGGAAAAAAAAGCAAAGAAAACAAAACAAATGAATAAAATAATAGAGAAAGAAAGGGAAATCCAAAAATGTATTTACAGAAAAAGCGTAAATTAGGTGACATATACCTAATTGCAATAACGTTGTCATAGAAAAAAGCAAAAAGCAAAAAGACAAATAGGAATAAATTAGCCATGTGATTTACATTTGCGTATTTTAATTCAGTATTTAACAATTATTTAGGAATTCATTCCCAATAACAAGAGATAATTCTGTAATTCCGCGCTGTAAGATAGACAGGCGCCATGTCATCTCAGAGCCAACATTCTCCATCAACAGAAGTCGCACAATTCGAAAAAGAAAAAGGTAACTTGACGTGAGCAAGCCTCAGTTGTCGCACTTTCAGTCGCCAATCTATTATGTCCTGACAAACGAAGCTTGGTTTGTGGCTCAGGTGAGGAACTGGCGGAGGACCCCCTTACCCTCTCCGCGATGAAAAGTCCTGTCTACGCCCCTGATTTGTTGCTTGAAAATTGTGAACAGATGGTGTTGTGCACTGAAAACCATACGCAGACTGGCTTTTCTATTTAGCACTAATCTAAAACACGCGTTGAGTTCCTGGAATTTACCCCAGGCTATATTTATTGAAAAATAAATGGAACCATTTTTTCTTTTAGTAGTTATCCGATGTACGTTTGTAATTAGAGCAAGTTTGAAATTCGCTAGATGAATCAGCCTCGAATTGCATTAGAATGACCTCAAGAAACTGATGCAAATGATTTCTCTCATATTACGTGATTAATATTCAGCTATAAGCGTGTGTGTTGTGAATGTTGCAAGCTATGATAATTACATGCTAACTAATTCCTGTTTAACTTTTTGCTTTTTTCTATGACAACCTTATTGCAATTAGGTGTAACTATTTACAATAAAAAGCGCAATTACTTAATAGAACATAGATATTATTACTAGCTAAAACCTTAGCTGTCGGACTGCTTTTTTAAAGGCTGACAATGTGCTTAGGGATCTTAAGCTTAAGGTATCAGAAATCTTGTTCCAAGTAATAGCCGCCAAGTACTTTACTGGTTCTTGCCATAACGAGTCCTATTAGGTTTCGGTACTTACAGCTTGTTAACCCCTTTCAGGTTTTTGATGTTAATTGTTAATTGTCTTAATTAAATACAATAATTAACAAGTTCTGGATACGTCGATCCACAAGGCTGTAACCAATACGATCACAAAGAGTGCTAGTTTGTGAAGACTCGTCACTGTACAAGTAACGAAGTGCTCGTTCATGCAACCTATGATGCCATATGGAGGAACAGTAATGAAAATGAGACATTATGAACGAATTATAAAGGCAGAGTTTGGTCCGAAACGATAATATATAACGATAATAGTCTGCAAAGAACATCGTAGTTGCTTTCCAACTTTCTTGCTAATTTTCGTAATGTGTATTCCAAAATTCAGGGAATTGTCCAATGTTAGCCCAAATAGATCTACTGTATCAAGTACACTGTAGTGGTAATGCAGTACAATAATAAAGTCAGTCACCATTCACTAAAATCAGTGTATGAGTTCAATAACGTCCCATATAATGTTACACGAACGAGGGCTGTGAGACAGTGCATGTTTCTCTTGTCCTTATTCGAGAATTCTGGAAAGTACGACTGTTTGCAGATGACATAAAGGCAACACTTTCTCCTCAGTTATTTAAAGAGTCCAAGTTTTGGCCGAGCAGGGGCTGAACCGGCAACGTCCCCCCGGAAACCGGTGTTTTTCCAACTGAGTTTGGCCGGGTGATAGTCGGCGTCTTGAAATTTTTCGATCACATATAGTGTAAATCATCATAATTCACACCTGCAACCCATGCATAATACAGGGTGCAAAGGAAGTCGGTTTTACGGCTTGCCATAAAGGCAAGTTGTTGCTAGCCCAAAACAATTTTTGATGAGCAGCATTGATTACAGTTATTCTGTCATTTTAATTTCCCAAAAAGTTCAAATCCACTAGCCCCGGACTATCGGACACAACTTTCTTTGCACGCTGATAATAGGTTCCTGAGTACACTCAACATTTAGGGTATAGTGGTAAGTCCTTCCGGTTTTCCGTTGTTTGTTCGTGCCTTCGTTAGTAAGTGTTAGATTTCTCCTAGGGTGGCGTGGGGTACCCAAAAGTTGGGACTTCGCTGAATGTGTGGTTTCAAACTTACTGCACTTTCCAGTGGTGGGTGATTTTTGTCTGGCAAATTCGACACAAAGTCTCCAGGATTAGGGACAGCTACACATCCAACAAGACTAACACCTCATTAAATTCTCCGAAAAAGACCAATACTTTGCTACTCCCAAATCAACTGACGTTTATCAAATCATTTCAAAACTATAAACAATCTGCCGAAATTTTCAACATCTTTTTTCTGTACTGAATTCTCCACGACTTCTCTAAATCTGTTCCAAAAAAATACATTATCGGCAAATGAAATAGTATCATCTTTTAATGTTTAATTCATGATTGTTCATTTAACTTTTACGCAAGTTACAACTTGATTTGATGCTACTAGGGTACAGAGGTAAACATTTTGATGAAACAATAATCACAGTAGACAGAAGATGCAATTAATGAGTCAGATGGAGCTTCACTTTTCCACTTCTCAGCTCTGGCAAAACAAACCTCAAAAATGACACAAAAAGGATGGGAATAAATGTTGTTCATAACAAAATGGTTTATGTGGCTGAAAACAGTGATTAAAATAAGAGTTACTCTAAAAGCGCTGACAAGGCTGGTGATGTTTTGGTTAATAAACTTGCATGTAGCCCCTGAAAATAAAAAGAAAAGTACCATCATCAGAAAACAGAATTAAAGTACTATTAATTTAAGGGATGGCAAATTGTACCTATAAAATAGTGGCTCTGGGAAACTCTTGATCGAATACAAAATCGTTTAAAAGTTTGTTTCGAGTTCCAAAGTCTCTGATGTTAAAATGAAATGTACCATTGCTTCACTCACGTTGGATTACTCCACAATTACATTTGACAGAGAACCAAACCAATTGAAAATTAGTTGTCAGTTTTTAAAACATGAAAGGCATGTGGATAACTGAGCCAAAAGACATTAACCAGACCTGAAACTGAACTGCAGGTAGTAATTTTCATAGAAACTTACACCAATCTGATTTGTAATGAAAAGAAATATTGGAAGTCACACTAGAAAGTTATTAAAAATACATTTAACATGCAATAATAAAGAGTATCAAATGCAAGTTCCCTAAATTCACCTGGGGCCATACTAGGATAAAGAGTAAAATAAGCAAAAGATGGATGGCAAGGGTTGTTTACACAGCTGTTTTTGAATTAACCAGCAAGCAGAAGCCCTTCAATCATTTTAGATGAGTGGGCATATCTAGGAACATTCAAGGGCCTCGCTTTCCTGGTATTTTTGGAGTGGCCATCCAAATACTACACTGTAGCTGCAATTAAAAAAAGAAGGGGCACCGGGCTATGCCAAAACTTGACAATGCTGACAAAGCTTTAGAAAAGTCCATTTTGTCATTTGTTAGAACCAACAATCTTTAGAACAGTTAAGCTGACAACTAAAAGCAATGCTGCTGCAAAAACAACAAATACATGAAAAAACTGATAAAATCATTAAAACAAAGCAAGCACTCACGGAAGCTTCATCCTCATGAACACACGACATGTAAAGAAAGACACTAAGACGCACACAAAACCCAGGAAGAGCAGAAGAAATCTGTTTAGTTTAGACATGCCAACAGCATTGGATTTATCCAAGATAATGAAGCCCAATCCGCCCATGGAGAAAAGAAAACTTGATGCCAAACCCTCCATGATGTACTGACCATTTACACGGTATGGCATGAAGGCAACCTGTAGATGAAAAACACAAAATAGAGTTATAACAGTCACGAAAATATGATTATGAAACATTATTCTTGCATAATAATGTGAATGATCACTTTTTGCCTTGCGCACGATGTTGGTGACCACTTTTTTGTAAAAAATAATGTAACGCTACATTTAGTCTTATGGTTCCTCTAAACTCATGTATAGGAACTTGATTTTTTGCACAGTTGCTGTGCAATCAATGTGCAGAACAACGAGTACATATTTTCTGGCAGCCCACCCTGGGATTTTCTGCATAAAGCTTTGATTTAAAGAAATAAATTCGTTATGAACAAAATGAAGTGTAGTTAAAAGACACCAATTTGCTCCATTTTTCACTAAAAACTATAACGTTTCCATCCCACCTACCTTTACAATAAAACTGTATTGACCAGAATAGACAAAGCATCTAGAGATGCACATATAACAAACATAAAAACACCTTTTAAGCATTAGAACGTTTTTTTTAACGCACCAAATTGCCGATGCATGATGTTAATCATGCATCTAAGCTTGATTATTGAGCATCATGCCTTTGTCCTTGAGGCACCATACAAGTATGACGAAGGTGCCATTTAAGCACGATAAAGGCACCATTTAAGTGTGATAAGTTACTTAAGTGCGAAGAGAGAGGTACGAACGAAACTTCAGAACAAAACATAAACATAAATTCATCTAGTGTAGTTGAAAATGCTTTGTTGATACAAAACTGACATTCTTTCTTACAAGGTCAAATATCTTTCGGTTGCTCGTGGTTTTTGTCCATGGTTGTTTGAAAGGGTCCGAGAGGGAATAATTTTAACTCCTGACCTGAATGTTTTGTTAAGGAAGTTATCAAAAGTTACATCACAAGTTGATGATGTGTTGTGAAGTATTGAAAGAAGCTGCCATGGTAATTGTGACTACACTTACATTTTTACTGTATTCACTTGTTTAAGGCAAGAATTACACCAAAAGAGAAGTTATAAGCATTTAAGTTTTTAAGTTGTGAAAAATACATTTTCGTGAAAAAAACCAACAGGGCTGCTGGTTGCTAGGGTGTGTTTGGGTTGGTATTCAAAGGATGAAAACTTGATTGCCATAATTTGTATGAAAGCGTTAGGAAAAAAAGCCCTCCTACGAATGTTTGCTTTCAAACTGTCAGTAAAACAGGTAGTCCAAAAGAAAACTGAGGTATGTTATATTGAAGAGAGAAGAATTGTAGACTTACTGGTTTACTGTGACCAAATTCATCTGTTGTACTTCCCACACTTGGAGGCTCAACAATGACATCATATATGATTCCTACAAAAATAACATCACAAGGCATCGATATGCTTTTCTTGTATTTACATTCAGTTCTTTTTGATAGCCAAGATATTGGCATTTGGTTCCAAAGAAAATTTACATCAAGGCAATTCATTCCACTATTGAATTTGTGAATGTGTAATCCTGCTTTACTTGGTACTGCTGAATTACATTAAAGCTCATTACTGACTGATTCCAAGTTATCTCCACTTTACAGTCTGCTGTATAAATCACAATACAATGCTTATCAGTGGAGCTCAAATGGCTTAATTTTAAACATTAAATATAAGTATAAAATGCTGATTTTGAAATGGTTAAAATGTTGATAGCAAAAAGTTTCCACAAAGATAACAATGTCACAGTCATGGTCGATGAGGCTACTAATATTTGCATACTTAATCCCTTTTTAAAAATTGACAAAGTTTTGGATGATCTAATGTAGCTGTTCAATCAGATTGTAGGGCCCAGATAGCGCAGGCTATGTTTGCTAGATGCTACTGAAGTTAAATGGAGGTATAATAAAATCAGAGTTTCTAAGGTGGTAACCACTATTATTCAGTTTGAAAGGATCCACTATACAAGGAGGTGATAAGTTATTGTTAACTTTAATTTATGCATATCTGAGGCCTTTTCTTGTAAAGTAGGCAAATCAGCCAAACGTAATAATTCTTTTGTTCCAACAGACAGCACATAGTGCTCTTTCTTGAAGGTTTTCTAACTTTCTGGTGTCTGGCATCAATTGGCAGTGAGATGTGGCAATACTGCAGATTTGTCAATTTGCAATTTGCTGATGTAGGTATTAATTTCCGTAATTTAGACATCATGCCAAAAAGACTTGCACCTTTCTTGCTAATGTTGCTTGTGTAAGTCGTAAATCTTAATTGTTCATCCACAGAAATGCCTAGCAGCTTTAGCTCTGGTTTTTGTACTTCTTCAGTAGCTCAGCATTTTGACTTTCAATTCCTTGTTCTTTTATTTTGAGCCAAAGCTTATGGTCTGACATTTGGAGAAATTACCTTTCGAACATTTTTGTCATACCACTGGGACGCTTTGCAACTATTCTTCATTCAATTTTTTTTTTTGTTCTACCTCTTTAATTGTTTCAGCAGTATGTGACAAATTTCATTGATGGTCACCGGCGCACATGAATAAAGTTCAGTTTTTCACCAGGTAATGCAAATCATTTTGAAATACATTGCATAAGAGTGGTCCAAAGAAAGATCCTTGCGGGCAACCCCTTGTTGTTTCATACCACTCACTGGTTGTTTCTGGATCGATTCTTACCCTGCACTTTCTTTCACAAAAATATGACTGTATCAAACCTAGTAATTCATCTGAAAAGCCATAAAAAGGTCTCAATTTGGCAATCAATAAAGGGGAATGATGTGAATCAAATGCTTTGGACATATCACTGGAGAAAACTCCTGGCAATTTCTTTTCATCTAAATTCTGTTTCCAGTTTATTATGTTCATTTTGTTGCAGAGATCCGATTGCCCTTCTTAAATTCCTTAGGCCAACAACTCCTTGCTATGCACTTGTTGTTTTCAATGTGCTGCTAAGGAACAGCTTTCATCATTTTCCTTAAGAGATGTTTATATGGCTCACATTTTTTGACCATAAACTTTCATCAATGAAGTAAGAAATTAGTGATTATTGATTTTAATTGATTAAATTGACTAATCAATTAACAAATATTGAGCTTTATCAAGTATAATTCATTAAACAATTAGCTTTCCGATGATTTATTTCGATCAATTAGCTATGTCCGGTGTTAATCCATATGATATGAAAAATATGTATGAATATATTTTTAAGAGTTTTGTTTTATTTCTCTACGATAAAACCTGTTGTGAGACTTTTCTCAAACTTACCAATTGATTGTTTAAAAGTTATAGAAACTTAAATCCTTAAGGTGAAAAGGGAAAGTTGGGGGGTTCTGGGAGCAGCATCACCTTTAATATTGATTTTAAACAATCATTGTTTAAAATCAGTAATATTTAATCATATTGATACTTGAAAATGATACTATTGATACTGCAAAGAATTATTCCTTACAATTTCAATATGAACGATTCGTCACTGAAGATTGTTGACACACCAGTTTCAACTGGAATAAAAAGAATTAGCTTAAAAATACGCTACAGTTGTCGAAATTTGTATTTCTCACTGTACACGTAATAAGCTCAGCTCAGACTGATCAGTTCTTCGAGGCAAAGCAATAAAAAAAGAAACATACTTACCTCCAGTGACTAAAAAATACGAAAGGAGAACAAAGGCAAAGACAACCATGGCTGACGGAGCTTTTACCCATCCTGGCTTCTTTAATTTTAGATTTGGTACTTCTAAAACATGAAAGGGAATCGCATACAAAGCCTCCATTTTGGAAAGAGAGAGAAAGGTCGATATGTCGAGGAATATGATTGGTCCAGCTGTTCAATAAATTGTCCAATTAAAATTGTGTATAGATCGTGGCATAGTAAGGCCGCGAAGACCTGAGGATGACTGAAGTGCTGCAATTTGATTGGCTCACCGGCCAAACGCCGCTATTTTCAAATACGGAAAAGTCGCGTCATTTTCACTTTGCCTTCAGCTTGGGAACACTCTATTTCGATCAGGTTTGTTTTTCTTTTCGTACGTTAACTGTAGTTTTTTTTATTAGAAGCGTTTTACTTTTGATATTTAATTTTTGTATTGATACCGAATTATACAGAGTCGAATTTACTGAACAGCAGTTGCTTTGCTGAAAGAAATTGGATCAATTCCGTTGGGTAACAACAATGTGATCACCGCCTGTATGCAGTCGATCCGTTACCACGCTTGTTTTGTTCTTATTTCCATCGCAAATCGGAATTATTCAACGCTGTTGATACCACGTATCTGTAAGCAGTTTTCATAAGACATAGGTTTTCTTTTCAATTCAGGAAAGATATGTTCTTTTAAAGGCAATAGATAAATTGTGATGCATTCGTGATCACCGAAGCAAGGTTAAAAATCGAGTTGGCATTATATTGTGCCGTCGACGCAATACTCAAAATGAAAAATCGACATAGCTACCTGTAAACGTAAAGTATGTAGCATAAGACGTTCTTCTTATCCATTGAAACATTAAATGCTGAGTCAAATTTGTTTTTAAACAGTTATTGCAAAAGAAATGCTTCACCAATGATGGTTTCGATCTATTAAAATCTTCGGAGCACGCTTTGAAAAGACTCACGCGGTGCGCTCTAGTAAAAAAGCTTATTGCGGTTCGAATTGCTTGATTGAGAAAAGATGCCTCGATAAATATAGCATTAAAACAATCTGTATAAAACATAAAGAGAAGACGAAAGTCAAACTCGAAATATCAATAAAGCGAAAATCTGTTAAATCAAGGAAAGAATGCGTGCTTTGTTAAGTCTTATGTAACTTTATGAGCTCAGACACGATTTAAAAAAAAGATTTGCCACCTTTTCTTCTGTTTTCAAAGTATTTCTGATTTCTAGAAATTCACCTGGACATAGTGTTTCCATGCTAAAGATATGAAATGTTCTTTTCTACTCGGTGTTTTCGATGGAACGTCCTGAGAATAATACAGGCACAATGACATTTCCGAAAAATGATATTTAAACGTTTTACTATTTATTTTGTGTCAGCCAAATGTCAAAGAAGTTATCGATTTCTTATGCAATACAGTAAATAGATTTGTTGGCAAACACTTCATTTTACAAAAACAAACCATTCATATATGTTTTTCGATCCCTTCAAAAAGAGGACAACTTGCAATATTGTGTTTCATATGCACCTCTCTGGACATTCTGTGATTTATTTTATTTTTTTTCAAGGTAAGTCCAAGGAAAACTTAGCACTAATATCACACAATTCACAATGGGATCCAATGGTGATGAAACTGTGACCATGGAAGACTTCACTAGAATTGAAAAGATAGGTGAAGGTACGTCATCTTGTACTTAATTTAACATCAAGGGTATTATATGTATAACAAAGGAATCTGTTAGCCTTCAAAAGTTTAACTCTAGTTGTTTTAGAGCTCTGTATTTAAAGGGACATCCATGGAAATTACTGACACTTGTGTCTTCTTTGTCTTTTCTCTTACCGTTTGCATTACTTACTGCTCATACTATCTATCTGAATGAAATACTGTCTTCCTTTTGGCCAGGTACATATGGTGTAGTATACAAAGGACGCAACAAAAAGACCAACAAACTGGTGGCCTTGAAAAAAATCCGCCTTGAGCTAGCAGAGGAAGGAATACCTAGCACAGCAGTTCGAGAAATTTCACTGCTCAGGGAGCTTAGGGATCATCCTAATGTCGTCTGTTTAGAGCACATACTCCATGACGATGCAAAGTTGTACTTAGTATTTGAATTTCTGATGTGTGACCTCAAAAAGCACTTAGACTCAACCCGAGGATTGTTGGACCCCATGTTGGTTAAGGTAATTTCTTAGGTACCAGATGCCAAAAAATGTTGTGTCAATTTTGTTGTCCTAATTTTTGTGCATTGAAATTAGCAATTTCAACAAACTACCATTACGTTTTAATAAACCAAGACATTTATTATTATTACAAAAGTGCATCTTATTGTCAGGCTATAAAAACTGTGACCACAGGCACAAGAAAATTATGTCGTGACATGTCATGTCTAAACCAATCTCTAAATGATATATGCACCGTAGAAACAGTATTATTTACATTGTGAAAATTAATGACAAATATAATAATTGAGTATGTCTTAAAGGCCAATGTTCATCAAAACAGCTTTGTACACCACACTGACTGACTATTTTATTAGAGAAAGAGAAACTGTAATTTGTGAACATCCTCCACATCCCAATCCCCTTCCCCCCGGATAGTGGGGAAGACGTGAATTAAAGTAAAAGGCATCTGAAAAGTTGGACATTGATTTCAGTTTCCTCCCGTTTTATTTTTGTGTTCGTGCTTTCTTGATTCAGAGGACCCCACTATCTTGGAGCCTGAAAGGGCTACTGAAGCGTTTTCAAGAATGCTTTCTTAATTTGCAGAGCTACTTATACCAGATGACAAACGCTATGTACTTTTGTCACAGTCGCCGAATTTTACACCGTGACCTGAAGCCCCAGAACTTGTTAATTGATGAACAGGGACTGATAAAGTTAGCTGATTTTGGGCTTGGTAGACCATTTGGAATCCCTGTAAGGGCTTACACTCATGAGGTATGCAAACATTCAGTCAATATTAAATTAAGGTAGTATATATTAAATTATTCTATATTTTATATTATTTACCTAAGCATTTTTGAGTTAAATGCAGCACAGGTCGCCCAGTCTCATGTAACAAGGAAAAGGTGTAAAGTGACCTTTGTGCTGGACGTGTTGAAAATAAGAGACTTTGTATGAAAAATGAAATACTGAGATCTGCAAATGCTAAAAATGAATTGAAATGAATAAAAAAGACTTACCTGTGATGTATTCCTCTGTGTTTTGGTGTCTGTTCAGCTACTACTGTTTTTTTTTTTTTGTTGTTGGAAGGGGAGGGGCTTTATTGCATATTAACCACTATTCCAAAGCTGGTCATTTTGATCTGGCAGGTTACTGGACTAGTCACAACAAAAATGCCATTTTTTCGGCCAAAATTCAATTCACTGCAATGTTTTTCAGCACCCAAGAGGAAAACCTCCTCTTCCTCTCTGGGAGTTCAGCTCAAAAAAGCTTGATAATTTCCCCATCAAATTGGGCCATTTGTGCCTGACTTCAAGGCATGTCTGGCTTTCCTCCAGTACCTGTGGACATTGTTGTGCCTACCATCTCATTTGCATTTGAGATTTGAAACCACGCCAGGTTGACAATTAGTGTTTACATGTACATGACGGGTGCAAGGGCTTAAAAGACCTGTTAATTATACTCCTCACCCCACCAAGTTAAGGAAGTAATATGATGCTCGCGCTAAGTGAGGGATTGCGTGTCCAGGTATGGTTTGAAAGGATCACAGTTAACAAGAGAATGGCAATTTTTTCTTATTGTTAGGTGGTAACTCTGTGGTACCGGGCACCTGAAGTTCTCTTAGGATGCCAGAGATATGCCTGCCCTGTGGACATCTGGAGTGTGGGGTGCATATTTGCAGAGATGGTTACAAAGAAACCTCTCTTTCATGGAGATTCAGAGATTGACCAACTTTTTCGTATTTTCAGGTTTGCATTGCAATATTATATATTCCAGCTTGTAAAATTTACATGGTGAGAATAGAGATTTAAGTGCTTACAGTGTCCTACATTGAAGAGACATGAAATAAAAAGACTGCCCCTTGACATGGTTGCCAAAGGTTAGGAAATGGTCAGGGAAAAAATTTCTTCAAGGTCAGGGAATTTCACTTCATGTCAGGGAAAAGTGAAATGTTAAGAGTACATTTTATTCTTGTTCCCTTTGAACAACAAGCTAATGTTGGTTTTAAACAAAATTAATCCTATTTGCACATTATTGTCAAGCAATTCATGTACACTATACATGACTTGCTGAAATGCTTTATGTAACACTTACCCTATTAAACGATGAATATGTGAATTTCATTTATTGAAACTGTGAAATGAAGAAATACGACTCGAACTCTGAAGGGAAATGGAAAGCAGTTGAGTTTGTGGGGAATTTGAGTTATCCTGCTAAATTTATGGTGAAATTTTCATCAAAGGAAAGGAAAATTTCTTCCAGTTAGAGGGGAATTCAAGTAATCCGAGTTTGAGCCATCGTGGTTCTACTGTACAGGGTTGTCATTAAGAGCCGGGGGCCAGGGATTTTCCCCGGCAACTAATAGAGTGGCCCCCGGCTACTTTTATTGGAAAATAGAAGAAAAATAGAACCAAAAGAAATCCCTAGCCATTTGATTCCTTGCCTACTTGTTGTATTTACCCAGCAACTTGAAATCTTAGTGACAACCCTGCTGTAACTGCAAAGAAGATCATCAGAGGTTAAGATGTGACAACTTATGCAGTTGCGAAAAGAAAGCCCAAAAAATTCAGACTTGCCGAAATTCATATCCTGGCTCCTGAAATAAAGGGTTTGTTAATAACTGCTTATTATAAGTTGTGACTTTCTTTGCATTTAGTTTATTACTAATCACTTTCATACCATGGATACTTCATAAAACTATTGAATTTGTCTTCAAAGAATTCTAGGTACACCAACAGAGAAGAATTGGCCAGGAGTGTCGCAGCTTCAAGATTATAAAACAAGCTTTCCAAAATGGAGTGGAGAGGGACTTAAGAAAGCAGTTCCTCAGCTGGATGAAAATGGACTTGATTTGTTAGAGGTAGATGACAGTTGTTTGAAACTTTATATTCTAATTTCCCAAACATGAACTTCAAACCGTGGTCACCTTAGGTTTGCCATTTGCTGTAATCACACCATGAAATGTCTCTAGTGTGTTCACATAAATTTAATACATGTAGGTGCCCAGCAGGGAACCATACTCAGGCACTAGCCCAATTACCAAGTAGGAACTCTGTCTAAGTGTGTTGAAACTGAAATTTTGCTACCACAAAAGTAATAATCTGCATAGAATGTTCAATAGGTACCTCATAAGTGAGGGTTTGTGTAAAGAAAGTCATGTCTGATAGCCCGGGGCTACTGGATTTTGCTATCGGGCTAGTGATTTTTGTTCTTAACTTGCCCAACGGGCAAGTGCTATTTTTTGAGGAAATTCAAATTACAGAAGGATTGTAATCAATCCTGCTAATCAAAAAGGGTTTTGGGGCTTGTTAAAATGACTTGTGGGCTAGTATGTGCTAGCTACAGCTTGAGTGATTGGCAGGCTGCACTGTAAAACTGACTTTGTTTGCACCCTGGTTTGCAAAGCATAATTCATTCCAATGCAACCCTCTAAGTTGCGACCATTTTAGTCGCCACGGCGCCTAAAATTTTTAAGCTGGCGACTTGATTTGTAAAAAAGTCTCGCTAAACCTAAAGAATTGGTCGCCAAATGGCGACCAAGCAAACACTTTAACTTGGAGGGTTGCAATGGCAACAAGAGTCATGTACAATAGCCTGGGACCAGTGGATTTTGCATGGGCTAGGGAATTCTGCTCTGCTCAAAGGGATCTTAAGATCTTATCCTATGTACCCTTCATTTGTTTCTGTGTTTTTAAACTTAAATGCATAACATAATGTTTAAAAAAAAATTATCTTGTCTCTAGCTTGTGTGATTAAAGAGCCTGATATAAATAATATAAAAGTTGTTTAATAATTCCAAATAGAGCAATATTAATCAACTGAGACATGATGTATTCTATTTCCAACAGAAAATGCTTTTGTATAATCCTGCAAAGAGAATATCAGCAAAAGCTGCATTGGATCATCCGTATTTCCATGATTTGGACCTGTCTACACTACCTGCAACCAAACAGACCACCATAATTGGAAACATGCCAAAAAGCTTCTAGATACCAAATTATCTTAGTTTTACATTCACTATTTTTTTTTTTTACTAAATGAAATACAGCCGTGTACAGTACATTGTAGAGCATCTAAAGGGGTGTATTTTCTTGGATTATGTAAGTTAACTGAAAATTGTATATATTACTTTCATCTGCATTTGACATTTCCTAGATTTGGCATCAATAGAAGGTAGTATAAAGGTCAATACCCACCAAGGTGCTATAACACAAACAAGCCTTCTTTTTTCTGGTTCATCATAAGTTACAGGAAGCCACACCTTGTGTTCTGTTGCTGAAAAAGTTCACTATTACTTAATTGTATTTACTCAAATAAGCGCCACAGCACTAATTAAATTTTTCATGCCTCAAATGCGGCACTTATTTGAGGGTGGCTTTTGTTTGAAAGTTGGATGTTGAAAGCATTACTTTTTTCCGCACCAAAGTAACAGAATTGAATTTGATTTTTTCAGGGGGGTACTTATTAACTTGTTCCAAATATGGTGCTTATTTGAGTAAATATGGTATTCTCACTTCTTGGGGGAAGGAATTTGTCTTAACTAATAGGTTTTGAATTTGCAAAAACTACTGAACCTACATGTGAGTTGGGGAACATTTAGTTAAAGGCAACAAAGTTTGTTATCTTTGAAAAAATTAATTTGTTTCTTTACAAGGCTTAAAAAGGGAATTCCCCTGTGTCTAAAACATTGGTTTCAAAGCCATGTTTTTCATTTAAACCAAGCCATTAACAACATAAGCTTACTCTGTTATAACTATTGTGTTGTTTTTATCGATGCCAGTTTGTACAAAGTTAAGTTAGTAGATGCATTTAAAAGTAATTCAATTTAGTTTAAAGTTAAAAGATAATTAAGAACAATTTATCACAAAATTATGTCCTACGTCTACTTCAATAAAGAAGAAGAATAAAAATTATTTTTATTCTTCATCACAAACTATTAACTTAGCTTTTTGAGTGTTGCTTTCTTGCTAAATTATGTAGCATACAAAAATCAACAGAGACAAGCCATTTTGAATGATGTATTTCTTTTTTCATTTATGATACTATTGCTGGTGCACAATTTGCAGTTGTCATAATGCTTCAAAAATATATTAACATTTTCAGTGACAAAGGCTGCAACTTATATTTCCTTCATGATAGCTTGTGTACGCTTTTTTAACAGACTTTCATAGTTAATAAAATGAAAAAATATATATATAATCTCCATTTTCTCTGGTCTTGTTTTCCGTCCAGGTTCTAAGTGAATCTAGTTGATCCAACAGTCAGTTTGGGTTGTGAGTGTTGGGTCTGTCACTCTTTTGATATCTGGGATTATAAAAATTTCCAAATGGGAAGGTGAGGGATTTAACCCATGCATGGGCATGAGAATGCCACTCAGGGCCGAGTTGTTCAAAGCTGGGTTAAGATAACCCAGGGTTACTGCGAAATTTGAATTCAGATTTGAAAGCTTAAAAAGCATTTCAGTTTTAATTCTTTTCGTCGACAAGTTGACGATTGGAAGTCCTAAAAATAACAGAGAAAATTATCCAAGAAAATACTTTTGAACATAAGAAAAAGGAAATCCTGGTTTAATTTAACCCCGGGTTAAGTGCTAATTGGCCTCTGAACAACTGGGCCCAGGGGTTGAAGACCTGGCCCTGGTTTATAGTCAAACCAGGAAAACCGTGAACCCCGGAAATATTTCCGGAATGTTATTGTGTAGAAAGAAAAAAAGGCAATCGGGCGTAAGAAACTAAACTGCAAGCAAGAATGGTAATTTATTAGTTTGTGGTTTTGCGGCTAGTAAGTGTACCCTGGCCCTGGTTGTTCAAATGTCGGATAGCACTATGCACTGGATAAATCACTATCCAGTGGACAAGTGTTTGGGAAACCAATTGCGTTATCCACTGGATAGAGATAGAACAACTGAGGCAATCTTTGCTGTAATTGGTCATAACACAATAAACATTCCTGAAATATTTCAAGTGTTCATGGCTTTCCTGGTTTGACTGTAAAATGAAGAAAAACAAGGAAAGAGTAGTTGTGTGACAGTAGGTAAGATGCAGGTCAAAAGTGCAAGTTAAAGTACAGGGCCTAGTTGTTGGAAGGCCGATTATTGCTAACCCAGGGGAAAAATTTTAACCTCCATTTGTTTTTCGTTTGTTCAAAAGCATTTTCCCGGGTAATTTCCTCTGCTCTTTTTAGAAAATCCAATCATCAAATTGTAGAAAAAAAGAATAACACTGAATTTGATTTGTAAGCTTTCATATCTGAATTCAAATTTCGAACTAACCCTGTCTTATCGTATCTTAACCCTGCTTTGAACAACCTGGCCCAACACTAAAAGTGTCACCTAGCCACAATCCAAAATGGAGTTTTAGCTTAGGGGAAAAAAGTTTATCTCAGTTATAAATCAATAGAGCAGTGACTATGACCTGTGTGTTGTACCTGCCAGTTTCTTGGTGTTGCAGCATGCAGATGGTGCAATCACCGAGTTATGTAAAACAAAAGATTGAGCTGAACAATACCTACACCACAAAACAAAAGCGAACCAAAAAATGGTTTCAGCAACACCAAAGAAACACCGTAGTTACTAAAACAAGGAATGACCTACAAAGATCTACAATGACCTACAATGATGTACAATGACCTACAATGATCTACAATGACCTACAATGATCTACAATGAGCTACTATGAGCTGCTAGGAGCTAAAATGAGTTAAAATAAGCCCTACAATGAGCTACAAAATGACAGACAATGATGTTAAGCTACGTTTGTCGTGTGTCACGCTTGGACGCGACACTAGGCTCATGGTATTAAATTGCCAAGCACATTTTGAAAAGGCAAAACAAAAATGAAGCCTGATCTCAGGTAACTTGAGAAACTTGAAAATAAATTATTGCAATCGCGTTTTTACCGGTAACACTATTATACCCTGTATTGATGGAAGTCATCCTGCGCCTGCATGAATCCTGTATTGTCACAGTACTGTGACTTTTGTCCAAACCATCCCTTGCAACCTTTCTCGTTAGTTGTGTTTTGTGTTGTCCTTTTTTCAAACAAATTAAACAGTACTGTGACAATACACTGGATTCACGCAGGCGCAGGATAACTTCCATCAATACGGGGTATACCGGTAAAAACGCGATTGCAATAATTTATGTTCAAGTTTCTCAAGTTACCTGAGATCAGGCTTTATTTTTGTTTTGCCTTTTCAAAATGTGCTTGGCAATTTAATACCATGAGCTTAGTGTCACGTCCAAGCGTGACACACGACAAACATCATTGTCGTCTGTCATTTTGTAGCTCATTGTAGGGCTTATTTTAACTCATTTTATACTTATTTTAGCTCCTAGCAGCTCATAGTAGCTCATTGTAGATCATTGTAGGTCATTGTAGATCATTGTAGGTCATTGTAGGTCATTGTAGGTCATTGTAGATCATTGTAGGTCATTCCTTGTTTTAGTAACTACGAAACACCCAGAACATACCTACATGTACCCTCTAGGATCACCATCCCAAAGAGAGGCCAGTTTTCTCTTTAGCTTTTCTAGTAGTTTGAAAATCTCTCTAGATGGATGAAATACTCCTGAATTTTAATGGTGGCAATCTGTCGGTGGGTCTCTTGCTTGCGCGCACCAAAAAATCATCAAGCTTTTTCGCACTTATCTGAAAGGCTGAAAGGGGTCTGGGGCTTATTCTTAAAATTTTTAAAACAACACTAGACTTCTTGCAGTCCGCCTTTTCTCTTAAAATCCGTCAAAAACAACACTGGCTCGGGCACTCACAAAGACAAGAAAACAGGATTTTATAGACAACAGTTTAACTCTAATGCAATAGGCCAAGAAAGCTGGAGATTTGAGGTCGACCTTTCTGTAATGTCCTTTTTCAAATTTCTACCAAAAATGGTCTCTTTTAACACGTGACGGGACAGTACTCCAGTTACGTTGCAATCGTTCAGAATCGTTCCGCCCCCGATTACTGCTCCGTTCTGTGCACCACCATCCGAAGTAAACCTTTCCTTTGATAACAGATCCTACTATGATTCCAATTTTTCATCGCTACAGATCGTTTGGCTTGTAGTATGTAAAAGTTGTAATACTGTGTAGTTTACATGTGTCCGTGGCCATGGAGTCGTCCATACCAGTAGTGGACTTCAGCCAAATGAGCTTGAAAAAAGGAACCGATCATGAAGATTACGCTCCAGAAAGCATACAACAGTTGGCAGATGAAATACACCGGGCGTTCAGCACAGTGGGGTTTGTTTACCTGAAGAATCATGGCATCCCACAACAAAAGGTTAGAGAATTTACAGAAAGATCATTTTTGTTCCCCTGGCTATACGTACCTGACTATTTCATTCATCCTATCCCCGGCCATGATGTTCACCACCAGTGAGTCAGTGACAAGACTACAAGAGGTTACCATCTTGATTTTACAGGATGTGAGAAATCTAGGGACAAGATTGGGTACCACTGTCTGTTCTGATCCCCATCACAAGGTGATAACATTTGAAACTCCCCCTCTCCACCCATGGATGAGATTTTCTGAGGGGCTGGACAGAGGGGATTGGGAAGGGGGGGGGGGTCTTTATCTCTGAGGGGTTTATTGGAGCTGACACACGGCCACTCTTTGCAAACTCACTGAAAACCTTTGCTTAAGAAGCCTTATAAATGCAGTCAACTTTTTTAAAAGGATATGGTGAACACCTCCCTAAAACAAACACTGAGATTTGGGCCCTGCTACATGGAGACCTAACAAGCTTAAGGGGATCCTCATACTGACAATACTGTTTAAGAAAGTGCATGTGGCAAGAACTTGACAGGGGATGCATAGGATCATGAAAAATTAGAAAGACTCTCTCATTATATTTTGAAGATTGATGGTATTTTCAAGTTGAGTGATGACTTTTTTCAACTGGATGATGAAGCCAAGCAGGCATATGCTCGTCCTGCCAGTGGAAGTGGACATGGATGGGTTGCCTTTGAAAGAGAAAAGTATTAATCTTATTATTACTGTGTGACAATTTGACATTTCTGTGGGAGTTTTCAAATGATAATGTGCTTTTTTAATAGAATAATCTCTCTCCAAAAAAAAGTAATATTTACTCCTTTTTTACTGTTCAGAATATTTTAACTCATAATAATCAAGAGTGATCTTGTTAAATGGATCTCTCATTGTGCCCTACAAAAAGAGGTTACTTTTCTCATATGGCTTTAGCATTTGTAAAGTTGTGACATTAGATATGTTAATGACTTCCCATATGCCTATGGGAAAGAAACCTCTGCTTACAGGATAATTTTTTTGCTCAGTAGATTTATATGTGATGCCAAAGTGGATGTGATTTGAAATAACTTGTAAAAGCTGAGAGAAAGTCACAAAAACCATCAGAAAGGTGTACGTATTTATGTACTTTCCAATCTCATTAATCATAATATTATTTAGTGGCTGTATTTTTTCTTTGAATGGCCTCAAAATCTAATTAGTAAAGAACATAAAATTTATGTTCCTTAATAATTAAAGAACATAAATTTTATGTTCTTTAATTATTAATTAGATTATGATATTTAATATTTATATATACCATATAGAAAAGACTGTTTGATTGAGTGATTATTGATTGATTGATTTTTGGTAGAGTAAGTGCAGATAGGCCAGCAGATCACAAGGAAGCCTTTAACATTACAGAACCATGCAATGAACAGCGCGTGAGTTGAATTTTCCAACATTTGAATAACTTGCTTAGTTCAGAGTTCCATTTTTTTGTAAGAAATTAAATCATTGGTAAGCATATCCTGCCACTCAACTGTTTCTTTTTAATGCATATATCATATTATGAGTAGGTTGTGGCCCTGTTACCTTTAACACTCTTATATGCTGCATCAATTTTTGACAGAGGATCGGATGTCAGTGGAGGATCAAACCAAGTGGCGGGTGTGGGGGTTGGGGGTACGGGGACAGTCATTTAGACCTTAGTGATGGGTCTAGGTCTTGAAAAACCTTTTTCACTTGGTCCTCAAGGGAGCTTTGTAAATGGATGTTTCTCTACTGAAATTAATCCTTTAATCATTATTTTATTTAAAGAAAATGGACTGGTTTATGTCTTTCCTCCTGCATGGGAAAAGTCCACATTTAGCTGTTATCAATCATTTTCTTGATCTGCAGCACTTTTGTCCTTTTTTGATCATAGGGGCTCTTTTTAATGCCTAAAAGCCACCTGATGTAATTTTTGTTATGACATTTTCCTGTTGTCAAGGTTTGGCCAGATGATAAGGTACCAAGTTTTCAGAGTGAGATAGCATCATTCTTTAAACTTTGTGGTGACTTGTCCTTACGAATACTCCATGTCATGGCCCTTGGACTGCAGCTCAAGGTAAATCGTTTCTTATGTCCCTAAGCATTTTTATGTGAATAGCATTTTCAAGGGTAGCATATTCATTTGACAGCCACCTTGGGGAAAAAAGAAAGTGGACGTTCTAAAGAGGTTTGAACCAGAGTCAATGTATGGGCTGTCCGCCAAAAAAAGGGTGACCATTGTAGAGAGGTGGCCATTGTGTAAAAGTGGCCGTTAGTGGAGGTTCAACTGTATGTACATAAACTACGCAAGGAGCAAGGGTGTGGCAGTGGTAAGAGCAGTCGCCTCCCACCAGTGTGGCCCTGGTTCAAATCCTGGTGTTGACACCATATGTGGGTTGAGTTTGTGGTTGGTTCTCTCCTTCGCTCCTAGAAGTTTTTTCTCTGGGTACTCCGGTTCCCCCCTTTCCTCAAAACTCAACATAATTATCTTTAAATTCCAAATTCCAATTCGACCAGGAATGGTAAACGAAGAACCACTACAAGGATGTGCTACCTCTAAATCGCTATTTAACTGCACTTTTTCAGTTGTCATTTAAGTACTAATCAAGATCAGGTGACCTTTGCATACTACATAATTCTTCTTTTTAATGTAGGATCCAGAAACATTCACAAGCACTCACAAAGCTATGGAGACAACAAAGAATTGCACTACATTACGTTTGTTGAACTATCCTGGCTTTTCTAAAGAAGCTGTCGTTAAACCAGGACAGATTCGCTGTGGAGAACACACCGACTATGGCTCCATCACACTGCTTTTCCAGGATGATATGCCTGGACTAGAGGTATGGTAGTAACCTTTTCCTCCCCTAGGTCAGTCGTGGAGAATGAAACTGTAGGTTAAACCTTTAGTGCACTTTTGTGGTCGAAATCTGGTGGAGGGTTTGTGTACAAAAAGTGGACAACCGAACCTTGGGAGATTACGTAGCATCAAAACATTATACGTGCTGCCTTTTTTGCATTGCCCAGATCTAAAGGGCGATTCAGTATCGCTGGTTTATCTAGAATGGAAAGAAAGGAAGAGCCTTTCGGATACTTGGTTTTTAGTTCACATAAAAAGCTGATGGTATTGTTACCAGAAGTATAATTTGCACTCCTTTAACCAGTTGTGTTTCACTCTACAGGTCTTACCTCTTGGATTTACTGAATACATACCCGCCCCGCCCTTTCCTGGAGCAATTATCGTCAATGTTGCAGACCTCATGCAGAGATGGACAGCTGATAGGCTTAAATCAACGGTAAGCTGGTTACATGCTCTTTAAAACTGATCCTGAGTACAATGGAATTTCTACTACAGCTACCTCCCTGCAACGGCCACTTTTCAGTTATGGTTGACAGTCCATACATTCACCAGGGGGCGTAGCTAGGATTTTTCCAGTCGTACGCACAGTGTTTCACATCAACCGAATTCCCGTCTCCCCAAAATCGACGGGAACGAGAACGGAAAAAAAAGCAATAGGTTTAGATTAGCAAAGCAAGAACTTTGCACGTGCATCACGTTTTTTTGTACGCTTGTTTGCCATCAATGCACGACTACAACATGAAAGTGCCTCATTTCACGTTTTGTCGAGGACGGGAACAGAAAACAACAACTTTCTTTTCTTTTCCTGAACTTTGATACAGTCCTTTAGAATTCAATTCCAAAAGCCTTTTCCAACATTTGACCAATTAAACGAGATAGAATAAGCGTCATAAAGTTTAAAGCAGCCAGCATTCACTTTTTAAGTGACGTTTTCGTAGCCGTCGCCGTCGTCGTCGTCGGATCTTGAGCTCCCTAATTCCATAAAGTTCACTTGGTTGAATTCTAATTCTCTTTTCGCTTTGGTGAAGTAATAGTCTCTTGTGATAATTTCTTTTATCATTTCAGTACCACGATAGAGATACCGGTACGGGTAAAAAAGAATGTTTTTCTGTCACAAAAAACTTTAATTTTCGCCCCTTAAGGAGAAGACGAGCATTGCCGCACCGTAATTTTTAGGGAGTTATTATAACTCCAAAAATGGAGTAAAAATTGTAGGTACAGGATAACCCCTTTTTTGGAGTTATTTTAACTCCTAATTTAACTCCGAATTTGGGGTCATTTTTACTCCTGAAAAAGAGTTCTTTTTACTCCCAGTATGCAGTTAAAATAACTCCGAAATGGGGTTATTTTTTTCTCCTTACGTGGGTTGTTTTTACTCTTTTTGGAGTCAATTTAACTCTGAAAGTGGAGTAAAAATTTTAGGTACAGGATAACTCCTTTTTTGGGGTTAATGTCTGGGGTCACTTTTGCTCCTGAAAAAGAGTTCTTTAAACTCCTTTTTGGAGTTAAAGTAACTCCCCAAAAAATAACTCCACTGTAAGGAGTTAAATTAGCCCCACTAGAGGAGTTATCATAACTCCTTGAAAATTACTGTGTGTCCCTTTCTGTGTGGGAGCTCCGCCGGACGTCTAAATAAAGGCCTAGGCCAAACGTCAAACTTTTCATAAGACGAACCAAGCTCTAATTTGGGTCGACCTAAATAAATTGAGTTAAGATCGTCTGTTGGGTCAGACGTCAAACTTAGGACGCGTCGAACCAATCAACTGAATCAGACCTAACGGCAATTTTAATAAACTTTCCCCCGAACGAAGCTAAATATACCCATTATCATACACATTTTTAATATATTAGTTTAGTTCCTCGCATGTGTTGAAGTCCGACGTTTGTCCCGGAGACGATCCTCAGACGTTCTGTCCGTCTGAAGCCTACGGATAGAACGTGTTGGATGATCCAAACTCACGAAGACGAACTTACTGAGCCAGATGTCTAACCTTTGACGAACTTAACTCACCAAGTTTGGTTCGTCTCATGAAAAGTTCGACGTTTGGCCTGACTTAAGCTTGCGAAAACTACAACCACGGCCTTAGGCAAAGAGATAGCGAGTTTTGTTGAGGAACTAGATTTTAGATAGTTGAAACTAATTTTAAGATAACAATAAACTAGAAATAAGATATGATCATTTTTGTAAGGGTTGTCCGCACGTATCCAGATATTTTTGAAAACAGCGTCTTTGTCTCCGTTTTAGCCGTCCGTCTACAAGTCAACAGGTAAACAGCGTTTATCGGGAGCCGAAAACGCTGGTTTTCAAAAGCGGTCCCCAGAATGGAGAGGTTTATAAATGCCACACTCTCGTTTACCTTTGGATGGACTAAAACGGAGGTTTTCGAATACGCTAATGTCATACGCTGTATTACTACAGGAGCTCCATCGTATTTCTATCGTTTTATCGTTTTCATGTGGACGGGTGAAATCGAGTTAAGTACACTACATGCGGACGCGTATTGTTTGAGGAAAAAGAAAATAATCTCCTCTTTCGAAAATATGTGGATAAGTTTGGAAAGGGCCTAACTGGTCACTGTCGTAACCTTGTATACACTGTTTACACGCTACGTACATCGCATGCGAAAAAGTTTTACCTTTTAAATCCGCCCATAATTGTAAATTGTAAATTGTAAATATCTTATTATCCACTCCCCTCAGGGCTTTTCAGGGATAATTTACAACACTGTTTGGGGGACTTTGCCAGACTGCTTAAGGTGCAGTTTACAAGTAGTTAAGGAATGAGTAATGATGCCCCCATACATGAGTGTGAAAGTGAGATAGGCCACTACACCGGGCACTACGTGCCCTACTCTTTACGAAGAGTGTGTGGGTTCTTTAACGTCCCACAGATTTAATACATGTGCAAGGGCTTGTGAGACGGGGCCTACGGTTTATCGTCCTTATCCGAGAAGACTAGAGAGTCTAGCCGTTTGCAGATATTATTACAAAGGCAGCACTTTCTCCTCAGTTATTTAAAGACCCTGAGTGTTGGTCCGGCCGGGGTTTGAACCCGCGACCTCCCGCTCAGTAGACCGGCGCTCTCCCAACTGAGCTAACCAGGCGGCGGTGACATCACTAATAACGTTCGCTATATTTTCCGTCTCTTTTTCAGCGTCACCGTGTTTCTATCCCAGAAGAGGAGTGTCACAGACGAGTTCCTCGACGCTCCCTGGCCTTTTTTGTACATCCCGACGATGACACCGTAATAAAGTGCCTAGATGGGTCTGAGAAGTACCCCTCAATAACGGCCTATGATTACCTGTGGCAGAGACTAAATGCAACTTATGAATACTAATAAGAATAAGATAGATGTATTCCAACTAGTTTGATTTCATCGATACTTTTAAAAGCCAAATTTTTGGTATAAAATAGGTAAAGTCAATTTTGCCCACTCTAACCAGAAGGAAACACACACACACCTAGACTAATTTGCAACGAACGACCATACTTACGTATATCTCAGAAAGCAACTCGCAATTAGCCGACCCAGCCCTCTGGTCCGTGCCGGCAAAATAGCTATTTCTGCCTGTTCTGTGATACTACACTGTCAGAAATACCATTTAGCCTTATTAGATAAATAGCGTGAAAGAATTAATAAAAGACGCCCTGATTGGTTGCAATTTGTAGTATTAAAATTTATTTTCTTATGATGTTTATATCTCTCATTAAAGCGAACTATGCACGAAAATCCCGCAAGACTTTCAGGACTTTGAAGTTATCATTTCGTTGATAAAAAGCGGCTGTAATTTCGGCATTTTCATCTAACGAGAGAGTTTATGCAAGGTTTTTGCACAACAGAGATTATCAAAGGGCCGTCAGTAAAATAGACCCTTTGCCCTTTCTAGCTTAGTTTTAGCTACCGACCTAATAACACAACTGAAAGAAAAAAAACCTTAAAAAGAGAGAAAGTTCTTAAAATTACATCGGAGCTTGATTTCTAATTCATGCTCGCTGCCTTTCGCCAGAATTTTTCTTTTTCTTTACCCTTTAAAAGAATAAATTGCCGTAATGGCATTTTCTTTTTAAAACACGTCACGGCTCAGAGTTCACTTTGTTTAGATAAAAAAATTAAAAGTTGTTTTAAAAAAACGTTATGAAGTCTCCAGGGACAAGGCGCGAGAGAAAATTTCCTGTGTTAAAAGTGGGAAGGTGGTAAGTTAAATGCTGATAATTGCAAATAAAACTCCGACGTTACGGCAATGCTGCCTTCATCGGGGAAAATATGTGAGTTTGTTATTCTTGGTTTGCACGTGACGTCAACAAAAATCTAACTAAGAAACTATCGATTCTTTTGAGTTTCTACTTTCACGAGGTATTACAGCACCTAAACACCTTTATATAAACAAATTTTTGGTTCCAAAGGGTTCTTCGTTTTGCGAGAGAGGACGCTTGAAGTCAGCCAGGTTTTTGCGTGACGCGGCATTTAGCTGACGGCCCGAGAGCTCTTCTGTGGGTTAAAAACATTACTGATTTGGGGAGATTTTGCTATCTAAACATTCCTTGTCTCAGTATAATGCATCAGTCAATTCCATCTGCGCCGAGCTCCCCCCGGGCTACTGCGGGGCATTTGCCCGCCTTGACAGTCCCGGGGGTGGGGCATTTGCAAATTTTGTACTGCCCGGGGGCCGTGCATTTGCCAACCCCGCAGCCATTGCCGAGCTTCTGACACGCACGCGGTTTCCTATCAGAATATAACTGCACAGAGGGTTTTACTGGAAAAAAAGCAGATTGGCTCATCTGTCAAGGACAGCAATAAATTGAAGAGGGTTGTACAGGCATGTTCTCGATTTTATGCATGCATTTCTTTATTGCTTATCGATACATAGCGAAATTGGAGCTATCGATGTGAATCAACGTTTTTTGGTTGCTGAATCAAATTTCTGTAGATATTATTTGAAGAACACCCTTTCATAACTTTACAATAGTTTTATATCAATACATACTAAAACCATATACTGGTGCATGTCGTCGTGAGAATGGTTAGAATACTGGCGCGTCGTTAGAATCCTAGCGCTCTTAAAAAGGAAGACGTTAATTGAAACAAAAAAAATGGAGCATTAAAATGCTTAAAACGGCACTATTCGACTGTGCGATCAGTGAAAAATGTTGCAGTGTTGACGGAGGAATGGGCATTTGCCGTCTTTTTTCGTCCCCGCCCGGGGGATTTGACAGCTCAAGAGTCCCCACCCCCCGGAATTTGCCATCCATGGAAAAAAAAATGCCAATGCCCGGGGTTCAGCCCGGGGGGGCGCTAGGCGCAGATGGAATAGACGGATGCATAAATATTACTTTAATCTTTATGAGTTCCTCAAGCGAAGAATTCAGGAATTAAAAGGAAAACTCGAAAACAGATGTTTCTGTTGGTATCTTGCGGCAATATTGGTGTCCCTGAAAGGGACTCCAACATGGGCGTCTGGAAAAGCAGGAAACCGGAATCCGGAAAAGGAACGGGAACAGAAACAGGAACCGGAACCGGAATAGGAACGGTAATAAAAAGAGGAACCTATATAAAAACAGGGACAACATCTATCATAATTTATGTTAAGTTGGATTTAATTCTTATTCAGATATATACGAAAAATAAGGGAAAAAAGGGAATTGAAACAGTGTATAGAAATATGAGAAGAAAAGGATATAATCATTAAAAAGCCAGAGAAAAAGCCATAGAAAAAAGAAACAAGAAAACACTCTTGAAATGTGAATCTAGGTATAACCTTTCTTTATCTTTACCCTGTGACACCAACCTCGTCCCCAGGGCTTTTCCCTTAAATTGCGTTTTCGTGTCAAACGTAAAAGCGACCTTAAGAAACCAGAACGCTGACCGTCGAGGACTTCATGAATAGCAACCGGAAGTTCAATGTTTCTCCTGATGGAACGCTTCTGTCTCACACAACGAATCCTTTTACCTTCCACTGTAGAATTTGATGAGTCATAACACTGAAAGACAGAAAATATCAACTTCCGGTTTCCATTTTTTACGTCCTGGACGTCAACGTTCTCCTTGCTTAAGGTCCCTATTGCATTCGGTTGAATAAAGCCCAGTGGTAGTACAATATATCTATGCAGCAAACCTAAAGTGTATGACAGCCCAATGAACGTCTTTGATGGGTGTCTCGTTTACACATGGTCTGACAAATAATATTAATATGTAATAAACTCCTTCCTACGAGCGCTAAAAGGAACCAACGCCAACGCCAACGAAAACGCCACTGAGGAATTGAATTCGGTTCCTAATTCAAACTATTGCTCATCCAAATTGTCCAGTCTTTTAAAGGTTGGGAAATGAAGCTGGAGACCGCGTCCGAAGACACAACAAAATCTATCGCCTTGTGGTTCACGTTCTCAAGAGAACTTTATAAGATTTGATCATTTCACGTTGTAGTTGTGCATAAACAGTGAACATATAGACAGAAAGTTTTTTGACCTTCTGGGCTAAGTTGCTCAAAGCATGGTTAGCTTTAACCATTGGTTAAGCAGTATCAAAACCAATACGTTGTCAAGGTATTTAACGCTGGTTAACGCTAACCATGCTTCGAGCAACTGGGCCCTGGTTGCCATAATATAGAGAAATTCGGGGGAGCATGATACCAGGCAAGTTCTCTTATTTTTCATATAAATTGAATTAGAATTAAAACTAGGGTATCTTAAAGATAGTAATGCTGCTCATCTTCTCGTCAAGTTTAACGCCTGGACGAGTCAAAGGCTCAATGAATTGACCAAGTTGACCATCGTACCCATCTGAAAGACTCCTGCGTGTCTTAAATTTGGTAAGACCTCTAACCGTGCTGTAGAAAATTTGCCACAAAGAAAACAGCGAACGATGCACGCTCTCAGCTACCAAACTTCATCGTGCTTTTATTTGAGTTGTTCGTGGCGCAATGCATTTTGATAAAAGGGCGCGCAGTGTACTCTGGTTAAATGCAATGCATTCTGGTAAAAAGTGATGAATTCGAGAATTCGTCCCACCTTATATATTTCCCTTAAATCCTGATTATGTTGCTACTCGCTCCCTACGGTGGCTCCACAGCAATAAATTATGGTAAATGATGTCCCTGTTCTGGTATCCGTTCTCCTTTACATTACTGTTCCTGTTCCGTTTCCGGTTCCTGTTCCCATTCCCGTTCCTATTCTGAATTCCGGTTTCCTGCTTTTCCAGACGCCCATCGGGAACTGGTTTCAGTGCTTCCCAGTTTACCCTGATCTCAATTTAAGTTCGGGTTCCGGTTCCGGTTCCGTTTCCGGCTCCGGTTCCAGATTCCGGATTCCGGCTTTTCCATACGCCCCTTGCGCGCACCAAGCGCGCACCCAGGCCTGGCGCGCACCAAAAAATCACCAGGCTTTCTCGCTTACCTAAAAAGGGGTCTGGGGTTTATTCTTAAAATTTTTTAAAAAAAACAACGCTGGCTCAGGCAATAGGGGATTTTACAGACAACTCTAATGCGATAGGCCAAGAAAGCTGGAGGTCGACCTCTGTACTGTCCTTTTTATTGCTCCGTTCCGTGCACCACCATCCGAAATAAACCTTTCCTTTGATAACAGATCCTGCTATAATGCCAATTTTCCATCGCTACAGATTGTTTGGCTTGTAGTATGTAAAAGCTGTAATACTGTGTACTGTGTAGTTTACATGTATGCGTGGCCATGGAGTCGTCTATACCAGTAGTGGATTTCAGCCAAATGAACGTGGAGAAAGTAACAGAAGACTATACCTGCCAACTTTTTCTGAGATGTAGGCGTGAGATTTTTATCCTGGGAGTGCTGGGATTTTTGAAAACGACACGATCATTTCCGAAGAAGTCCGAAGTCTTCCGAAGACATCCGAAGTCTGCCGAAGGCGAATTTATCGAGAAAACGCTTATCCACAAAATCAGAGATCGCGAGGAAGGTATTGTCATTTATTCATTTTACACATATTTTTGGAAATTGTGTCAAGCAAGACGGCAACAACTCACATTTTTCAATCAGGCGTGAGAAATTGGTCCGCAGGCGTGAGCAGGCGTGAGATCGAAGTTTTCAACCCGCAGGCGTGAGACTCACGCCTAAGGCGTGAGAGTTGGCAGGTATAGAAGACTACTCTCCAGAAAGCATACAACAGTTGGCAGATGAAATACACCGGGCGTTCAGCACAATGGGGTTTGTTTACCTGAAAAATCATGGCATCCCACAAGAAAAGGTTAGATCTAGAGAAGTTACAGAAAAATCATTATAGTTCCCCTAGCTACAAGTACCTGACCTATTTCATTCATCGATCTCTCCCCGGCTGGATGTTCACCACCGGTGACAAGACTGCAACAGGTTACCATCTTGATTTTACAGGGAGTGAGAAATCTAGGGACAAGATTGGGTACCACTGCCTGTTGTGTTCTGATCCCCATCGCAAGGTGATAACATTATTTTGAAACTCAACAAGTAAAACCTGTATTAAGCGGACACCCTCCGGGACTGCAGTAGTGTCCGCTTAATGCAGGGTGTCTGCCTAATACAGGTTTCGATAGATATAACGTCATATGAGGTGTCAATAACATGCCATTCAAATGAACAGTGGAAACATCTAGAATACTCCCAGAGACTATGACAATATACGTTTGCATTAATTTCTTTATCAAAGTGGACCAATTGATCATAGTACCATAAACATAGATTGCAACTCAAATTTGAAGAAATCAGATGAGTGAAACAAGCTCTATACAAACAAAACGAAATAGAAAACAATACCGTACTGTGAAACTAATAAAATAAGTTGGTCAAGTCACGTTTTTTAATGTAAAAATTGAAAATGTGGGTGGCAATTCGAAGCAATCGTTCACATTTCCGGTGTCTGGCATCACAGGAAAAAATAACGAATCCCCATTTTTGGATATTTTAGGGTATTTAAAGAATACCCATAAAAATCCCAAATTTGGCAAAGTGAGACAAGTCCCAACCCAGGAATTCCCAACCAAGTTTCCTGATTGGGACTTGTCTTACTCTTCCAACTTTGGGATTTTTGTGGGTATTCTTTAAATACCCTAAAATATCCAAAAATGGGAATCAGTTAATTTTTTCCTGTGCATGTTGGGTGGTGGAATTTAATTACAAGTGTCCCCTTAATTATACAGGTTAGCAACCCAGGGGCGGGTGGGACTCTGCATATGAAAGGGGTGGGGATGCTCGTCTCGATTAGGGGTGTAAATTTCGCATTTTGGTCTCACTTAGAGTGTTCTGGGCAAAACCCCACCATATTTAGCCGTGAAGGTCTCGTTTAGGGTGTTGCACGTGAAAAAGTATAAAAATATGCGTATTGACTGACTCTTTTAGGGGTCAAAAAAAGCTGGGCCATGCCCAGATCGGTCTCTTTTAGGGGTTTAAAACAAAATTTCTGACGAGCATCCTCACCCCTTCGATATGTGGAGCCCCTCCTTCCCCGGGTTGGCAACAATAGAAATGACCATTTCAGGTACTTTTTAGGTGCCGGCGTACGCCTAATAGAGGTGTCCCCTTGATAAAGGTTTCATTTAAAGAAAATTAGGGACATGAATTTGGGGACTTTGGCTACTGTCTGCTTAATAGAGGGTGTCTGCTTAATACGGTGTCCGCTTAAGACAGGTTTCAATATAGGGGGATTGTTAAAACTGTCTACCCCCTCCACCCATTGAACAGATAAGATTTTCTGAGGGGCTGGACAGGGCTAGGGCCTGGGGTCTTTATCGCTGAGCGGTTAAATGTAGCTGACACGTACACTTGCACTCTTTGCAAACTCACTGAAAACCTTTGCTTATAAGAACTCTTAAGTACAGTCAACTTTTTCTTAAAAGATACGGTGAACACCTAGCCCTAAAATGAACACTAGATTTGGTCCCTGCCATTCAGCATGGAGATCTAAGAAGGAGATCCCTATACTAACAATACTATATAAGGAAGTGCATGCAGTAAGGACTTGACAGGGGTTACATAGGATATATCATGAAATAAAAATTAGAAAGACTCTCTCATTATATTTTGAAGATTGATGGTATTTTCAAGTTAAGTGATGACTTTTTTCAACTGGATGATGAAGCCAAGCAGGCATATGCTCGTCCTGCCAGTGGTAGTGACCATGGATGGGTTGCCTTTGAAAGAGAAAAGTATTGATATTATTGTTACTGTGTGACAATTTGACATTTTTGTGGCAGTTCTCAGTTCAATGAGGGGTATAGAATAACATGGTACCCGAAAAACATGGGTTTTGGAAAATTTTGGCCCAATCTCGAAATCTTGACATTTAAAATAAGCATCTCGGAATCTAGGGCTGGCTAAAAATTGACTCGTCTCGGGGTCTCAAATTTAGCTGGCAAATTTAGTTTAAACACCATGAAACACAGACACCAATATATATACCGTTAACAGCAGTAAATAACTAACAAAATTATGGCACATAATGAATGGGAGCCTTATTCATTGCCACTCCACTTATTCTTAACCATGAGCTTGATACAGGCAATGGCTAAGAACTTCATTGGTACCATTTCCTCGAAATGTTCAGCACTTAGAATCTTGGGCTGGGATTTTTTAAGAATTAAGTCTCGGTCTCGGATTAGATAAAAAGCCTTAAGTCTTGGTCTTGAATTTTTAAACCAGAGTTTCGTGGTCTCGCAAAGTCTCGAATTTACCATTCTATACCCCTCCAATTATTTCTTTTATTATAATCTCTCTCCAAAGTAAAAAATCTAAGATTTACTACTTTTTTACTGTTCAGTTATGTGTGATGCCAAAGTGATGTGATTTGATTATAACTTGTAAAACCTCAGAGAAATAAAGCTGCAAAAACCACCAGAAAGGTGTATTTATGTACTTTCCAATCTCATTAATAATTATTATAATGGCTGTATTAATTTTTTCTTCAATGGCTTCAAAATCTATAATTAAAGAACATAAATATTATATTCCACATAGAATAAAATTATGCCAAGGTCAAACAGAAAAAGACTGTTTGATTGAGTGATTGATTGATTGATTTTTGGCAGAGTAAGTGCTGATAGGCCAGCAGATTACAAGGAAGCCTTCAACATTACAGAACCACATAATGAACAGCAAGTGAGTTGATATTTTCAACATTTGAATGACTTGCTTAGTTTAGAGTTCTATCTTTTTGTAAGAATTTAAATCATTGGTAAGCATTAATTTTCATGCCCTGCTACTCAACTGTTTCTTTTTAATGCATATAATTATCATTTTTGTTTAAGGAAAGATAATAAAGGATGTATTTATGTATGTATATAATGAGTAGGTTGTGGCCCTGTTATCTTTAACACTCTGATATATGCTGCATCAATTTTTGACAGAGGAGGTCAGTGAAGGACCAACCCAGGTGGTGGGTGTGGCGGGTTGGGGGTACAGGGACAGCACTCATTTAGACCTTATATAGTGATGGGTCTAGGTCTTGAAAAACCTTTTTTTACTTCATGGTTCTCAAGGGAGCTTTGCAAAAGAATGTTTCTCTACTGAAATAAATCCTTTAATCCTTTTTTCATGCAACGAAAATGGCACTGGCTTATATCTTTTCTCCTGCATGGGAAAAGTCCTTATTTAGCTGTTATCAATAATTTTTTTGATCTGTAGCATTTTTGTGTTTTTTTTTATCACGGGGCTCTTTTTAATCCCTAAAAAGCACCCGATATAATTTTCTTATGATACTTTATTTTTGTCAAGGTTTGGCCAGATGATAAGGTACCGAGTTTTCAGAGTAAGATAGCATCATTTTTTAAAATTTGTGGTGACTTGTCCTTACGAATTCTCCATGTCATGGCCCTTGGACTGCAGCTCAAGGTAAATCGCTTCTTATGTCCCCTAGCATTTTTATGTGAATAGCATTTTCAAGGTTCGCATATTCAGTTGAACCTCTTCACAACAGCCACCTAATGGGGAAAAAGAACGTGGCCATTGTAGAGAGGTTTGAACCAGAGTCAATGTATGGACTGTCTGCCAAAAAAGGGTGACCATTGTAGAGGGGTGGCCATTGGTGCAGGTTCAACTGTATGAACATTTTCTGGTGAATTAGTGCTCAAAGAGCAAGGGTGGTGCATTGGTAAGAGCACTCGCCTCCCATCACTGTGGCCCTGGTTCAAATCCTAGTGTCAATGCCATTTGTGGGTTGAGTTTTTCCTTTGCTCCTAGAGGTTTTTCTCTGGGTACTCCGGTTTCCCCCTCTCCTCAAAAATCAACATTTCCTAATTCCAAATTCCAATTCGACCAGGGGATGGTAAACAAAGACCCACTACAAGGATGTGCTACCTCTAAATCATTATTTAACTGCACTTTTTTAGTTGTCATTTAACTGCTCATTAAGGTCAGGTGGCCGTTGCATATACTACATAATTCTTCTTTTTAATGCAGGATCCAGAAACATTCACGAGCACTCACAAAGTTATGGAGTCAACAAAGAATTGCACAACATTACGTTTGTTGAATTATCCTGTCATTTCTAAAGAAGCTGTTGTTAAACCAGGACAGATTCGATGTGGAGAGCACACCGACTATGGCTCCATCACACTGCTTTTCCAGGATGATATGCCTGGACTAGAGGTATGGTAGTAACCTTTTCCTCCCCTAAGTCAGTCGTGCAGAAAAAAACTAGTTCAAATATATAGTACACTTTTGTGGTCGAAATCTGGTGGAGGGTATATGTACAAAAAGTGGACAACCCAACCTTGGGATACTAGATAGCATCAAAGCATTATCTGTGCTGCCTTTTTTACATCGCCCGAAACTAAAGAGTGATTTATCTGTGATTTATCTAGAATGGAAAGAAAGGAAGAGCCTTTCGGATACTTGGTTTTTAGTTCATGTAGATAGCTGATGGTATAGTTACTAGAAGTATAATTTGCACTCCTTAACAAGTTGTGTTTCACTCTACAGGTCTTACCTCTTGGATTTACTGAATACATACCTGCCCCGCCCTTTCCTGGAGCAATAATCGTCAATGTTGCAGACCTCATGCAGAGATGGACAGCTGATAGGCTTAAATCAACAGTAAGCCCGTTACGTGCTCTTTAAAACTTATCCTGAGTACAATCGTCAACTTCTACTAATGCTACCTCTGCAACGGCCACCTTTTTAGCCATGGTGGACAGTCTTTACATTCACCAGTGGACGTAGCTAGGATTTTTCCAGTCGTACGCACAGTGTTTCACATCAACCGTATTCCGTCTCCCAAAAATCATTAGGGAGCTTAAGTAAAGCGACGGCGACGGCAACGAGAACGGAAAAAAAGCAATAGGTTTAGATTAGAAAAACAACAACTTTGCACGTGCATCACGATTTTTTTGTACATTTCTTTGCCGTCATTGCACGACTACAACGTGCAAGTGCCTAATTTCACGTTTTGTCGAGGACGGGAACAGAAGACAACAACTTTCTTTTTCTTTTCCTGAACTTTGATACAGTCCTTTAGAATTCAACTCCAAAAAACTTTTCCGACATTTGGCGAATTAAACGAGATAGAATAAGCGTTATAAAGTTTATAGCAGTCAGCATTCATTTTTTAAGTGACGTTTTCGTAGCCGTCTTATTTTGGGTCGATCTAAGTTAAGATCGTCCGTTGGGACAGGCGTCGAACTTACGACGCGTCGAACCAATCAACTGAATCAGACCAAAAAGCAATTTTAATAAATTTTTCCCCGAACGAAGCTAAATATACCAGGAGCATATGCGTCTGAATATACCCTTTATGACATTATCATATATATCATACATTTGTCCCGGAGACGATCTTCAGACGTTCTGTCCGTCTGAAGCAGGCCAAGCGTCGAACTTTTCATGAGACGATCCAAACTTGGTGAGCTAAGTTCGACGTTTGGCCTAGGCGTAAGCTTGCAAAGACTAAAACCCAGGCCTTGTCGGCACGCATCCGGATATTTTCGAAAACGGCGCTTTTTTCTCCGTTTTAGCGGTCCGTCCACAAGTAAACAGGTAAACAGCGTTTATCGGACACCGATAAACGCTGGTTTTCAAAAGCTGTCCCCAGAGTGGAGCCCTGGGTGGTACTTGGGTTAATTTTTGCTGGCTATGTGCCGCTGGCCTCTCAGAGCCCCTACCCCATTATAGTCTATTCTGTGGCCAATTATAGACCCCATCTTAGTCACTCTTGGGCAAATATGTAGTTTTCGCGATACCAACTTAGTCACTTTCAATTTTTATGAATTGAACAATTTTTTCGATTGAATGAAGAACACTTTACTTTTCATCTGCAGAACAAACATTCTTGTCCGTTTGCTAACCGTAAATATAAGGAACTGTCTTACTCCAAGAAATCTGTAAATGTGCCACCCTATTCTAGTAACTCTATCGAAAATGCGACACCATTATAGTCAATCCAGTCGTGAAAATACGCACCCATCTACCGGCACATCCCGGGGGACGGTCGAAAACGGAGGTTTTCGAATACGATGATGTCATACATCATATGCAGTAAACACCGACATATAAGAACAAATGGATTAAAAACATGCGGCTGAAATTTGGTCCATAAAACACCATATATATATAAGAACCAGTTAAGCCTGATAAATAATACATGTTCTTTTATAATAAGGGAGAGGGTGTCAGAATAAGAAAACAACGTAACTATGGTTGCTGCTAGAATATTACAATCTCTGCTATTGCTGCTAGACAAATATAATTATTTTACTTATTGATTAACTGATTTCTTTACTCTCTTAGTTATTTATTAATAATAAAATATGCTAACTAAACCTCTAGTAACATGTTATGTGAAGTACTTCTGAAACAAAGTTTAAGAACATATTAAGAACATCTTCAGGCTGATTTCTCACAAAGCACCCAATAAATAAGAACTAGATCAGCCTGAACCCTGAAATCATGTGTTCTTATATGCGGGTGTTTACTGTATTACTACAGAGGCTGCTGTTGGAGCTAGACTACGAGTAGTCCCCCGTTTTTCCTCAGGGATAGTAGAGCGAGCGAAGCTCGAACGCGCGTGAAAATCACCCCACGCGAGAAAAGGCGACATGCGTGTCGCCTTTTCTTGCGCGCTCGCGTTTCGCTCGCTCTACTATCCCTTAGGAAAAATGACATCCTCGGAGACCCAGGGGCAGATAGTGGGGGCGAGGGAAAGTCTAAACGGGCGGAAAAATATGGCACGAAGAAAAGTAAAGAACGGCGAGAAGAGCCCCTGGGGACAATGTCTTACCAGACAAGTTCCAGACGGTCGCCGCCGTTCTGGCTTCTGATTGGTGCCAGAAAAACACAAGTTTTCTGCCACCAATCAGAAGCCAGAACAGCAGCGACCGTTTGGAACTGGTCTGGTAAGACATTGTCCCCAGGGGCTCTTCTCACCGTCCTTTACTTTTCTTCGTGCCATATTTTTCCGCCCGTTTAGACTTTCTCTGGCCCCCACTATCTGCCCCTGGGTCTCCGAGGATGGAAAAATGAGGGACTACTCGTAGTCTATGTTGGAGCTCCTGACTACTAGCATTACGCATGCTCTGTAAGGGATGCTATCGTATTTCTGTCGTTTTAGCGTTTTCATCTGGACGGGTGAAAACGATTTAAATAACCTACGTGCGGACGCGTAATTTTTGAGAACAAAGAAAATAATCTCCGTTTTAAAAAATATTCGAATACGTATGGACAGGGCCTCACTGGTGACTGTTGTAGCCTTGTATATACCTTTTTCACGCTAAATACATCGAACGCGTAAGAGTTTTACGTTATAAATCCGCCCATATTGACATCACTAATAACGTTCGCTATATTTTCCGTCTCTTTTTCAGCGTCACCGTGTTTCTATTCCAGAAGAGGAGTGTCAGAGACGAGTTCCTCGACGCTCTCTGGCCTTTTTTGTACATCCCGACGATGACACCATAATAAAGTGCCTAGATGGGTCTGAGAAGTACCCCTCAATAACAGCCTATGATTACCAATGGCAGAGACTAAATGCAACTTATGAATACGAATAAGAATAAGATAGATGTATTCCAACTAGTTTAATTTCATCGATACTTTTAAAAGCCAAATTTTTAGTATAAAATAGATAAAGTCAATTTTGCCCGCACTTACTACGCAGTAGGAAACACACACACCTAGGCTAATTTGCAACGAACGGCCATACTTAACAATTATTCGCCGAAGGCGAAGTTAATATTATTCAACAATATTCACTGACACGGCTCCGCAAACGAGCTATGCACGAAAATATATCCTGCAAGACTTTCAGGACTTTGAAGTTGTCAGATCGTGGATAAAAAGCGGCTGTAATGTCGGCATTTTAATCTAACGAGAAAGCTTATGCAAGGTGTTTGCGCAGCAGAGATTTTCAAAGGGCCGTCAGTAAAATAGACCCTTTGCCCTTTCTAGCTTAGTTTTAGCTACCGACCTAATAACACAACTGAAAGAAAAAAAAGCCTGAAACTGAGAGAAACGTTCTTAGAATTACATCAGTGCTTGATTTCTAATTCATGCTCGCTGCCGTTCTTAAAGGTGCATCATCGTGCGCCAGACTGTTGAGATTTTTCTTTTCAGGGTTCGTACGGGTCCTGGAAAACCTGGAAAGTCATGGAAATTTAAAATTTCAAAATCCAGGCCTGGAAAACCTGGAAAATATGTGTTGGTCCTTGAAAGTCCTGGAAAATTAGACTTTTCCTAGGACAGTGAATAAGTTTCTTTTCATTTTCGTCGCTCACATTTTCAAGTTTTTTGTGGGCGACAAATGGACGTGTACAATCTTGCAAAATCGTACCTGTCGTTAATCCCAAAACCTGACAGTTGAGAGTCTGGGCTCTAGCTACCCCTGCAGTTTTACGGGCTTCCCATGTTCAAAAATTTTGTTGTTTGTATCTGGATGAGAATGGCGCCGTTGTTTTGTTCTGTTTTAAATCTAGCCTGCAAAGCAGGCGTATTTTGGAGCGCGATCCATGAATTGTTTTCAGGAATGACGTTGTCCCGCCACCTTGGACGTTAATACTACCAGCGAGTTGGGACGTGGTGGCCACGATCAATGTACCTCCGAGTTTTCGTTAAAAAACGCCTGCTCTGCAGGCTATTTTAAATCAAGTCAAAACGAACTCAAAAGTATTGTTTCCGGCCCCTGTGATTAAGCTGAATGAACAATGCCTGGGAAGTGTACTTTCAAAGAAAACTGGACTTCTCACAAGATATACAAAGACTGGATATTACAAGACTCAAGCTCTCAACACAAAGCACGTTGTCGCTTGTGCCAAAAATCATTGGACTACTCAAACATGGGGGAATCCACCCTGAGAAGCAGAGCTGTCAACTCTCCCGGATAATCCGGGAGACACCAGATTTTGGACCGTATCTCCCAGTCTCCAGGTTAGAGTATGAAATCCTCCCCGATAATCGCCGAATTTTGCCATTTCTTGTAGAGTCGACTTTCCGACAAGAAAATTTCAAATATTTTGCGTTGTTTGAGTTATTTTTATCCTGTTAACATCAAGCGTTGTAATCTCCGGTATGCCATTATACTATAAGCAATAATGTGATTGGTGGGAAGTAAACCGATCAAGTCAAATGTTGTGCAACAACATCTCAACCTCGTCCCCAGGGTCTTCTCGCTTTCCAATATGGCGGCGGCAGGAGAGAAGACCCTGGCACACTGCGAACTAAAGCGATCGCTGATTGGTGCATTCCATAGCGCGTTCATACGTGCGCTCTCATTGGTTTATTCCTTCCAAAACAAAGATGGTTAACATTTGAGGGCTTCGTAGAGGCTAAGAAGTGCTTTCTTCAGTGTTTGAGACCTAAAAGGTGTTTGACAGAATTCAGATCTGATTGTTCGGAAAACTGTGACTGTACCGTTGGAAGGCAAAGATTCGAATATAGTGATATCTGGTAATCGCTGGGAATATTATAACGCGTAGAGGTATTTCTGTTACTCGTGCTATTTGGTTTGTGTGTTCCGAAAATTACTAAAGATGTTTTTTTAATTCCCGATTTGTGAAAGAATACTTGCAAGGCTTCACCTTATCAATAAATTTAGCTGCCCGTTGCAAAGGTGTAGTATTGTTCTGCCTTTTGTTTTCTCTGAACAAAAGCTGTATGCATAATATTATTAATGTATGAGGTTATACGGAAATCTTGCATAATCTGCCCTTTGTCTCAGCAGTTTTTTGTCAAGTGAAACATTCTTTTCATTTGATCGTAACATTCATGGGCCTAACCTGGCCTTCTTTTAATTTTTCCACTGTGATTTTGAAGGGGGACGAGGAGCGAGAGAGGCAGATGTCGAAACAAAACTAAAAATTGAAGCCAAACATAGTGTCGCTATCATTTGATATTTTTAATCCTGACTTTTCATTTATTCAGTTTTTAGTGTCACAATAATGATAATTTATTATTATTTGCTCATTTCATTGGCAGTAAAATACAGCTAAATACAGAGACATTGGGAAAATAAACTGTTTCCTTTCTCAGAAATGAAAAACTTACATATTGATGTATTGAAGCTTGTGGGATTTCTTTCTAGTTGCAATAAAATAAATGAAAGCACATGATGTCTTTTATTTTATCAAGTTGAAAATAGTGATCAGCCCATTCAAGGAAATCTGACAGTCTTGGATTCTCAATTTTTGCGCAATGGATACTGCATTCTGGATTCTTTGTCAGTGGAACATGGATTCGGATTCCAGTTATAAGTGGGATCCAGAGTACTTTAGGACCTTTATTCCAGATTCCAAGAGAAAAATTTCCCAGATTCCAGACATGGGGTGACAGTGACCCCAAGATAAATACGTTTTCTGTCAAACTAAAACCTGTCAATTGAGCTTCTAATTACTGTAGGCTAAGTGTGCATGTTGTTCTTGTCACTATATCCTTGAAAAGGGGGTTTGTGGACCAGGTGAAAAAGTGGCTGGTACTGTAGTATTCCAACACCAGCTGGGTATGATTGTGAAGCAGCTATAATTCAGTTCTAAAACTTGGATTTAAAAAAATAAACTACTTCAAAGGGTGCATATATCACTATCCACTGAATAAATAGCCTGGAGCATCTCGATCATGGGATTTTTCATGTCGGGATGCAAAGGCTTTTGAAGTGTTTTGTGCCAGAGTCCCCATTAGCATAGTGAGCTTTTAGTTGCCTAGTCATGGCCAATGAGTTTTCGGTCACGTGGTCCCAAGCAAAATAGTGAAACAGTTTCCCTCCAGTTTGCCTAAGATAAGTCACCGAAATGAATTGACCAAGAATTAAGGCCTTGGAAAATGCCACACAGGGACAAGGCAAGGCTTTTAGCTTGATTAGGTGTTGTGGTGTGAGGTTGCAGCTGTTAGATGTGCTGGCTTAAATACTTTCCAAGTCTACTTTAAGGTGTTGGTTAGTCTTAGTAATAGTGTCTGTATTATAATCATATCGTCAGAAATAATCAGATTAACCCAACTATTAAACTGATAATCGATTATAGTAGATTATAGTTTTGTGCCCCCTGTGAGCCACTTTCAACACTGAAAATAATTTTGTAAGTGAACAAAACAAAAAACCTACCCTGCAAGCAGAGGCTTATCTGTCACATAGTTAAACCAACTAAACATCATATAAACTAAATTAAGACCCCATCAAAAAGACAACACAGGTGTATTAATGTCCTTATTTGTCAACAATGTTTTTGTGAATTTTCCACAACAATCAACTGAACATTTGTATAAGCAATACTCACTTTCCTTTAGGTTTCTGATGCTTTATAGATTATGATCGATAATCAGCACACCACTACCAAGTCATGTCTCAATTAGAGTACGAAAGGGCCCATCTGACGAGCAAAGCATGTTTGACTTAAAACATCTATTATCGCCAAATGAGATAGGAACTTTTACTGCGCACATGACTCAGATAGGACTATCAAATTTTTGAACAACTGGAGTCTAGCCTTTAGTCAATTTGCACATTGACATGGCAAAGTGCAGCCCCAAGTAATATGTCAAATAAACCACAGTCAGGGATTAAGAAAGTTTTTGCTCTGAAAATCAAATCTATTTCAAAGTAGAGAATACATTTTGGATTGCTATATTACAAACAATGGAAACACTCTTCACCTTTTGCTAGCTATTAAAGCGGGGTTAATGCTTTTTTTTACATCTGAGAGGCAAAAAAAAACCAATAATAACAACATCTTAAATCCTCTATTAAGGCCTCCTCTCTCAAATAAGCCCTCCTTTTCGGTGAAAGAAAGTTTTAACAATAAGTCCCCGTCTTTTTAACCCCCATCCCACCTCCCCCTTTTTTTCTTATTCTTCACTAATAAATAAGAGACTGTATAAATCAATGAAAACTGTAAAGCTTTCTGTGGACCGATCCAGGATGATTTATTCACCAACTGGAAGTTCGGATTTGTTTTTGATCCTCAGCTGCTTGACCTCCAACCTTCTTGTACTTGGGCTTTTTCACTTGGCATTTTTTTGGGGGAACTAATACCAGCGTCTTTGCTAGATTAAATAAGGCCCCTATCTCTATTGCCCGGAAACACTGTGAAAGGGGTTAGATATCAAAAGCCAATAACAAAGTCTAAAAACTGTGAAGTAGATGAAGATTGACAATAATTTTATTACCTGTACCAGTTCAAGTGACAAAAATTAATATCCAAACTGACCAAGGAACTGTTTAATTTTCAACCAAAGTTTCCTCAAATTATATTAACAAAATAGTGTTCTCTGGTTCTTGTTTTCAGAAAAAAAAATTGTTTTTTTACATATCAGAGTTCAGTTAAAATTTGTGCAGATAGAAAAACAATAGTCAAAAACCTCATGAAGATCTGTAACAAAACTGACGATAACTTATCAGCTTAAAGTGTCTGCGACTCAATTTAATGCTTAGTTGAATTTCGGAGCGGAAGAGGTCTTAGAGCGTCATGACAGAAAATTCCCTGGCTTCAGAGGTCTGTTCTCGAAATTCCTAACATGAAGAAATAAATTGCGCTCACGGTTAGAAAAAGCTCCCCCTTTCACGAAAGAAGAAACCTGAACCTCTGGCGCTCAGGGTACGGCAAAAAAAGAAAACGGTGAAAAAGGTCGGTATCGAGAAATTAAGTTGTAGACAGCCGTGTGCGCTAGAACTTTCAGGCTTAAAACAAATGAAGGTCATTGAACAGAAAATAAGATCGCTATATCATTCTACCGTATTCCTGTGGCTTGTAAGTGTATTCTTTCATATTTTTAGCTTCTTTTGAGTTCTGCCTTTGCCGCCATTTTGTTTGTTTTTCACTAGTCTCAAGACCTCGTACCCAGATCCTCTCACTCTTTATCTTGGCCGCCATTTTGAATAAATTTCCACTCTCCGTGGACAAATCAGTCACGTGGTTTCTGCTGTGTGCCAGGGTCTTCTCTCCTGCCGCCGCCATATTGGAAAGCGAGAAGACCCTGGGGACGAGGTTGACAACATCTTTTTCGCGCGTTTTGTGTCATCGCTAATTCGGGGCGATCGGAGTCAACAGTATCTTTTGCAAAAATGACGTCATGTGCCATTTGTTATGACGTCATCTATCATCCCTTTGCTATCAATTCTCAATATTTGAAGACGTGGGAGGGTTGACAGCCCTGCAGAAGTAACAGGAGAGGGAGTAAGCACAAAGAATTAGCAGCATTAATAGTTGAGTGGTCAGTGCCAATTATTCAGTTTATGTCTTCAAAGGCAGTATCTTCATCTAGCTCTGACAAACCTGGTCCTTTGATGTCTTGTGGCTTACATTCCAGCCCTTCAGTACGTGATGCAAGTGCTGAAACACCAAGCTCATCTGCTTCTCTTAAAGAAACGGTCGAAAAACAGTCGAAAACCGGTCAGTAATTAAGTAGCACAGTCAAAAAGTCATGGGAGTTCCTCAAAACGAAAACCTGAAGAAGCTTCTAAAATCGACAGCGAAATAGACCAGAAGCAACAGACTCTTGCAGAAACGTAGCAAAAATGCTACATAGTTTGTTGGTTTGTTTGGATTGTTTCAGTTTTCCTGGCTATTACTGGTCCTGGATTTTTGTAAATATGGTCCTTGAAAGTCCTGGAAAAGTCCTGGAATTTTGATGGACCAGTGGTGTACGAACCCTGTCTTTTATTTTACCCTTTAAAAGGATAAAATGCTGTCATTGGATTTTTCCCTACCTTAGTTTTTAAAACGCCTCACGGCTCAGAGTTCACCGTGGTTAGATAAAAATAATAATAATAAAACTTGTTTTTAAAAGAACGGTTGTGAAATTGGCTGTAAACTACCTGTACCACGCGTACCACGCGCTCGTGCACTCGCGTGTGTCGTCGTATTGCTCTTTCACGCGAATCCTTCCACGCCAAATACTAATAATGAGAGACGACTGGGGACGAGTCAGATGTTGCTCAAGATGGCGACCAACATTTCGGGGATTCCGGTTGTTGACTTCAGCGCGATGAGTTTACAAAACGATAGTTCAATGAGGGAAAATAGTGATGCTGTGAAACAGTTGGCTGATCATGTTCATCAAGCTTTTAGCACGATTGGATTTGTGTACCTCAAAAACCATGGAATTCCACAAGAAAAGGTAGCCTGCAAACACGTATAATTACAGATCACTGTACTGTACTCAAACCAAATAGATAAAAACCCGGGGGGACTTCCTTATATGAGCCCAGTAGGTCAGGGTAGGGTTTTTGCGCCTTTTCGGTCTGAAAACGCTTATATTACCTATTGGGTATCCGTATGGAATTCGACCCAGCCGCCGCCCCAATCGATGAAATTCGATTATCGATAAAATCGATGGCAAATTGATTTTAGTCGATAGTATTAGGTAGTATTAATATCGGAAGTCGATGAAAATCGAAGATCAAAAGAGTAGTGAGAATCGATTTTCATTGACTTGATCAATTTTTACCGACTGTATCGATAATGTCAATGTATCCTGCGAATGGCAGACGTTTCTCCTCGTTCATCATCGTTGAGGGATGTTTCGCAAGGAGGAACGTTTGTGACTAGGCGACAGAAATTCCATACTGATGACGCAAAAATTATCTGAAGAAGCGTTTAATGGTCGACAGAGTAGTTTCATTGTTTTAGCTATTGTTTACAAATGACAGACAAAAGACAAAAGGTTGCAAAGGTCAAATGTAAACGCGATAAATCTCTAACAAAACAGTCAATATATGTGGAATATAGTATTCTCTAGAAGTAACATTTGAGTTTTCCTAGAGCTCATTCGCAGATGAACACAACACTTTACCAAAATTGACCAGGAGAAATGTAAAATTGAACAAATTTGCATTTGGCACCCCATGACTACTGGATTTATTATGTAAACATTGATTTACATCATCAGTATGGAATTTCTGCCGCTGAGACGCAGACATTTCTCCTCGCGAAACGTCCCTCAGTGGGGATGAGCAAGGAGAAACGTCTGTCGTTCACAGGCTATTGTCAATGGGGAAACCGGTCATTTCGATACAAGTTGTTAACTTCAAGTATAGTTTGCGCGTGAACAAGAAAAAGATTTTGGGGGAATATTATTCGTTCTTTAAGCCCAGTATGTGGTACCACTATTACACCTCGACTGAATAAACTTGTATCAAAACAACCAGTAACCGTCAATGGTAATCAATTAATAATGATTTCAGACACATCTGAGCTACGCAATTAATTACTGAAAGTTTTACCTACTGTAATTTTTTTCTCTTCCTAAAAAGAGACTTGTCATTCAATTGCTGCTTTTCCTCTAAATGTTTCAAAAGTACAAAAAATTTGAAAGTGTGTTGAAAACTTTCTTTAAAAAGTCTGGAGCGTTCATTTCACAAGTCATTTGACAACTCACGATACTTAAGCAAGACTGACTGAGTCCATGTGGACAGATGCGTAACGCGCTATTGGGCAGGCCTTGTTCTGGGTCCACAACGAACAGGATGAATTACTGGAAATGCGTTTTGAATTTCCCTTCAACCTGATAGGCAAATTGGCAAAGGCTTTTTTATAGTGTGACTACCACCTTGACAAAGTTAATCAATAGCATTACAGGAAAATAATCAATACATTCCGAGCAAGTCATCTTTACTACGAAGCGAAATAAACAAAATGGCTTGAAATAAACCAATTACAACCTACTACTGAGTCAGACGTGACCTTACCCGCTGAAGAAAGCCTCTGTTTCCTGAGAGTTCCGTTAGAGTAAATGATGGAGGTGAAAAACGTCAATGCTAGTTATATTTTGACTTGAATTTGCATGTTTATGCAAAGCCCAGCAGCTGTGGCAAGGAAATTGCTGGTAGATGAAAAAATAACAGCTTGTGTCAAACAAATGTCTCTGGGGTGTTGTATCTAAAGTTTCAAATAGAAAAAAATAGTCTGGTGAAACATTCTGCTTTCTTAAAAAAGATTTGCACTCAACATAAGTAGGTTATTGTTTTTTTATGCTGCAGATTGGTTCTCAAGCAACTTTCTCGATGTTTTTTCCTGTAATCCGATCAGTTATGGTTCAGTCCTTTCGTTTACAAAATTACTTTTTAAAGTGAAACAAAGTTTTTCTATGAACCTCCTGGTTCAATAAATGGGTTTTATTACTAACTAGAATTTGTGTAGTATCTTTCATTTTTGCAGCATTAATATTACATGATAACAGTGATGTTAGATAACTATTTTGCACAAACTCGATTTGTTTCAAAATTATGTATATTTTACTTTACAGATTGATTCTGTTTTTGAGACATATGATACCTTTTTTAACTTACATGTTCAAGTGAAAGAAAAGTATGCAAAGAAAGAAGGTACTTCTCCAAATGGTTGGGATGCAATTGAAAGAGAGAGGTGGGTGAACATGAGACTGCTTATAACTTTGTAAGCTTTTTGTGGACTATCTCAGCGGGGGTTTTCATTAAACAGTTCCAAAGGGTGGAATGGCCAGGTGTCTCTCTCATTTTATAGGAGTGTCTGCTATGATTATTAGAGAGGGCGTTTTGCTGGATTGAAAAAGTCTCTAGTGGGCATTCATATATTTATCCAGGAGTCTCCCAGTCTCCCAGGCAGGTCACGTATTCTCACCGATGAAATGGACTTTAAAACTTTTCTGTGGAACATTTAGTTTGGAATTTATCTTGTTTTCTCCCAAAAATCAAAACATCATTTGATTCATTTTCTGAGGCATTTATGCACATCAAAATTTCTTCTATAAGTTCTGAATTTTGATGGTCTGTACTGTATGTTAGACTTCTAATAGTGTCTTAGTATAAGTCACACCCATGGTATAATTTGGGGACACAATTGAGTTGTGTTGGGGTTTGTTTAATGGTAGAGCTTGCAAGGGACTGTAAGGGGGGTGGTGGAATGCAGAAGAGAGAATTTCAAGATTTTAGATCTCCAGAGGTTGTCATCCCCTTGCATTATGATAGAAATCCTCATGGGTCAAATTTATTTGGTAGAGACCCCACAGGGAAAGCTGATTCACCAACATAATAATTTGTGGAAACTTTGCCAGAGACAACAATAATGTGGTAGAAATTAGGCATCAATTTTTTCAACACAAGAACAAGTAAAAGTACATAATAGTGACGTTGAGTTGGTTATAGGGCTGAAGAAAGATATTGCTGTCCTTAAAAGCTCTGTCTTTATGAGGGAAACAGTCCTTGTAGTCACAATGATTGTTACATTGTAAATCCAGACAAATGTTATTGTGACCAGAAGATTCTGATTGTTTCTGCTGTCTATGCATGTAGCTTCCCTGCATTAGGCCCTGTTAGGGTAAAATTCTGACAAGCAACATGGCCTTGACATAGGAAAGCAGAAAAAAAAAATATCGACAGCAACATGGTTTCCTCCTCAATAAGCGAAACGACAGGCTTTGAAATCCAGACTAGCGACATAGGTACCCCCCCACTGAGAGGGCCTAACTTCCCCCCTCCTTTTGTTTACTGGCACTGCTATTCATAGTTTATGAGCAATACTGTATTGCCACAAAGGAGCACATTCCTTGAAAAGACATTCTTTTAATTAACACAATGTTTTCATAATTAGTGAAGGTTAGTGAAACCATACTCCAAATACCCTGCCTGCTTAAAATCTGGTCAGTAACAATTGGCGGCATGCTGCAGGTGAAATGAGTTCACTTTCCCTCTTGACCAACGGCCAAACCAAACAGACTTTTAGAAAGTCTGTGTTCATAACATCATGGTCTTCATTCTTTTCATAAATCTAAAATATGTAATAAAAGAAGGCAATTCAATAGATGCCTGTGAGAGGCATTGTAGGTGGCAATAGACCTCTGTTTGCCAGCTTTCGTTAAAATCCCTGTGTTCCCCATGGTAAAGTATTGTATTTATTTGATTAAACATCTCCTTCAATTAACCAATGCAGATGGAAGCAAAATTACCAAAAAAGCTGCCGTTAAATGAGCGGCGAACATAATTGAAAGAATGGGGCATTTATTCGAGGCAGTCTGCAACTTGGTAATTTACAACATTCAGACATTTATGATTCTATCTCAGCAAAATGCATAGGAACCTTTAAATTACATAATATTTTCAAATGATATATACTGTAACTGCTTTCAGTGATTTTAAAATTAAACTCTGCCCTTGAATAAACGCCATGGTGTTTAACAGAATAAATATAGTATTTGTTTAATACATATACTTTTCTGTTTTATTAGTTTTCTATTTTACCTATTCTTTATATTCTTTGAAAGTGCAAATTGTCCTGTTTTTTTTTTTTTGGTAGCACTAACCCTGACAGGCCTGGTGATCTTAAAGAATCATTTGATGTTGGAGCTGTCTATGATGAAAATTTTGTAGGTTAATAGCAGTTGTTATTCTAGAACAGAATAAAATTGAAAAACAAGTTAATCAGGCTTTGTTCAGTTCACTTATTCATATTATTATACATTGTACTCACTATCTGGCTTCTAAATGGCTAAGAGCCTACAGCTAATTTTGGAAATCAGTGCAACCTACAGATTAACTGACTAACAGATAACTGACTAATCTGTAGGTCGCATGGGCAGTGCATGATTTGCAATAACAATATCAATTCAGGTTCATTGTGATGGTGGATTTGATGTTATTTTCTTCAAAACAATGTGATATCCTACACTGTAAATAATCAAGGTCTCAGTAAGTATTATCAGCCTCGGCCTTTGGCTCGACTGACAACTCTTACCTCGACCTAGATTTTTCTGGATATCACAAAAACCTCATCCAATAATTGTTTATTATCACTCATGTCTACAGATCAGATTTATCATTGCTGCTATTAAATTTGGTCTGTTGATTTTTAAGCTGCCAAAATGTTTGGAGTTGAAATGGTTTTGACGAAGGTTGCAACACCTGAAATCTACCTGAAAGATCTAACAGAATCAAGTGTGTGCATGGGACCGTAGACCTCTTTCATAATGGTGGCCTATTAATATATCCTTTTATATGATGATAATTATCCTTTCTGACGTCGTTTGAAAGAAAGTTTTTTTTGTATTTTTTGTGTGCTAATGAGGTCAGTAAGGCTAATTATCATACATATAAAAAGAATATATTAATAGGCCACCATTTATGAAAGAGGTCTATTCCCAGACCTAAACACAATACACAATGATCGAAAAAATCTTAAGAATACTGAAAGATTTGGTGGAAAACGTTAATTGGTAAATTTAATCTGGTATTTTAATTACATTTAGTGTAAAATAAGATAATTCTAGGTTTTAAAATGCAACAAAAGATTTCAATCTGTCGTTAGTTTTTTATTGTTGTCATTATTCCTTTATTCGTTATAGTACTACAGTTGACTCCTGATAACTCAAACCCTCTATAACTCGAACCTTCCGCTAACTCGAAGCAATATTAACTTCCCTTCAGATAGTTTTCTATATAATTTTACCCTCAATAACTCGAACTTTTTTCTATTTCCTTTGAAGGTTCGAATTATCAGGAGTCGACTGTAATTGTTACTGGACATGATTATTATTATTGTTAATATTATTTGTTAATTGATTAATACCTCTTTGTTACAGAACTGGCCTAATACTGATGTGCCAAACTTTCAAGCCAATGTGATGTCTATTTATAAATGTTTATCAGACCTTGCTCTAAGGGTGCTGTCTGTGATGGCTGTTGGCCTTGGATTGGTAAGAAAAACAAAGAATAACAAAAGCTTTCACATTTTTCCTTACCTCTGTGTCTTTCTCTTGCAACTAATCATCGCTTGAAAGCTCACTTTGTTGAAAATGGCTTTGTACGTGTTTCAAAGTATTATTCATCAGCAATTCTTGTATAGGCCACAATGTGGTTGAAAGAGAGAACATATTTGTTCCCTCTTGCTGTGTGAGTCATCTACACAGCTATTTTGCAGGCTTGTCCCTCTCTCTGAACTCACCTCACAACCAAAACCCGTCACAGCATGGATTTCTACATTACAGAGTGACCTCCCATATAAAATCTTAGCTATGCCCTTGTCATTAATTAATGCAAGTATACATTTGTGACTACTGTATTTTCTTGAACTTATAAACGTGAGAAAAAAACAGCTGACATTTTCCAACACCACCAACTGTTTTCCTTGTGAAATGACGGCCGAGGGACAGTCACAGAAATTCTATACTGATGACATGTCTCAGCTACTCAGATCTGGGTTGTGTTTCTGACCGGTTGAAGCAAAATGTCAGCTGTTTTTTCAGGCTATAGATGTAAAAGCCACCCTTCAAAAATGTGGTTTTCGCAAACAGTAAATGAACATGGAGTGATGAAAAAGTGATTGATTTTCCTTTTTTTAAAACAGAACCCAGATGCATTTGCTTATGCCTATGAAAAGAGGGGAACATTATTAGGAGGGACTCAGTTAAGGTATAATTTCTACCCCATGATAACAGATATTACCAAAGTCAAGCCAGGTCAGATTCGCTGTGGGGAACACACGGATTATGGTGGGATTACACTACTGATTCAAGATGAAGTTGGTGGACTGGAGGTTAGAATGTTACAATGCTTTTAACCCTTAGCCTTTTCCAGGCGTTCAGATAGTGGGGTAAGGTGCAAAGTCAGAGAGAGCGGGGAAAAAATAAGGAGGACATCTCCTACCCCACCCCAACCCCTTGCTATTTTTCTCTCCTCACATCTCTTGGTACGGTCCCCACCATCTGAACTCCTGTAACAGGCTATTTTAATCTTTAATTTGTTTAAGCGTAACAATGTTTTACAGCAAAGAGCCCAAAAGTGTCACCACTTTTGATTTATTCATATTCTTTCCTGCAGATTTAATCCAATCAGAAGCCAGCCGGAAACTGTTCTTGACTTTTGATTGGTTAATGTCTGCATGAAAAAATGTTAGTTAATTCAAGGAGGTCAGACTTTTGGGCCCCTTGCTGTAAGACCTTTTCCAAGAACAAACTATAACTTTATTATATGAAACTTCAGTTGTGGGGAAAATTTATACCATCCAAGTCATTGACACTACGGTAACTATATAGTGATGCTCAATTGTGCGGCTTTTCCAAAAAAAAAATAATAGAGGATTAAAATAATTAAAATTAAGTCAGTTTAATCTTTCCTACCTGACAATCTTGTTGCTTGAACAGTTTGCATCAAGAAGCTGTTAACATATTGTTTAAGTGGCTTGTATTGACATTGTTTTCTAACTGAAAAATAACGTGTACCAAGGAAGGTTGTACATCTTCCTCTAACTTACTAGAAAGCCGAGAGGCCAGTTTTCTTAAGAAGGCATTTTGGTTTAATTTAGGTTACTAATATTGAAGGACAGTTTGTGCCTGCCAGACCCATGAAAGGAACAGTACTGGTGAATGTTGCAGATTTGATGGAGAGATGGACTGCAGATCAACTCAAATCAACGGTAGGTCATTTGAACTGCTCCTCAAGCTCACCACTTTGTTTGTTCCTTTGCTTATGAGGGTGAAAACGGGCAAAAGAGTATGGAGCAGCTCGTTAATATTAAATACGGGGCGCTTTCCATTTAGTCAAAATTTCCGGAATTTCTGGTTCGGCGGTAAATGGAACACGTTTCGTCGGCTCGTCCCACTGGAAAATTCCCAGAAAAAGTGGAAAATCTAAAAAGGTGGGCTCGTTTTCCCGGTTGGAATTTCCGAAGGGAATGTCGTGTTCCATTTACCTTTCTCGTAGTTTGTACCAGTTCCAGGTCCACGGTCGGGCATGGCGACGTACCGGTGTTTACGACCAAATGGAACTACTTTTTACCAATCGGAAATTCCACTTTTGCGCCCACCGAAATTTCCGGGTTTTTTTCCTAAATGGATAGCACCCACGTTTTCCTTTATCCCCAGAATTACGAGTTTCTTTTTGTTCAAAAAGTCATGCACCTTAATTTTTAGGGAGTTATTATAACTCCAAAAATGGAGTAAAAATTTTAGGTACAGGATAACCCCTTTTTTGGGGTTATTTTAACTCCTAATTTAACTCCGAATTTGGGGTCATTTTTATTCCTGAAAAAGATTTTTTTTTTACTCCCAGTCTGGAGTTAAAATTACTCCGAAATGGGGTTACTTGTACTCCTTACATGGGTTGTTTTTACTCTTTTTGGAGTTAATTTAACTCTGAAAGTGGAGTAAAAATTTTAGGTACAGGATAACTCCTTTTTTGGGGTTATTTTAACTCCTCGATATCTGGGGTCACTTTTACTCCTGAAAAAGAGTTCTTTAAACTCCTTTTTGGAGTTAAAGTAACTCCACGAAAAATAACTCCACTGTAAGGAGTTAAATTAGTCCCACTAGAGGAGTTATTATAACTCCCTGAAAATTACAGTGTGCTGTTCGAAACAAGTTATTTTGACAAATGGCGCCCACAAGTCCGCATTTTCTGTTTCCAGACTCTTAAAAGACTTTTGAAGTTAACTGTCAATGAATGCTGGATTTAGCATTAAACTATGAACATTGAATATCACGACCTTAGCTTTGAAGTACTTTGCTTATGGTGCAAATTTATCTCGTTTTACCCTGGTCAAGGCTTGAACAAGCTCTTAGGGCTCTTAGGACGTAAATGTACATTATCTTTCCTTATTTTATTCACTCACTTTGTTTGAGCTCTGGACAATGTATTGTGACTAATTGTAGCATTCTACAACTTCACATAGTAAAAGCTTGTTTCTTGTAGCACAAATACGTAAGAACAATTCTGACCGAGGAAATGCCTGGTTCCTACTGAGAAGAATTTTAAAAGCATGTTTGCAATGACAGTTGCGATTACGTCGAGACTTTTCCCGTGGAATAAGGCCGTTCACTCTAGAAAAAATTAAACTGGTTCAGTAACCACTTTTTCTCGAGATAAGCTAATGGCCTTACCCTGGCAAACAACAATCACGAAAGCTACCGAAAATGTGTGTCCTGAAGTTTCTGCATCCAACAATCACTAATCAATAAATTCCTTGAGTAAAAGACTGCGAGCGGTGAGTCGCGCGGGAAACAAGTATATAGCCAAAGTGGAACCTAAAAATCTTTGCAAGCGGTCAACATTGGCCGATTTTTGGTGCTCTTACGTCATAGATTTATTGTTGCCCACTCTGAGACTTTTGGCGGGAAACAGTTTTATTGTCAGACGTCAGATGACCTTGAAGTAAAAAATGAGGCAACGCATTATTGGGAAAAATGCCAGCAATCCCAGCTATGTAACATTAATGTTTCGAAACAGTTTTTTCAGGCAACATTGGCTTTACTAGTTACTCTTCATTATTTATACAGGTTCATCGTGTGCTTATACCGGAAGATGAAATCAGGCGACGTGTTCCACGACGCTCCTTAGTGTTTTTTGTTGATCCTGATCACGAGGCAGTTATTACCTGTCTGGACGGCTCTAATAAATATCCACCAATCACATCAAAGGATTGGATTAGCAAGAAACTTGAAGAAACATATAAATATTGATATGTGAATTATGGCATCTAACAAGTCTTCTATAACAGTAGTTAGCGTACACTACTTGTGATAAACCGTTGAACTGATATATCAGATTTGGACTAGAAGCCTTTCTACTATTATCAAAAGCTAGTAGACTAAGGACCAGGGAAATCTCGTTACCGTGGTATCTCTACTTCCTGTCCACTGGTGTGAAAGAGAGGCGGGAAGAAGAGAGGCCCTTTTAACGAGTTTGAGACAAGGGACAAGGGGACATTGTTTTTCCAAAAAGAAACATTAACATGAAAATGTGTTAGTTACTGACTGTTCTCTGTAGACTACACGTAGTCCCTTATTTTCAGCGCATTTCAAAATTTTTTCGAGCGCCCGTCAAATTGCCTCACAAGAGGAGAAGCATCCAAACATTCTGAAGGAATGTAAAATTAGTTATAAAGTAACAAAGGCAAAAGCGACTTGAGTCTTCCTGTTTTTATTTTATTTTTTATTTTTTAGGGGAAGGGGGTGGGGGGGACAGACAAGCCCTCCTTCTTTAGGGAATAGGACGGGTTGTCCGTCCGAAACATCGGTAGTAGTCAAGTCGGTTTTGTCCTTGCTCTCTTATTGTTAATGTAAATTTGTCTTAGATTAAACAGCAGGATTTGGATGTTGTCATCTTATACATGAAAACCTTCAACTTGCTGGTCGCCTTTGCCCTTCGTCGCCGGTGGCGATTTGCGCGCGCTAGCGTATTTCCCCCGATCTACTAACCCTGAAGGAAAACAAGGGACTGCTGGTAGTCTATACCTTCTCTGAGCCTTGAAAGTCCATCTAATGGAAACTCCGCCATTTTGGATCTCGCATGACGCCATATCGTCCGACTTAAAAACATTGGCGGGAGGCTTACATTGGCTGAAAAACTTGGCATGGTTGACATTTTCCACAGACGAGATCAGAACGAAATCTCACGAGATGCAAAAAGGTGGATCGCAATGCTGTATTCTTACAATGCTTGGAGATAAATATGGACTCGAAAGAGTTAAAAACGGCCACCACTTAACACAATGTCATTTGTGATTAGAACAAAATAATCTTTTTGCCCAAGTGAGCTTGTCCTTCAGTTGTCTCGTTCGCTTAATAGGAACAAATTTTGAATTTTGATAGGGCAAAGTCGAGCCAAAATGAGGATTTATCGCTAATCCGTTAAAAATTAATAAAAAATAAAACAGAAAATATGTAATGAATTGTTTTAGGTGTATTATGGTTGCGTGGTAGTTGTTAAATGCAGACGCGCATGCGTTTTTCTTGATTTTTTGAAACTTCTGCTTATAAATAACGTCCCAAGAGAGAATCATCTGTCTTGAACGTATATATGCAGGCGCGTTGATAAAAGCGGGAACATGGAACATTCCGGAACATGCCGGAACATCCCGGAACATGAAAAAATCAAAATAATTTTCATGAAAAAAACAAAATTAATAATAAAATAATTTTTATAAAAATTAATAATAACTTAAAATAACAAAAAACCGAAAGAGAAAGAATTAAATAAAGAAAAAGAAACTCGTATCATCTCCGGGTTTGAGAAAACAATATTTTGTCGCAAATAATTTGTGGGGCGAGGGTCCATGGAAATGACAGTAATTAGTGAAGGTTTGCTTCTAAATTCAAAATATATTAAAATGGGTCGCGAGGAGGGGGGTTTTCAAGCTTTTCTCACCCAAAAAAACAAACCGGCCTCTGCCTTGCATGCCTGGTAAATGTTTGCCATGCAGTTTAACGGTTATTCATTTACGGCTTTTCGACCGTAAGAAGAGCTTAGGGACTCGTCGCTTTAGACTTTAATAGATAAGATTCACATTCGCTGTGAATCAGTTGCAGTGGCAGTGGTAGCGCAGCGGTAGTTTTTTCTCCCGAGTCGCAGGTGAAGTTTGCGACTCGAGGAGATTGCTGAAATTCAAGCTAGATCACAGCCCCCTATTTTCCTTCGCCAAGTTGAAGATTGCGATCGCCGCTGTCAAAGTGATTTGGGTATCCTCTGACGACTAAACTGGTGAGAGTGAAGTGGGTGCTAATTCGAATGGTTTGCTAACGTGTGTGTGTGGAACTACAACTTTTATGGGAGGGGCTGTTGTGATTCCCGTGATTATGTAGATCCACACAGACTTCCTATGCCCGTTTCAGACGCCAGACAGGACACTGACACGACGAAACCAAATGCTCCGAGATGATGATATATTTCACAAGGTGGAACAAAAAAACAAACAAACAAAGACGGACGGCTCCTTTCCTTTCTATTCACCTTGACCCAGACACGTGACAAAGGAATAGTGTAATATTCAGTGAATTTAACTGAAAAATAGTGTTTTCAAAAATAACAAGTCGCATAAGCAAACCTTTAAGTGTCTTCGATAAATTAGGCTTGGGCTTGAAATATAGGGGGACAGCGTTTCAGCACACAGAGTGGAAAAAAAATGCAAAATCACAGCCGCGATCGCCATCCTCAACCAGGCGGGAAAAAAGAGGGGACTGTAAACTAGCTTGAATTTCAGCCGTCTCCACGAGTCGCAAACTCCTAGCCTGCGTAGCAAGCGTTTCCAGTCGAGTTATAGCGCGAAAGTTAGAGCGGGAGCTCATTCTTTTTTTTTTGCTCTCGTCCCAACTTTCACGACGAACTCGCGCGGAAACGCCTGCTATGCAGGCTACAAACTCCTCTTGCTACTCGAGGAGACGTCTGAAATATCAGGCTGATTGTAAACAGTATAGAAACTACTACGAATGTGAGTATTGTCAACTAAAATCGAAAGACAGGAGCCCCTTAGCTATTCGAGCCTAGTCTGTAAGTAATTCACGTCAACCTCAGGAAAGCAAAGCACCAAGTAAGCACATGTCGGTTATATATAACTATTTGTTGGCTTGACTTGAGTTACTTAATTACCGACTTGGCTTGACATGACACACTGCACCGACATTTCAGACCATCGCAGAACCGTAAATGGTTAACCGCCAAATGATTAACTCATGGCAAACAATTACAAGAGGTAGCTGTGTGAGTATAGCTTGAAAACCCCCCTCCTCGCGACCCATTTTAATATATTTTGAATTAAGAAGCAAGCCTTAATTTTCACTCATTACTCTCATTTGCATGGACCCTCACTCACCCAACAAATTGTTTGCGACAAAATATTGTTTTCTCATACTCGGAGATGAGTTTCTTTTTCTTAATCATTTCTTTATTTTTCTTGTTTTTTTTTGTTATTTTACGTTATTTTGTTATTATTAATTTTTACAAAAACTATGTTATTATTATCATTTTATTTAATTAATTTTTTTCATGAAAATTACTTTTATTTTTTCATGTTCCGGGATGTTCCGGGATGTTCCCGCATGTTCCGGAATATTCCATGTTAGCTCATGTTCCAGGTTTTATCGACGCCCCATATGCAGTACGTTCAAAGCAGACGAGCGCCACGAAAAGTTCAGTATGCGAGCGAAACAGACGCGAACTGGCTGTCAACTTCTGGCATAGTTATTAGAGGAGACTGGTTATGAAAAGCGGCAAACATCAATGATAAAAACAACAGTGCTGCAGTTCATGTTCAAAGCACCGTGAAAGTGCACAATCCTTTGTTTTCTGTTGGCAAATTGTTACGGAATAAATTAATGCAACGTTTTTATTGGTCAATACAATCAAAATGATAGGAATTCTTTTGAACGTTGTGCACTTTCGGGTCCACAAAAACATATCACAAAGGAGTCTGACGGGTTTCATAACCATTCCACTCAGTTAACTATGGTTCTGGTAAAGGCGAAGAACCACTGGATCCTTTGAAAGCTGTCTCTGGCCCTCATAAGCCGTAACAAGACATTTTTTTAATGGCCGGGATGCAGCGAAGAAAATAATGGAGAAATAACAACAAACTACGGAATAAAAAGACTTCTTTTTGGTGAAATACAACTGAATTTTAAGTGAAAGAGACTGCTACATAGACTGCTACAAGGCTTGTTGTCACGGCATAGTGTGTTTCTAATGAGATGTACGTAAGCTTAAAAACGTCAACAAAACAAAAGCAGCCCTGGCTCTATAGAGAGTTCGTCTACATGCAGTTGAATTTTAAAAGAGAATGTATGGAGTAAAGAAAACACGCCCCAACTTTTATATTGATTTATTTTATTTTATTATTTTGCCACACAGAATAAATTACAATTAGAATAAAAAAGATAATAAATACGTTAATTAATATTAAATTTAAAACGAGCATACATCGGGGTAGCTAACAGTTTCACACAAGATGAAAAGGCCACCTAAAAGGCTACAGCCTCCTCATGGGCTTAATCTTCAGTGGGAACTCAAAAAATCGGTGGCCCGTGCCACCTCAGACTGTAAAAATTAATCCACTCGTTTGTTCAATATCAAAAATTGATCCACCGCTGGTCACTTTTTACCGAGAATAAACAAGATTGTTAAATATAATTACATATCTCCATTGCATCTAGACACATTATACTCCTAGTATGGTGCAATCTGTTTTTAGGAGCTCGAGTATCCGATGGTATTCTAAAGCGCAAACTTTGATGCGCAGATATTCTCGACCTACCTTTCTGTCGCTCTTAATGCACAAAAAGACGTTACAAAACAACGGAGGCCCAAAGTTTACGTGTTCCTGATGATATGCATGCATGCTACCTTATTCTCGGAAATTAACCTTCCATGAAATGAATCGAAGGTGCTGGAAATTAACGCGAATTAACTACTATTAACTACTATTAAACTACTGTACATACCGCAAATGATCCCCAGACCGCAAATGATCCCAATTGTCGATCGCAAGTGATCCGGTGAAAAGTAGAGGAATGAAATGGATTTTAGGCATGGATGGTGAATATGCTGAGAACTTGAACAACGCGTAGAACAATGAAATGAATAATACTATAAATAACCGAACTTTTTCTTTTGGTATTTTTTTTTCTCCTTTCTTTCATACATTTGATGTTTCGTTGCTGTGAAAATTTAGGACTGGAGGAAGGAAACTTGCCTTTCACTTTAATGCCTAGGAACAGAGAAATATGAGCACTGTATTTATCACTCTGTGGAGCTTTTCGGTTTATTTCGAAATACACGTTAGTTAACAATTACAGATCGTGCAAATGTCGCGTCTAGTGTTAAGGACCGTGTCGGCGCAAACCTATGAATTCATTTACGTGCCTTTGCCGCTGAAGACAGAAACAGTTGACAAAATCACGGAAAGAGAAAAGTAGAGGGAACGATTAAGTGAAAAATTTTGTGTCTCTGAGCAAAGAATCCCGGGGGGGGGGGGACTCCCATATAAAACAGACGGGGATGCTCGTCGTCTCGCTTAGGGGTGTAAATTTTGGATTTTGGTCTCGCTTGGGGTGTTCCGGGCAAAGCGCTAATATTTTAAGCTGCCAAGGTCTCGTTTTGGGTTCCGCGAAGAACTTGAGATTTATGACAATGCTTTTAAAAACTACTTTTAGATAAAAGCATTCGATGATTATGTCTTTACATCATTATAACTCATTGCATGTCGTATTTGTGTGTTTTTAAGCGGTCTCTTTTAGGGGTCAAAATTTGCTTAAACCACGCCCAGATTGGTCTCCTTTAGGGGTCACAAAAAGCTTGAGCCACGCCCAGATGGTCTCCTTTAGGGGTTAAATTCAAAATTTCCGACGAGCATCCCCGTCTGTTTCATATGGGAGTCCCCCCCCCCGGGCAAAGAATTGTCCTAATGGGGTTGCACTAGAGAGAAGTTTTATTTGGGGGCGTTTTCAGAGACTTCCGCCGTTACAAAATTTATCATTTTCTCAAGTTGATACGAGGTATCCGATAAATAGGATTTTGAGCAATATTGTATCTCATTGAACTACAGTATGTGAACTTTAGTTCAGTGTAGCTTTAATGCCAATTAAGCAAGACACACTGCACTGCTGTTCAAGCACAGGGGGCCCACACAATGTGTTTGTGTAGCCGATTGTTATTTTATAGTAAATGGACTGGATTTACCGTTTGCTTCACCTATAGCGATATATCGCTAACTATGCATATAAATCAATGATAAATAAACGTTGAATTACCTTACCTTTGGTGTATAGTCGTCCTTTTGCCTCAAAAACGGTTTTTTGAGCGATTTTGAATGAATTTGAGTTCGCCGTTGACTGTTCCATATAATAGAAGGACCTTCTATTATATGGAACAGTCAACGGCGACCTTCTATTATATGGAACAGTCAACGGCGAACTCAAATTCATTCAAAATCGCTCAAAAAACCGCTTTTGAGGCAAAAGGACGACTATACACCACAGGCAAGGTAATTCAACGTTTATTTATCATTGATTTATATACATAGTTAGCGATATATCGCTATAGGTGAAGCAAACGGTAAATCCAGTACATTTACAATAAAATAACAATCGGCTACACCAACAGATTGTGTGGGCCCCTGTGGTTCAAGAGCTATTGTTTTACTGATAATATTTAAGTTTTTTTTTCTTGTTTGCATTTATTTGTGTTTTATTTATTGAACTAAGTTTTAAATGTAGTTTTACGGTTTCTTTCTTATTTCAGTCTTGGCATTTATTTTTTTTAATATATTCAGTTTAATTAATACTTTGTTGCTTTTTTTTTTTTTGCGATAATAAACGTGACGAGATGATCCAGTAACTTGATTCCAGGCCATTCTAATTTTCCTCTCGGGATAATTTGCGGTCGAGGATCATTTGAGGTCCATTTTGGGGATCATTTGCGGTCAGGGGATCATTTACGGTCGGGGATCATTTGCAGTACTGTACAGTACTTTTGATTTCAAGTGATGGGGATAATCGAACGAGTTTTTGGCGGTTTGAAATTTCGATTCCGGGATTTTTGTGGTAGGAAATTTTTCAAGTATTTTTGTGGGGGGCAGCTTGATTTAAGTAGGGGTAAGAGATTTATGGCTCTTGGTAGGGATTTCTTTGGGGTATTCAAAACAATCTGAGGATTCGCGTTAGTGCCCGCGTATCCCGGCCGCTTAGTTCTGCGAAAAAAGTGTAACCAAACTTAAAAGCTTTATTTTTCGTGTTATATCATTTAATGCTTTCTGGAAATTATTGAGGCTCGGAACTGGCATGGGATTTTTGGGAGATGTACTATGTTGATTATAACGATTGTTCTATCGATCTGAGGCATTGTAAGTCATCCTTGCTATCATCTTAACGCCATTGCTGCTGATTTGCATTGTAAGATAAATGCCGTTTATGATAAATCCAATCCTTCGCTATGATTGGTGGATATTGGCTAGATCCATCCAGGCACGTGACCATAGTTTCATCATCCGGGTCATGAAACAAAGCCAACGATCGGCGAGGAACTCTGCGTTTGATTTCCTCCTCAGGGATTAGCACTCGATGAACCTGTTTTATGAAAGAAAAAAAAGTAGATTAAAACACACTAGCTACTGTACAATTTGCAAAATAAAAGAAACAGAAGTTGGGAAGTTAAGTATCAACAAGTGTCTTCAGATATTTTTAAAACTCTGTTGAAATGCTTTTCCGATTTTTAAAAAACCTTAAGGCGTTTCTGGGCGCCGTTTAGCGAAAGCTTTTTTGAAATTTAGCTGCTCGTAAGTACGCGAACAAAACACTACTGGCATAAGGGGATATTCGATCAGATTGTTAAAGCTGCTTGGTAGGATGAATAGGCCACTTGCACTAAGAGGTCACGTGACCAATGCTTCCTTTAAACAATGAGTTGGAATCTTTCTGATGCGAAAAATTGACAGAGCACATAAAAATTATCTTACACCCGAAATTTGAGAGGAAACGCATTTAAGGGAGATATTTTATGGCACTCGGATTTTTCAACAAAGTAGTATCATTTGTATTGGCCGCCATGTTGGAGGGCATACTCTTGCCCTCCAACATGGCGGCCAAAACTATTTTTTGCTTAGATCTTGTTAACGTTTGATAGCTACGCTCAGATGTGCCGTAAACATTCCCACATCAACTTTTCAACATCTTCCTTGAAGTTTAAGTGCAAAATTTGTGTTCAGAAAGAGGTAATTCATAATTTTAAAAATCACATTTTGGTCACGTGACCAGCTACGAACTCACTCATTTTAAGAAAATGGTACAGGTTTGAAAAAACAAATCACTATTATTTTGTTAAAAATAGGACCCACTAATCGTTTTTTGAGGAAAAAATCATATAACTTTCATTTTCATAAAACGATGTCACATGACCTCTTAGTGCAAATGGCCTATTAGGCACCAAAGTTCACGTCTATTACGTAGATAGATTGTTTTCCCTTGACCTCACGTTGGCTATTTTTGGTGTCCCAAGACAATGAAACAGCGGCCACGTTGGTGTCCCAAACCAACAGCTAAACCAATCCTGTGGGAAATAGACCTTTTTGTTCTGTAAAAACTTTCTTTTGTTCCAACAAATAACAATGATTCACTGAAGTGGAGGTGGCGAGTGGGAGGGAGTACTTACCGAGCCGCGATAATTGTTTTAGTACATACTGAAACAGTGATATAATTGAGCAAAAAAAAAAAAAAAAATGGCGGTTTTTAACTCATTCTGACTGCTGCCAACGATTACAATTTTGGCACCAAATGACCGAACGGCCGTCGCGTTTTCTTGCCGACAAATAAAACTTATGAAGGCGTTTGTTTAGCTATTGAGGGGAGATTTCTTCTAAAGGAGTTATGAATTCTTTTTGTATTTGAAACCATTCTGTAAGAAACTATTAAATTTAGTTTTAAGCTTCATGTATGAACATGTCAGCTAAATAAAGTAACACAAGACTTAATTTGCATTTGTAAACAAAAAACTTTTTCAACGGTTTTATCGGTAATTTCAAGTCAAACAGACAAAGCTTCGCCTGTTTAAGCTTCCAAACCGAATTTTGTCACATTATTGGTGAATTTTGGGAACAGCGTGTTTGATTATTTGTGAAATTTCTTTGTTTGTTACGGCAGCAAACCGGGAAACCATTACGCGCCGGCGTCGCTCGCTCGAAGGAGCTGGCGGGTGAGTTAGTGAATAGTACTGGATATCCCGACTTTGAGTAGCCAATCAGAGCAATCGAAAAACACTATCCACTGTTTTAGTATATACTAAATTTGAATAGCCGCAGGCCACGTGAGTGAAAAGGCTCTTTAACAATTATTCCTAGAGCCCGAATGGGCTCTTTAACAATTATTCCACGAGGGCGCGTTGGATATGAGATGATAGATAGCCAAAGAGGCGCGTAGCGCCGAGTTGGCTATAATCATCTCATATCCAACAAGCGCGAGTGGAATAATTGTTTTATTAAAAACGCCCACAAAATCTCGTTGAATCTCCTCGACTAGAACAAACCGGAAAAGACAAGGGACTTCCGCTATTCACATGTCACACGTCTATCAAAACTGTCAACGAGCGAACGGACTCGCCTGGACTGCATGAATGAAAAATCAAAACATTGTAGCAATGAACATTAGTTTTTTAAAAACTCATCGGGATTCTAGGATTTTACACAGCAGAACAGCTAAAAAACCTGGCAGATAATGTGAAGGAAAAGAATTTTTAAGTGACAGCCGTCGAAATTACTGTGAATTTGGATTTTCGGTGCAGTTATAAAAGTAAGAACAACGGAGAAAAACTATTACCTCGGTCGCTTGTTATGAAGTTGTTTGAAGCCACAAGCTGGTTTTGCTGAACGAGAAAAGAAGCTACACTACCGCCTCGATTGCTCTAGTGAATGGCTGCATAGCCTGTATTTGTAGCTGGTTTCTTGTGATTTATGTTCTTGATGTCGGATAAACAAGCTGCAGTTATCTATCGGCGCGTGACTCGATCGGCGAATGGCTTCGCGATCATGAAGAAACAACACTTGTCTTCTTTCGTAGCTGGTCAAGGTACTTTAGTTCCATGTGTTTTCATGTGTTTTTCGACAAACTTTCAAACAAGCTCTTGTGGCATTTTTGTTTGTTTTTGTCTTTTTTCTTTCATTGAAATTACATTTCTAGTTTTCTAAGAAATGAATTAAAACGATTTGCTTCGGGCGCCGTTCTATCCTTCGCGAAAAAAAATCTCAGCTAGCTTTCAATTTTAAACTGACGCGTACATCGACCATATATGGAGAGCATGGTATAATAGCTCATATACCATAACGGCTAAGCCAATCAAAATGCTAGAATTGCATTATCCAATGATTCAGTTTTTAATAATGACTATTATTAAAAACTGAATCATTGGATAATGCAATTCTAGTATTTTGATTGGCTTAGCCGTTATGGTATATGAGCCATTATACCATGCTCTCCATTTTTGGTTGGTGTACGCGTCAGTTTAAAATTGAAAGCTGGCTGAGATATTTTTTCGCGAAGGATAGAACGGCGCCCGAAGCAAATCGTTTTAATTCATTTCTTAGAATACTAGAAATGCAATTTCATCGAAAGAAAAAAGACAAAAACAAACAAAAAAGCCACAAGAGCTTGTTTGAAAGTTTGTCGAAAAACACATGAAAACACATGGAGCTAAAGTACCTTGACCAGCTACGAAAGAAGACAAGTGTTGTTTCTTCATGATCGCGAAGCCATTCGCCGATCGAGTCACCCGCCGAAAGATAACTGCGGCTTGTTTATCCGACATCAAGAATATAAGTCACAAGTAGCCAGCTACAAATACAGGCCATGCAGCCATTCACTAGAGCAATCGAGGCGGCAGTATAGCTTCTTTTCTCGTTCAGCAAAACCAGCTTGTGGCTTCAAACAACTTCATAACAAGCGACCGAGGTAATAGTTTTTCTCCGTTGTTCTTGCTTTTATAACTGCACCGAAAATCCAAATTCACAGTAATTTCGACGGCTGTCACTTAAAAATTCTTTTCCGTCACATTATCTGCCAGGTTTTTTAGCTGTTCTGCTGTGTAAAATCCTAGAATCCCGATGAGTTTTTAAAAAACTAATGTTCATTGCTACAATGTTTTGATTTTTCATTCATGCAGTCCAGGCGAGTCCGTTCGCTCGTTGACAGTTTTGATAGACGTGTGACATGTGAATAGCGGAAGTCCCTTGTCTTTTCCGGTTTGTTCTAGTCGAGGAGATTCAACGAGATTTTGTGGGCGTTTTTAATAAAACAATTATTCCACTCGCGCTTGTTGGATATGAGATGATTATAGCCAACTCGGCGCTACGCGCCTCTTTGGCTATCTATCATCTCATATCCAACGCGCCCTCGTGGAATAATTGTTAAATAGCCCATTCGGCCTTCGGCCTCATAGGCTATTGACTTATGGGCCATGAAGGTTCCAGGAATAATTGATTCAGTAAAATCCAACTATTTGGTCAACAATATCGCGACAAAACAACTTTAGCCAACAAAACGCGATTCACCCTTAAATCGATGGGAAAAAACGAGGATCCGTAATTGACAGTACGGACCGAAAAAACGAGGCTAATAAGATGTTTATTATATGGCTTCCTCCAGTTTGGGGGACCGGAAACAAGTGCAGGGCCCAGTTGCTCGAAGCATGGTTAGCATTAACCCGCGTTTAATACCTTGACAACGTATTGGTTTTGATACTGCTTAACCATTGGGTAAAGCTAACCATGCTTTGAGCAACTCAGCCCAGGACGCGCGATTTGACAATCATTTGACAGGCGCCAAGAAAGAAAGTTTTTATTGGCTCACGAAAACAATAGCACACAACAAAGGGTTTCCGAGAAAGTGAAAACAAATTCGCCATGTTGAAAATGTTTATTTGGTCAAAACTAAGAGCGCTGTAAGTTTTAGCTCTTAAATATAACGCTGGAGTATTTTGGAAACCGGGCACTGTCTCTCTCGAAGTCATTTCCCTCTTTCCTCCGTTGGTCCTTGGAAAAAAAACACTGCAAAAGGCAACGACGCTTTTCAAGGTAAGTTTGTTGCCATTATCGAAGGATTCGCTCGTTAATTTTTTTGGGAAAACCTCTCGAATTTCTGCCAGTTCATTCACGTCTTCAAGCGTGATCTGCGTTAAAATTTTCAAACAAGGACCATATTTTCTTGGTTACGATTCAGTTTCTACATCAGCTTCGTTCTCATTCAAACAAAGCTAGGTTAAAATCTGCAAAGGCAAAGTCAACATCCCAGTCCTCAGGGTTTATATTTACAGACATATTTTTAAGTATATTCGGTCAAAACTAAGAGCACTGTAAGTATTCACTCGTCAATGTGACACTGGATTCTTTTGAAAACTGGACAGGACCATTTATACGAGGAAAAATAAGACGCGTCTTACATAAGACGCGTCTTAAATAAGACGCGAACTTTCCGTATAAACGGCACATTTCGTCTAAAATAAGACGCGGCTTAGCTAAGACGCGTCTTATTAGATAAGACATGCTCGTATAAATGGTACAGTTCGCATCTTATTTAACACGCGTCTTATTTTTCCTCGTATAAATGGCCCTAATGTGTCTGGCTCGGAGTCGCTTCTATCTTTCTTTCGTTGGTCTTTGGAAAAACACTGACAAAGAACCTCGTCAAGATGATCGGGTGCAGGCATGTTTGTTATCATATTTGTCGCAGGAATTACTCATTTTCTCTTAGGCAAAACATCTCGAATCTCTGCCAGTCGACTTTCGTCTTCTTAACTGTGTACTACGATAAAATTTTCAAACACTTACTAGAATCCTCTTCGATAAGATAACGAGTTAGTTTCTTCATCGCCTTCGTTCACAAATTAAAATGTTTTGAAGGACAAAGTCAAAATCTAAGTCCTCAAGGTTGACATTAATTTCAACCTTTTTTTCCGAGGTAAAGAGATTTAGAGCTCCGAAATGAGCATTTGCTTTGAAATTTTGGTCCGTATAGCAAGTTACGGACCGCAAATTGACCAATCGCATGGCGAAAACAGACTCAGCCATATAATAAAAATTATAAATATTATTAACCGTTCATGGATTGTGGTAATGTTTTTGGTCAAGGGGTCAAGGTCGGTGTTATTTTTTAAACTCACCACAGACTTGTATCGGTCTGATGTCCATCTCTGCATCAAGTCAGCAATGAAAACTAACACTGCTCCTCTCATGGGCGTGGCGGATACAAACTGTCCATCAACATTATTGATCACCTGAATCGAACGTACATACATGCTGTTTAACTATGTTGGCATAAAACAAAAGGTGATTTTGAAGTAATATGAAAAATCCTTTAAGAGCATATATCATTTATAGGAGGGCAAGGAGCATTTTCTTGCAGAGCGAGTTTATAATTTTGTTGAAATTCCCAACGCCATATATTCTTCAAATGCGTTGAAACTGGAGTGTTTTTGAATTACGGCTTTCACTGTCAAATCCCTGATCATTTGCCTCGAATATATCTGTTAATTCTAGGTAAATACAGCTCCACCAGCTTCAAATTGCGTCCACCGGTAAAATAAATATTTGATAACGTGGCGCAGTAACTCTTGGCCAAGGTGTCTTTTTGAACCTTTTTTGGCCGTTTTTTTTTTACCATACATTTTTTTTACCCACAGGCTTGTTTCTCTTTATTTACAATGCTGCCGCCTTACACCCTCGCGATAAATGCATTTCTAGTATAAGACGTAATGCGGATAGTATCAAAACTAGGTTTTCTATCTCTGACCTCCATTCCACCAACATCATCTTGAAACAGCAGTGTAATCCCACCATAATCCGTGTGTTCCCCACAGCGAATCTGACCCGGCTTGATTTTACTAAGGTCTGATATCATTGGGTAATAGTTGTATCGTAACTGAGTACCACCTTCGGAGGTGCCCGTCTTTTGCCAAGCAAAGGCAAACGCGTCTGGATCCTGGATGAGTAAACAAAAAGGTAAGGCCGAAGAATGTTTTTGCATCATTTGAAAAGTGTAGATGAAGAAAAATAATATAGCATTGAGGCAAACCAACAGCTGTCTTGAGACTAGAGCACGGGCTTATAGTTAAACAATTTTGTGCTCTTGCTATCACCGGCCTGCTTATTATGTCATTTACAAAAAAGCGTGAATCGTAACCTGTTTTATCGAAAAAAAGGGTTATCGTTTTTTTCGGGCCATGCATGGCGACGAGCACGTTGCATTGTGGTTTGCATAGTCTCGCCTGGCCGCCCCCACTCAGATGATTGACGGAAGGGAAAAAAACAAAATCCCTTTGAAGTTTCCAAAACGCGAAGCGCAATACAATGAATTTTCGCTGTTATGCGTCAAAGGTTACATTTTTGAAACAAAAGAACGATTCCTCGTCGCAGTAAAATTTTACAGCCTCAAGGCGTTCTCCTATCGGTACTACATTGAAGTTAATTTGGCAAGGCATTTTGCTGTTGTTTATCAAATTCAGTAGTGAATTTATATAATAATACTAATTCGTACACTTACGCGCTGCGTGAATTTGCGATTTTTAGCTTCTTTTTGGGAAACACACCTTTTGCCTCAGCTTGCCCTGTCCATGGGGGCGGGGCTCTATGGAGGCTTTTGTACATGAATTTGCTGGCCTAGCCATGGAGTTTTTGCAGCTTTCTAAAGGTAATTTAGCAAATCCTCGGGGGGCTAGCCAGGCATGGAATTGACTATAAGCCATATTTCTCGAGGTTTTCACGTCTACCTCCATTTGGTAAACAGCTGTCTTAATTCAGATGTGGTGACCAATGTGGTGCGGGTTCAAATCCTTGCGTCGACGCCATATGTGGGTTGAGTTTGTTGCTCGCTCCGAGAGGTTTTTCTCCGGGTACTCCGGTTTTCCCCTCTCCTCAAAAACCAACACTTCCAAATTCTAATTCGACCAGGAATCAGGTAGACGAAGAACCACTTTGTGCCGGATGTACTACTTCTAAATCATTATTTATTTCAGGAGATGCTTTTGCTTCTTTGTACAAAGACACTGAGAGCCTTTTCTAAGACACCCATCTGTAACAGACCCTGTAAAATCCATATCTTCACTGGGTTCTCGGAGAAAGCTTACCTGGGTTGGTCTATTTTCAACTAGTTGTGTACTTCCCATAAAAACGGAAAGGGGTGGTAGGCCATACATCTTTACCGGCATGAAAATTTTGAACACCTTTTACATATTGCTGTAGCGAGAAGAGCTAAAGTATTTACACTTTTTATGCAAGATTGATTACCTGTACCCTACGTAGTTTGTTTTTGTCCATGGTAATAATTTTTTATATTTTTGCTTCTTTTAAACAAATAAGAACAACGAAATAAACTGGTCTTGTAAAAGTAATAATAGAAAGTGACCGGGGACGCAAAAAATCAGCCGTGTAGAAACAAACTATTCGCCGGGTATCGGGGAGGCTAAATTTTCACTGGGTAGACTTAAATAACCACTGGGTAGGGTTTCACGGGGTCTATTACAGAGGAGTGTTCTAAATGTACTGGCTATAAGAACAAAATTTTACGTGGCTTACACACTTCAGTGAAATCTAAGATTGTTTTCCTTTCTTATACTTAGACCTTTGGATTGAATTACATTTTTTATATCATAGGTGACGAATTACTCCTTAATTTTGGCGCAAAATTTCAGCGTTAATTTGTAATTTCACATGTGAAATTACAAAATTGCCATGGCAACCCTTCCGTACGTCTCAGTGTCCAGATGGCGACGAAGTTTGAAAAATGCCGTGAATGAAGATGTCAGGGCACAAAAAGACGCTTTAGAAAACCTGAACACACAAGAGAACATCAAGAAGGATTCTAACAGGTATTTTGCCGAAAAAGTCTGAGAAATTCTGAACTTTGTAAGCCAAATTTAAGGTCTAAACATTTGAGAGAGTGGAGTTCTCGATCGATACGATCCAGAAAAGGATAAACATGCATGGCCGATAAACATGTCAAAAATCCAAGTTTACTAACGTAATTCGTCACCCATGATATTAATAGGTAATCAAATGGTATACTCGTGAAATTAGGGAATAATTTTCCTCGCCTAAAGGCTCGGGAAATTATTAGGATTTGGACAAAACGCGCGTGAAATTATTCCCTAATTTCACTCGTCACCATTTGATTACACATACAAATACGCAAATCCTTTCGCTCATAAGATCATAATACTAAGAACTATAAAATCGATCGTACCAGATCAAGGCTTATGGCTATGACAGACATCATCCTTGAAGCAAGGTTTGTCGTGTCCTCGTAAAAGGTTTTCACAGTGTCTTGAAAGTTTGGGACTTCCTCATTGGGCCAAGTCTGTAAAACGACAAGTGACTACTGATTATTACTGGGCTGCCTGTGCGCCCAGTCATAAAATGGGCTTTCGGTCGTCTGCGGCGAAAAACGGCCTCCCGGGGGAGGGAAGATACGAGGGTCTGGTACTGAGAAACGATGTTCTCACTAATGGTTTCATATGAGTTTCTCTTGCACGAACCCTTGCACGGATACTTTTTGTACCTCGTCTGCGCTCCCCCTGAAAAACCCACAAAGCGTTGCGAACCTGAAGAAGGCTATTTGCGTTGTTCGAAGCGATTCGATCATGGGAGGCACTCTATAATTTTTTTATTGTTCGAGTTTAAGTCAGTTAGATGATGTTGGCGCTGGGAAACTCAGAGAAATGCTCGCGTTGCATTCAAACCGACACGCCGTTCACGGTAGGTTCACACTAAAAGATGACTGTGAGCGTCAGGTTTGGAACAACGCCGTGGCCGCTTCGGGAACTCAAAGAGAGAATTATCGATCGATGTAGTACATGAGCAATTAAGAAGCACAATTTATGAGCAAGGTATTTCACCAGCTGACGACACTATGGCTGAAGACTTGATTGTAACCCTTTGTAGTCAGTGAAGCGAACAACTCAGTTGCCGATGAATGGCACTACGCACGTCCATGAGCGAGGGACGTGACAACTTTGCCATGTTAGAAGACTGGCTTTTCCTTTAAATATTTCCTTCTATTTAATGCAACACACGCCACTTTGGAGATCTAAATTTCGGATACTGAGGATAAAGAAGACACGGACAAAAATAGGGACTCTGAGAATTTCGCACACAAGTTTAAAGCTTCACCGGGACATCCGGGAGCTTCACAGAGAGCGACTTGAGGAAAATAGGAGCTATTATGTATCGGTCAAATCGAAGCTTCAACATGCCCCCCCCGGGCATACCCCGGGCATTTGACACCTTTGCCGTCCCGGGGAGGAGGGAATTTGATTATCAGAGTCTTCTCGGGGGTGGGGAATTTGATCCCCATGCTTTAGGGGTGGGGAATTTGAACTGCACCCTCGATTTCATGTAAAATCTTTAGGATTTTCGTGGAAAAGATTGTGCCTTTATGGCCAATTGTTTACGAGGAAAGGGCTTAAACAAGCTTTGTGCGTATTTGAAGGATTAAAATTTTAAAATTTTTAATATTGGATTCAGGCTTTGAATGTATGAATGTATTTTATTGTTGAGTTTACAATGAAATACAACACCTATACCGGCGATTCAATACAACAACATAAAATAGAATAAAAAGCTCAGGTTAACTACTTTTACCTACTGTAAGTATGTTAATTAATAAGATGAGCGATGATGCATGTCAGTGAAATGGTCATGATGTAGTAATCTCAATAGGTGGGATCTTTTTTTATTCAACGCGTTGTATGTTGCATGACGAAGAAAAGCTGAGCATTTAGTGACCTTGTAGTAGCGATTTCCGCCGCTTTGCACGAGACTTTTGTTCGTAGTAAATACGCTAACCGCGTTTCTCAGTTTTTTTTATATTTATAAAGATTTTGTTCGACAACTGAAGGCGTTTCCGCCGTCCTTCTGTCATTTTTGTGCCTGTGAAATGTCCCCGGAGTGGGGGCATTTGATCACCTGAATTGACCCTAGTGTGGGGCATTTGAACCGCATTTTGGCCCTGGTAGGGGGGAATTTGAACAAAATTTTTCAAAAAAGTCAAATGCCCGGGGGGTTGCCCGGGGGGGGCATGTTGAAGCTTCGATTTGACCGATACATTACTGACAAGGTTTGGTGACTGAGTAGAGCATACAAGTGTAGCCCACGTCGAGGTTTCAGGGGGTTTGCTTTTGTTTGTATTTGTATCTTGCTAAGCTTTTATCATTAAATTTGTACATGATCTTGTGATCACAATTCTGTGTTTTCGCCCAAGCACGCTATATTGATGTCAGCATTAGCGAGTTTCAGAAACATGCCTTTGAAAGTTTTCAGCTCTCGTGATGTTTCTTGATATTTCTTTTACCATTTTATGGAGATGTAAACTGAAGTCACCGCAAAATGGAAACTTAAAAAAGCGTATAATCCATTTATCTCGAAACATAACACACATGACTTATACGACCTTTATTTTCGTGAAGGTGTTTTGAATACGTATGAACACAGTCAATGTGAGGGGCAAAAACAGCATTAATATAAATGAACCATAGGGTTTTAACTAATATAAGGGTCAATTATTGTGCATTGAGATGAATCGCTTGAAAAGAGAGACTTCGCTTGAAGATGTGATGAGAAGTAAACAAAGACATAATAGTGCGTCACGTTCAGTCTTTTTAATATCCAAGGAGTCACTGTGAATAGTGTTTCCATATTGTTTAGCTGGCACAAAAACTTCGGACGAGTTATAAAGCGGCATAGTTATCTTCCATGGACAAAAGTTCGTCTTGGGTGAGACAAACAGAACTGGAGCGAATTTTTAACTCGCATCGGTATCAGGTAAAAAATATGTTATCGATCGTTTCATCTATTTACATTGTTTGAAGTGCGTGCTGGTGAACGCAACATGCGAGCGAGAAATCTTTAAACTTTTTTAGGTCTCAAAATGCAAAGGATTTTATTCCTTTAACTTAGAGAAAAATACCGTGAGGAAAATCTTAAAACTGAATATTTTTCATCTTGTGGAAAAAATAGTGCGTTTTCTTGTAGACTGTGGACTGCAAATTACGATCGCACTTTTCACAAACATGCGAATTCTGAAGTTCAGAAGCCAACCGACGATTGCGTTTTTCGCTGCTGTCAATCATCTTAACGGACCTCTAAGGAAACAAGACTTTACTTCACGAGTTCAAAAGATCATGGTTTGTGATTTGTGGATTTCGATCCGTTTTGTGTGTTTCTCTGTTTCAAGGTTCGTTGCTTGTGATCGTAATTATGATTGACGGCAGCGATAAACACAATTGTGAAGGTGGCTTTTGAACTTTAGAGTTCGCATGATTGTGAAAAGCGCAGTAAAGTCTCCGTGCAGTCAGTGAGGCCCCTGGATCAGGCGGAATCAATGGGCAGTTATCTGTCTGTCTTAGTATACTTCTGGTTTTCATACAATACAATATTTCTGTCTAGTGTAAATCAGCTCAGTCTGTCGCATTTTATGCTCGTAGAACGACAACAATTTTTGGAATTTCCAGTTACGTCAAATTAGTCACGTTATACTGTCACGCTATATATTTTGGGGCACAGAGGGATTGGGGGAGGGGTACGTGGAAATAATGCAAATTGTTTCCTGCTTACAATTAATGGCAAACTTGTTTATTTTTACTCATAATGGTGGAATTTAAAAAGTTATTATACAGCCCCCACTTAAAAATGGTACTCTTTTTTTTTAGTTACGAAAGTCTTTCAAAAGGGTACAATGTTCTGAATGAGTTTATGTTTCAGTCTCATATGAGGTTCTGTCGCATGCAATGGTTGCCGACAAGGTTTTATGGTAGCCTGAGTGTGTATAGCCGCCCCCTCCCTTCAGAAAAAATAGCCCCTTGGCAGCCCAGTTAAAAATCGCCTTTCGGCGATTCTTGTTGAGAATGCTACATATACGTTAGTGTAACTTCTGTGCGGCAAATCAGAGCCAAGCAGGAATTGAGAATTAATAACAACTCCTGTTAGTCAAATGAACAAGTAGCTTATGACTAAATGACGTCAGTTTGCCGAGAGTCTGCGAACAAGATCTTTGTGATCATTCAAAAAACCCTCCCCAATCAGATTTTGGTTTCACTGGAAAACGACTTCTCTACATGGTAGTTCAGTTTGAGAGAAAAAGGGATGCGATTTTGAGTATAGAATAAGGTAACTAAGCTATGGAGATTTTTCTTAAGAGTGCTGAATTTCCTAGAACTCAGACTGGAACACAGATCCGCTGAAACTGATACACAGTTTTGCGGCGGTCAGCGGTAACTCGCGTAACGGCGCGTGTTTTAAATTAGAGAAACAAACATGGCGGCGAAAAAGCAATGGTACACAGAAGACGATTTCTCAAAATCTACTCATTTGGCAGAATTTTTACTTTTATCGTATTTTAAATGATGAGAACTTTAAAATGGAAGTTGAACAGACGAATTTTATGACACATTTAATAATTACAGAACAATAATATTATATCTGGATTTTTGAAAAGAACCGGGTTAGCAAAAATATCAACTCATCCTACCACTTACCCTGGGTACCAGAGGTTTTTCTCGAGTGTGGTGGGAATCTTTGGTGTTGGTCGAAGGCCGACACATCTTCGGCCGTAGGCCGAAGGCACGAGCGGCCTATGGTGTAATGCCATTAGAGCCCGCTGAAACTGAGACCTAGATCCAATTTTCCTGAGTCAAGAGTTATTTTTCCAAGGTACAATCAGCTAAGCTAAACACCAACGAAACAATATTAATGGCTGGCACAGAATATTTTGGCGAAACTGCGGTTCAACCACGCAATCACATACCTGTAAACACCATGCGGAAATCACACAATCACACACTTTCGCGGCACTGATAAGACTATCCACAACCACGCATAATCTTCTCAAGTTTAACATAAGCGAAATATTATCGAATAACTCGGAAAAACTTAGCCTATTGCCAGATAAACACCTCTGGGCTTTTCTCTTACACTCGTCTTATTCAAGTTCCCGGGTGTAGAGTCACACGGTCGGCGGATCACCTTAGCCTTGTTTTCACACCAGAAAAAAACGAAGTCTTGGCCCGGGTCAAAGTACACCCGCAATTTTGCTCTCACCTAATTCATTTGACTCCTAAGAGCCTTTTCCCAAAGCCAAAGACTTAGTGGTCACCTTAGAAAAGTGGACAATGCCGTACCTTTCTGTCTCAGCCCGGATCAGGGTGATTGATCTGTTAAGCCAAATGAAACGAGAATATAATACGATAGTGGACGATGCAAACTCTGCAAATCGTAATAACTTTGTCCCATGTCAGAGCTTTATATGATGCTTTCCGCGAAACTTTTCTCAAGGTGACCAATATATAAAACTAAACAGCTAAACGGCACCGAAACCAGCTTTAGGCGCGGGCTGATTTGAAATAACTGTCACTTGTGTTAAAGAAAGAATTGTGGGTGGGGAAAAAAATTGGGAGGGGTGGGGGGTGGGGGGGTAAGATAGTAATTCTGTCTACATCCACTTCTACACAAATCCCTAACAACAAAACAAGCATTAAACAAAACAAAACAAACCGACATAAGCAAACAACACAGTAAACAAGCTATTAGACAGGGGAAGTCAAGAAAAATTACAGAATGTTTGCTAACCCGGTTTTCATAACTCCAGGTAAAATTATGTTATTGATTATCTAAAAACTCGTCTGTTAAAATTTGGTCAAATAAGTTTCATGGTAATGATTAATCATAGTAAGCTGTGTGCAAGTTTACAGGAAAATCTAATGAGCGAATTTCATGTAAACTGAGCAAAAGTGAAATGTTAAAGTTGTATTCAATCGTTCATGTTGCCATGGAAACTACGAAACGTCAAATTTTACCTGTCAGTCAAACTCTTTCATCAGTACATTATTCACTTGCCATGTTTTAGTTTGTGAGCTGCAACCTTTCTCTTGCCATGATTTGGTAAATGACATATACTCACAAACTGCCAAAACTGTGTTCAGCCACCTTAACAGTCAGTTGTATGTCGCGGATTCGGGTTGGTTCAAATTGTGTTTCTAAGTGGTTTCTCGCAGAGTTTCCTAGGCGCTGCCCAAAAACTTTTATCTTGATAGTAAAACAATGACTGACACTTACATAATTTTCATCTTCCAGTCCGCAGAAGTCAAACGATTCCTTGAGGTCCGCAGGTCTTTTCATATTGCCGGTGGCTCTACAATTTGACACACAGGTTCGGTGAAGTCATATTAGTTATTAGTTATTGTTTACACTTTTAGTTATGTCCAAATCTGTGAAGGTTTGCACTATGGGCTGGGTTGTTCAAAGCAGGGTTAAGATATCCCAGGGTCAGTGCAAAATTTCGATTCAGATATGAAAGCTTTAAAAAGCAAATCAGTTAAGTTTTATTCTTTTTGTCCACAATTTAATGATTTGATGCTCTAACAAGAATTGAGAAAATTATTCTGTAAAATGCTTTTGAACAAAAGAAATAGAAACGTGGGTTAAAGTTTTACGCAGGGTTAGCGCTAATCGGCCTTCGAACAAGTGGGCCCAGCTGCAGGAGTCATTTCGTAAGTAGATTCATTGAGAATGGTCGTCTGGGTGAACGTAGTCTTGAATGGAAGTGTTGTTGACAGTGACCGTCTGACGTTTTGACAACCTCTGCGGTAGTCATCTTCAGAGTTAAAGTGAGTTGTATCACGTCAGTTGATGGTATTAAACTCTGGTTATTGACGTGATTGTTCAGTTAAGTCGCGATGTTATTGGTCGCTCACTGTCAGTCGTAGAAAAAAAGAAGCGTAAACTTTTCGGATTCAAAAATGTAATAAGTCGTTGCACAGGGCCGGTAACTGCTGACTACGATTCAGTGACGTTTATGTATGTTGGCACTTGCGATTTTATCGGCCTGATATGTCATATAAGCATGAAAAGTAACCTGCTTTGTCGAAGAAAATAAAGAGGACAAAGAGTGATTTCTTGCATGGAAGAATTAAGAATTTGTTCATGCTTAGCGTGCGTATATCGAGTTATGGATGCACGCGGGAAGTTTGGAGAGCACGAAAGATGCGTAAGAGTTGCACGTGGCGATAGCCGAGTGCAACTCTAGCTTCTTGAGTGCTCTCCAAACTTCCCGCGTGCATCCATAACCTGATATACGCACGCTAAGCATGAACAAATTCTTAATTCGACACACATATGACGCTCATTTATCTGACGTATTACGTTACCCAGTTCACCTTCATGTCATACATGCAGCACACCGAAGACTAGCGTCGAAAAGGAAATGGAAAATTACTCGCATCGAGCAACAAAAAAATTATCGACGCCAGGCCACGCTCATTTTTCTGGCAAAACATGTCACGCTTCGCCTTCATGTTTATGTAGCACACGGATGACCACAATTACCCTTTTTTGCAAAGTTTCTTTTGATTGGAAAAAATAAATTCATATAATGACAAGCAACGACTTGAGCGTAATAGATTTTTCCTTGTTCACGAAATGAATCATACGGTATTTTGCCTCTGGCCCTCAGAATTATCGCTTATCTTACTTGCAGACTTTACGGACATTACGGACACACGACAGGACTGCATAGTGTTTTACAGTTTCTATGGAAACTGTAAACACAATAATTATTGAATGAGCTGAGTATCATTCGAGAGCTAAGTTCAATAATTACTTTATTATTCATTCAAAGTATTTCTGATTTCTTTACAAGCTTACCTCCTCGTAGACTTTCTTCAAATTTTTTGCCTATTTCTCAGAACGATTTTATGATAAAAAGATCAAGCAATGTGTTTAACGTAATCTTGCATTTCTTGTTCTCAGCTATTTCGTCTTCGGATAGTCCGTGAACGCCATTTCTTTAAGTTCATTATTGCCCAAGTAGCCTCGTTTCCAGGCAAATATACAACTAAGTGGCGGACACTTGGGTCTCTACTTTTTGGACTCCTCATTTCAAAAGGAGGTTTAATTTGAAAGGATTTTCTTCGGTAGAGGTATATAATTCGAGTAAGAATACCTTTCGCTTTCAAGCTTATCCCAGCCATTCTTCAGGGTCGTTCCGGTTCTCTTTGCATACTTCTTCTTTACATCAATGTTCAAGTTAAAAAACTTGTCATAAGTTTCGAAAGTAGTGTCAATCTGCAAGATCATAGATACATTAACAAAGTGAACCACAAAGTGATCCAACAAATACTAGAGACATTGTTTCCTCTATAAAATTATCCAGCAGACAAATAATCGAATTAGGTAGAAATCAGACGGGGTGGTTAGAACAGGATAGACTTGCCGTTTCTTGTGGGATTCCATGGTTTGTAATATAAACGACTCCAATTGTGCTGAAAGCTTGGTATACTTGTTTAGCAAGGTCTTTAACAGCTTGGTTGCTTCGATCGGGATCCTTGACGTCTAGACTCATTGCGCCAAAGTCTACAACTGGAATTGGACATGCGGGATTGGGTGCCATGTTAAACTCTTCACAGTTGGTACAAGGAGACCCTATTGACGCTAAAAGAAAAAAAGATTATAATAAATTAGATTTGTCGTGTTGGCCGAAATATTTTACGGCAAATGTATCCCTAAAATAAAGTCAGTATTCTTAATCCTCGAAGTAATAACTTATACTGGTCTCAGAAATTTTTTTCCTCGTGAGAGTGAGAAACATTTCAAGAAAAACGTAAGGGACCAGGGTAATACTAACATTTTCAGCCGGAGAACTTAGCTTCTAATCAAGACGCAGGAAACTGCAAGTCATCGCTAAACATTCAAATGACCTGATGTCTGTAATAGTAAAGAGTAATACTGTTGTGAAGTATTTTGAAAGTTATTTTTAAGATTTGTATTTTATTTTAAGTTTCGTTTTGTTTCTGATTAAGTGAGTTAAGGTTAGTCTTGGTTTTTCCACATAGGTGTTTACCTTGACCATATTTGTTTTTAATCGTCAAATGACTTGAATTTTTGCTTAGCTCACGAGTTTACTTAATGTCATTTTAGGAATATTCTTCGCTTGCCATTGTCAGCTGTAAGTTTTTCATAGGTGGTCCGCGTGTTTGTGATGTTAGAGCTGACCTTGGTACATTAGTCTCGTTGAAGTTCCTGTTTGGGTTCTTTAACCAGCGTTTTAGTTTTTCATTGCCTTGGTTTGTAGCTTCTTGCCGATCGCAATTATGTAGGTTCAGTAATACCAAAACATTACCCACACCGAGTTCATCTTGATTTTATTCCCACGGTCAGTTAACCCAAACACGCGCAGCTTTGGCTATAAAAACCGCTACATAACTATATAGTTGAACTAGTTGGTTAGGATTGAGTAGAGAAGAAGAGTAAGAAGATTTTAAAAGATTAAGATTGTTAGCAGAAGTCGAAGATGAATAAAAACCAAGAGGTAAATCAGATTCTTCAGGCTAGTACTTCATCGTGTAGCGGTCGAGTTGCTCGAACACACTCCTACAATACCTATAAATATTTTTGGTCATAAATTAAACGTATCAACTTTCAATTAATACATTTTGTGATTTTCTCCTTTATAATTTATTTTTACATATTTACTATTTTTTTCGGATAGAGTAAACATTGTTCATATATGTCAAAACAAGCAGGATTTTTGAAATTATGGGATCTGGGGAGTATTTTCAGAAAGAACTATAATAATAACAGCAGTATTAATCAGAAGGACTAAACAAGTTTGCGCTATTTGTTCAAGTTTTTACTGATTGCCATGGGCATGAAAGGAGCCACATCAAATAATAGCTGCATTAGTTTAAGATTCATAAAAATGAGAGGTTAGAAGGCATATTTATATTAATTTTGACATAATACCAAAAAGGCAGAATTCAAATTAAGAACAGAAATTATTTACACTATGAGCTTTGATTTTTGCAACATACTGCAGTAAAGTACATTTTGTCCTTTTAAGATGATAGTGAGTCATATGATACAGCCTCATCCAATATTATTTTAATTTATGATTGCAAATAGCAATATACTCTGTATATTTAATGATGACTGCAATGAGGATAACTGTTTTTACTTACTGGTTCCCAGGTGCAACGCGTCACACTCCTGTGAGTACTTTCTTAATGGCGTATTGGCCAGAAGTCTCGATGATACATGGTCAAGGCCACCAGGATGCCATTCACTTCCATTTTTTAACATTCTAATTGAAAATTTGGTCTTGGATGAATTACATCTAATGCGGCGTATTACAGACAGGCTGGAAGAAGGGCTTATCCTTGACATTCTAAAATGGGATTCAGTAAGTAAAAAATATTACTCTAACAGAGACTAAGTTAAATCACAACCTATTTTCTTTTATTTTTTGGAGGATGATAATCAGAGCAGACCAGGAAATAAAAAGTCACAGGAGGCACCTGGATGCCTTCCTAGTAGTTGTACACTCTCTAGGTGTCAGCCTTAGGGTGTACAAGACAAATAACAAGTGGGAATGGACTTCCTTGCTAGGGGAAGAGAAGAAGATTCTACTACGAAAGCTGCCAGATCATTTTGAAAAGATTTTGCTACCAGCAAAGGTTAACAAGACAAGGCAACTATGGATTGTAAGTAGTAATGTCAGTTGTAAAGTTGTACATTTAACTCCCTATAAGGCAAACACCACTGACTGAAGAGTACCAGGGATAACCTATAAGTGTCTGTTTTAGGGTAGTTTTACAAAATTTGTAAATATAATGAGCATGAAACAATCCCTTCTCTCTTCTTGTCTTCTCTGTCGAACTGCAGAGAGCTTATGGAGATTTTGAACAAGGAAAGAATCACTGATGATCAAATAAAATCATTTTAAAGTAAGATTGGTTTTTATCTTCTTCTGAATCAGGCAAAAAGTGAAATAATATTACACCCTGGAGTTTTTCCTTGTAAATCTTCACTGAGCTAAGAACCACTTTGGTGTTGCAGGCCGATAAGTTGGCGCAAAGACATGGTTGCAATGTCTGGGAGTGGACCTGGGTACATTCAAGCAATTATCATTACACCCTAAATGCACATCATGATTTTTCACGTTCCTGTCATGATGAAGAAGCATCAGGTACTTTGAGACAATTTCGTTAATATTGACATAGACAAAATGGGATAAGTCGTCGAAACTCCCATGGTGTGACTAAAATAGTCCAAAAGTCAAAATATAACAAAACAAAGCTAAGACACCTTTAACTGAACGTCTCCTTCTTCTTCCTGGCCGGTTAAAGTGGCATTTTGTTGAGTTTTGCAAGCGTAGGTTACAAAACAAACACTGTTGACCTTTGCGCTTCGATCTGACCGCAAACTGCCAGTCCTGGCAGTTTGCGGTCATATCGAAGCGTAAAGGTCAACTGTGTTTGTTGATGAGCGAGCGATTATTGTGCAGTTACGATGGGTTTTGTGGAGCCAGCGAGCAAGAAGCCGGAGCACACGTTACCTGCAGATTAGCCGATGGCAATTTGGAGCGGATTCGTCGATTATTCTCGAATTTATATATAGCGCTTCGCGTGAAGGCGCGTGGAGATGGTCCCTTTGTTTTGTAGCCAGCCTTTAATTCTTCTTTTGTGGATAGCACCTACGATTGCAAAACTCAACAAAATGCCACTTTAACCGGCCAGAAAGAATGATATCACCTTGACTGTGCGTAACAACCTTACCACACCTAACTTTAAAAAGAATTTAAAACTTTACTTTTTAAGCCTGAATTGAATTAGCGCAGGATTCCCATAGGTTTACTGTTTGTCTATTTTTCACTAGTTTTGTATCCTTTATAGGACTGCATGCATGTAAACTTACTTTAAAATCTTAGTTTTGTATTTTGTTTTAGTATTTGCAATTTAGCCAGGACAAGGACCAAATCTAATGAGTAGACGGACTACAGAGCTGTACACATGGAAACCTTTCCATGTCGGTGTTTAGATTATTGTTTCGTGATATATCATCCTCGATGCAGGTACATTAACGAGTAACTATTACATAATTTTTGACGATTCGTCACATATAATGTGAAGTTCGTAACCACCTTAGTCTCATGTATCTATTGATATCTTGAATCATAGGTCAAGTTTAACGGTTTTCACTGACGAAGGGTTATACACCCGAAACGTCTGTTCAGTTTGCAACCATTTATGACACTCTGATATTTCTGCATTATCATGACTTCGCCGCAGACTAATTCAGGTCGCGTACGTGACGAGCCTGTGCCCAAAGCCAGCCTCACTTGAGATTTTTGCCTCGATCCAACTCAGGTATGGGCGGGTCATGTCAGAGCATAAGAAAGAAAGCTTAGTGTGTCACGGAAATCTTTGCAATATCGCCCTAATTTGAAAGTCACAACCTATACCTTAATTTCCGGCAAATTCAGTTTGCTTCAGTTGACGTCAACACTCTTTAAAGGCAAAAGATAAATTATAAAGAAGCAAATACAAACTGTATTAAAAGTACATGTTCTATGACGGACGTCTTAACACTGTCTTAAGCAGAAGTTCTGCACACGTATGCTCTCGTAAACTGTGCCATGAAAGTGACTTCAGTTCTCACGGCAAACCTAAATATTAATTTATTATTATTATAATTATTATTGTCTTATTTATTTATTTTACTAATTTAAAGGTTCTGCTTTTGTCAACCCTGTGAAGAGTTTAACATAGCGCCCAATCTGTCATGTCCAATTCCAGTTGTAGACTTCAGCGCAATGAGTCTAGACGTCAAAGATCCAGATCAAAGCAGCCAAGCTGTTAAAGACCTTGCTAAACAAGTATACAAGCTTTCAGCACAATTGGATTCGTCTATATTACAAACCATGGAATCCCACAAGAAACGGCAAGTTTATCCTGTTCTTATGACCTGTTGTAAGAACCGTACGGAGTGGACCGAATTTATACCTGTTGAACGAAACTTTTAACTTTTCGGGGAAACTAGCTCGTTCCTTTACAAGAGTACTAAAAGCGTCCACAGCAGGATTGTCGTCGAGAACATCAGGTTTTATATGCCTCTAGCGCTAGATTTTTTATCAAGGCGTGTCTGAATCAAATCTAACTGCAATCTTTGTGTATGCGACTATTTAGCGAGATCGTTGGTTAAAGTTTGGTAGAATTCTTGGAACATTGGTTGGAATTATTTCTTTTGATGGTCACTCATAGTTAAATTTGTTGTGGTCGTTTGCTCACCATGTGGACAAGTACAAAAATCGGTGTAGCTCTGATTACCTAAGGTTTTCTGTTTACGGCTATTTGAACGGGTGTTAATTTGACGTTAATTTGACAGAAGGAACAGTATGAGGCATCCACCGAGTATGTTCCTATCGTGTTGCGATGATGCATTACTTAGAATAAGAGATATCATAGTAGACGAACTAGCTATAGCACTGAAAAAACTGAAACAGAGTTATCATAATGTTCGCTCACAAGTTCTTGACTTAGGCCTTGAACTGTCTCCCCTGCTTGGGCTTGCATGGGTGGTCAGTCGGTTTCTGTCAAGTCCAAGGTAGAGGTGTTTTCGTCAAAGCCCTGGAAAAATCCTGGAAGTCAAACCTTCGGGACAACGCCCTGTCAGGGACAATTCTGGTCTGTCTGTTCTTGTATCTGGAATAACTGACGATACTGCTTGAAACGGAGGGCTTGCCTGCAGTACCCTCGGCACACCCGTTTCGCGGACCTGCTCTTTCAGATTGCAGTAAAAAAAAAACCAGCGACACGTTAATCGGCTGGTCAGGTAGATTAGAAGGAGAGCGATAAAGATCACGGCCAAGTAGGACTAACTGCAAGTTATTTGGCCTACGAAGTGGAGTAATTGGTTGCTGTAAGGTTCCACGGCCACGCCTAGACGTAAAATAAGGCGGGAAACAGCCCGGTTTTCGTCCACCACTTTTGTCGAAGACACTTTAAACTTTTCGGAGAAACTAGCTCGTTCCTTTTATACAACACATGAATTGAGGCGTCTCTTTCACAACTTCATTAATTGCACAACTTCATCGTTTGCTGATTACAGTTCAGTCTAATACAATGTCGGCTGAGGCAACTCCCTTCTATATTGACCAGAAAACCCACCTGTTTGACTCATGAGAAATGAATGTTTCTAAAGGCAAGTCTTCTGTGACTGGCTAGAAGAGACTCTTTAGCGTTGAACCTTCGATTTAATGACTTTGTCAAAAGGATTTTTCTTTCTTAAATTTCAAGGAGAGTAACATAAAAATTACAAAGAATCGGCGTCTAAATAGATATCTTACAAGAACAGTGAGAAGAGTACTAAAATTACAGTTTAAAAATCATGTCTAGTAGTTAAGCTTCCTCGTCGAATATGATTGGCTAAACGTTCCATAAATCAAATTTGGACGCCACCGGAATATTCAGAAGGCGTGATATAAACTAAAAACACAGTACGTAGTCCAGAGCAGAAATTTGAACGAATATATTTATTTCAAAACACTTGTAGAGTCACCTCATTGCCATCACAATATTTCTAATCAAGGTAAAAAACTATGTAATGCGATAAATTCCGTTGAAAATTCAAGAAACTACAACAAAAAGGGTTAAAAAGAGGTTAAGGTAACCATTTCCTGGAAAGCACAGACGAAAGGTTGTTTAGGTCAAAACTACCAAACCGAGCAACACAAACAAGGGTTCGTTATCTTCAGAAATTCACCTTGATTAAAAATTTTGTAAGAATAGAAGTGTTGCCGCAGAGATGTACCGAAATGAGACAGACGTGTCTTCCACCGATTCAAGTCAAGAGAAAATATAGTCATATAATTTTATTAAACTTTCAGGTGAAAACTACTAGAACAGTCAAGATAATAGGATAAGAATGCTTAAAACAACTTTACCATGAACATGCACAATTACCACAGGCGGCTAACTTAACCCTCTGAGCGAAATTTCCAGAAAAGATAACAAATATGTTATCCAGTGAAAACTACTTTCTCAAATCAGGAGAGGTTAGAGATCGATCAGAAATTTTCTGAGAGAACTGAAAACAGCAAAGGAAGCGTCAACTTATTTTTGTAAAACACATAGAGTATGTCTCACCCTAAATATAACTTTAAATTAACCCCAGACACCAAATAAAATTCGCTTGACAATTTTTCGTCAGAATTAATGTACCACAAAAATTTCAGTCATCATTTTCAATTTTGTTTTGTTTGACATACGTAGTGTCTTTACAAAAGACTTAATCTCGTTATATTGTCTCCGAGAGAGCTGACTAGACAAATTCAATTCCCTTTTAGAGTGGAAACCGCCACTGTAAACCGTGTGAAACATAAGAATAGCTGATCAAAACATGAAAAGAAAGTATAAATAACACAGCGGTAAATACAATAAGCGGACCGGGTTTTCAAACTCGAAGAAGGTCTATGATAAGTAATTGATATGGACTGCACTGATTATGCTTTTTTGCAAACTTGTCAGTTAGCTTCAGTTAACAGTGTTTCAGAAGTTATTTTTGTTGTTTGAAACGTTTGATAAAATGCTTGGGAGACATATCAATCTATGAAAGAATAAGTAAATACGCCGCCATTATGAAATAGGTCTATTCGTCTTCGAAATGATGAATTTTTTGTCCGTCGTATTAATTTGATTAGAGCAAAAGCTTTTCTCTAGTGTCTGACAATAATAAAGGAACAAGCAGTCCTGTGCCGTGTAAACGTTCCCTCAAGAGGTGGTGACGTAATGAAGTTAAAAATTCAGAAAGACTTCGAAAGACGGATGCCAGTTACTGTGAAGCATAGTAGAGGAGACTGGTTATGAAAGCCGGCAAACGTCAAAGTTGAAAACAACGGTGCTGTGGTTTATGTTGGAAGCTCCCTGACCGTACACAAAATAGTCTCCGTTTTTGTTTTGTTTTGTTTTTTCGCAAGTTGTGACTGAATAAATTAATGCGATGTTTCTTTTTGTGATCAGTAACTTCAAAATGATATGAATGCTATTGAACGTTGTGCACGGTCAGGTCTAAAAAAGCTAACAAAAACATATAACAAAGGAGTCTAACGAGTTTCATAAGCATTCCACTTAAATGATGAATGATGTGTTGGTTTGTTAGATTGATTGATTGTTTTACTTTGTTAATAATCCTTTTATCTTGCAGATTGACACCACTTTCGAGACTTCTGACAAGTTTTTTAACTTGAACATTGATGTAAAGAGAAAATATACAAAGAAAACTGGAACGACAAAGAATGGTTGGGATGAGCTTGAAAGGGAAAGGTATACTTACTTACGGAAGAAAATTCTTTCAACCTTTTACTACAATGAGGAATCCAAAAGGGACAGACCTTAGTGTCTGCATTTTAAAAATGTCCAATGATACAGTGATATAGAGGTAGGACTGAATTGTGTGGATTCTCTTTCGAGCTTAGACCAATAGAACTAGCTAATAACCCAAAACCAGACAGGTGTTCATACATCTGTAGACGCTCGATTGCGCTGATTAAATATCTATTTTAGATATTTTACTAATTAAGAGCACGATGAGAGATTATACTCACGAAACTCGTTTAGGCGTTTTTAAGAACTCATATAAACGTTTCCGTGCGTTCTAGATTAGACTGCAATTTAGTTTTGGTTTTTTGAGGAGATGGGAAAACTGGTCAGTGCCTGCAAAAAAACGTCTCGGAGCAATGGAGAGAACGAACAAATAATAAATATTATGGGCACCTTTTCACATTTGCTTTTAATTACAGTCAAACCAGGTCAAGCGTTCCCGTCGCTAACGAACTAATGAATTCATTCACGGAAAAATGATTTCGTTTGTTGATTCAATAATCCATTCACAAAATAAACAATCCAATAGTCATATTTAGCCTCGATTCCATAATCGAATGTTGATTCGATTACTGTTTTTTGAAAAATTACACTTTCCACAAGTTGACCTCAGAATTTTTTTTTTCCTTTTTTTTTTCTGAGAGTCGAGTGCTGGCGAGTTCTGAAGTTCAAACCCAAACAAACTGTTACATGTACGCCAGTTTGCTGCCAATAATCAGTGCAACAGACCTAGGCCTGACCCCTTAGAAAACACGACGGTCAAACTGAGGTCAGTGTATATGCGGTGATTGGTGGATTTCGATCCTCGGCCTTTGTCAGTTTCTTTGCGTTTGCGGTCTGTCTATTCTAGCTGATGTTTTGATTAAAGGCAATGAAAAACGCAATCGTAAACGGTAGGAAAAGGGAAGCAAATACGATTGAACACAACAGACAAGAATAAAGAACAGGTAGATTTTGTTCATAAACCAAATCAACATTTGATTATTGAATCGAGGTACAATTTGACCGTTGGATTATTCATTTTATGAATGGATTTTTGAATCAACAAACGAAATCATTTTTCCATTAATGAATTCATTAGTTTGTTAGCGACGGGAATGCTTGACCTGGTTTGACTGTAAAGTGCATTTACTGTAAGGGAGTTTTTCAGTAGTATGCACGACGTTGATTAATATGACGTCACCGAAACTTTGTGTCAAATTGCAGCACCAATTTAAAAAGACCTGGAGACCTCAAAGAATCATTTGACTTCAGCGTTCTGGAAGATGAAAACTTTGTAAGTGGCTGTTGCAATTTTATTTCACAATAACATTTACAACAGCACCTTGGAAACTCTGTGAGAAATCGTTTAGGAACACTCGACTGGAACGGGTCCTCTGCTTTTTGCAGAAAACATATCGATAGTTGTGTGGCTTGATTTTCTGGCGGAACTTTCTCCTGAAGTTAATCAGAACGGCGGCGAATTTCGTTTTGGAACTAAAACAATGGCACCATATGAAATTGCTAGTAAGGCGGGTTTGATTTTCGAATGATTACATATAGGATTTTGTACACAGACTCACAAGAGTTAAAAGGAAAACTTAACACGACTTCGGTTTTGAAACGCTTACAAATGAATATGGTGGCAGAAGCCACCAATTTTGCCTCAAATGTCATTTTAGTTAAAAGTTACCTCTTCATGAAGTGAAAAATACCGAAATGAAATTTGGCAGGGGTTGTCAATTATTTCTATCTGGCTCTGATCTGCCGTAAAGTAATATTTATCTAATATGTAATCAATTGTCACTTCACAGACCTGGCCGAACGAGGATGTGCCAAACTTTCAAAGCACTGTTCGAACCATGTTTCAGTGCATGACAAGCTTTGGTTCAAGAATGCTGTCTGTCATAGCCATTGGCCTTGATCTGGTACGATCGATTTTATTGTATATTTTTTTTCTTTTTTGCATGATAGGATTTAAGCACTGAAATGTAGTTTCATTACTCTAAGTAAGAAGGAAAATGAATCTTATAGATAGTGAGTAAGCCACTTGACACTCTTAAGCCTCATACAAACGGACGCAACAGTGTTGGCCAACAACTCCCACCAATGTTGGATGCTACATGTTGCATCCGTTTGCACACCTTGTTTGTTGCGTTTGGTTGTTACAAAGTTTGAAACCCGTCAAACGTTTAGCTACCGTTTGCACGTGGTTTTATGGTGTGAAATGAGATGTAAATTTTACTATGTTGAGAGTGCTGTGAAGTGAGAAACTCTTCAAATCTTTTATGATTATAGTCAGAATTTAAACCGGGAGGAGGGGGGGGGGCGGTTACTCCGGATTTCAAGGGACAAGGAGATCGAAGGATTTTGTTGGGTTTGAAATTTTCTATTCCAGGATTTTTCGGGCTACGAAAATTTGGCAAGTATTTTTTTGGATGGCTAGATTTATGTAGGGATTTTTTTGGCCAATTAGAATAATCAAAAGATTTGTGGAAGTGCCCTCGATCTCAAAGTTCTGTGTTTAAAGTTCAACAAAACTTGTTTTCCTCTCTGGAGATTTTTAAGGCTCAGAAATTCGGCATGGCATTTTTGGGGGTTTTGTTGGAAGCCCTAGGGATTTTGTGGGGTTTGGATTTTTGGTCCCATTCGGTCATCCCTGTGACGTCAGAGACAATTCTTAGAAAGATCTGAAGACGCTCATTGAAAGTTAACTTCTAAGCTTCTGTTTCTTTTATTTTGTGAATTATTAGTGCGTTTTAACGATTTTTTTTCCTTCCATAAAACAGGTTCATCGAGTGCTGATTCCTGAGGAGGAAATCAAGCGCAGAGTTCCCTGCCGATCGTTGGTTTTGTTTCATGACCCAGATGATGACACGATGGTCACGTGTCTGGATGGATCTAACAAATATTCCCCGATCAGAGCGAGAGGTTGGAACTATCATCAACTGCATTCAACTTACAAATATTGAATAATACGCGTAGGCAATGACATCAACATGACAGCAAGGATAACAATGCCTCAGATCGATAGAATAATAACTAGCTTGAAAAAAAGAAAACTTCAGCTTCGCTATAGGACAGTCACATGACACGTGATCACCTTCTATTTAGTACCACTCGGCATTATAACTGTTACGCTGAGGTAGTCCACAAAATCAACAAATACCTATGTTCCAAGACAATTAATGATTCTACCCCGCCTTAGACTTAACCTGTTGCAGTCGTGCAGTGATGGCGAAGAAGTGTACCCAAAAGCGTGATGTACCTGAAAAGTTTATGGTTAGCTAATTAAATTTATTGCTCTTTTGACATTCTCATTCAAGCGAGGACAGCGTCTTGAATGAATTACTTAGTCTTCGAATACGGCCGTCTCTCTTTGTTCTTTGCCGTTAGGTACGTTTCGTCCCTAGCGGCTAGGAGAGAGGAAAGTCCGCTCTATTCGCAACTTATATATGAATTGACAGTATTGAATTGAATAGTATTGCACTGGTTAAAGATTATCCAGATGAAGCAGGGGCACCCAACGAGAGTATAGTTCAAAACCACTCAAACATAGCTTGTTAAACGTATTTTAGTATTTAAACGGTAGATATAGGCATATTTTTATCCCCTATAAATTTTTCATCTGTTCGGATTTCCTAGCTGAAAGTCTAGTGATCCGAAAATTAAGACTCCCGAAAATTCTAGGTGACCTTTTTAGAGTAAAAATCCGTTAAAAATGGGCAATTATACTATTTTTTAGACGTTCGAAAATCCTAGGAGAAGTAAACAAGCAAGAATTTCAAGAATTTTACCAAAAAATGTTCCGAAAATTCTAGATCTCAAATCGTCTTCCGAACAGATATTTTCCGAAAATTGACGTTGGGTGCCCCCGATGAAGCTAGATGATATCTCGTCTCCTTCTTGTACGATTCATAGTTTAGTGATTAAAATCGAAGGTAAAATCCTTACCTTTCAAAGAATTACTCCAAGGGTCTATTAATCTAACGTATTTACTGAAGCGCGAGAAGGGCTGGCTCTCACTCCTCGATACCGCTGTAGAAGTTGTACTCTTGTATCCCTCTATGGGAGGAAAAGACACTGAACTAACATGCAGCTTGCTTAGGCAATTTATAATACAAACCAGGTATATCAAAAGAGACTCAAATGTGCGGCTTGTTGTAAACGGCGGGAGTGACGTCCATAGGAAGCTAAAAGGGGAGTGTAACCGAAAGTTGAACTGTTTAGTTTCCGTCTGACTGATCAGTCGTCAAATGATTATCGAGGTTATAAAAGGCCACGATGTGCCTACGTGCCTGTGTGCTCAAGGGTTCCCTATCGAAGCCAAAGATAGCAACGGAAAGGCGTTTCCGTTTTTAATCATTGTGTCACACTGCTGCACACCCTGGGGGAAAGGGAAGTGATAATTTTGATGCACCAATCCAATCGTGCACGACAGAAAATGGTCGATTGTCGGTAGAGCTTTCTTTTCGCAGTACGAAACACAGTCCAGTGAATGCAAGCACTATTCGCAGGTTTGCTGCAAAACCATGATTGTTTGCAATACCCTTATTACGTTTCTCTTGGCTGCGCTTGATTGGCCTGAATACCATTCCAGGATCAATGGAATGACTTTACTTCCCACGCGTCGCTTTCATAACAAATAACCGGATGGCGCCTGAAGACGAAGCACTCCGCAGAAAAGGTGAACAATGGAGCATAGAAGAAACTCTTGTTCCTATTTCCCTAAGAATGAAAGCAGGAAGTTGTTGAAATTCCGTCCCCGTCGGCATAATCAAAATTGTGTCCTTTTAAAAACACAAGGCAACACGTCCTGTTTATCCTCTCTTGTGTACACTAAATTTCCTCCTTGTAATCTTCTTTTCTCTAGATGTCCAATAGCTTGTGATATCAAGGTTGCTGCAAAAACAACTCATGGATCATTACAAGCGAAACCACGTAAGACGCGCGTGAAGAGTGGAAGGGAGCTGCTCTCGCCCCAGCCCATACCGCGTGCGTCAAGGTCCCTCGGCACAGCACGCTACTATCCTGGACCGGCCATTTGTTCGAAGGCCAATTAGTCAAGGCTTAACCCAGGGTTAAATTTAACCCGGGTTTCTTTTTCTTTTGTGCAAAAGTATTTTCTTGGATAATTTTCTCTGTTATTTTGAAGAGCATCCAATCATCAACTTGACGACAGAAAGAATTAAACTTAATTTAATTACTTTTTTAGCTTTCAAATCTGAATTCAAATTTCGCACTAATCCTGGGTTATCTTAACCTAGCTTTGAACAACACGGCTCAAGAGCCTGGAACAGGCTAGATTTTCAAAGATAGTTGTAACATAAATCGCCGGCTCCAAGCCCGGGGGGGTGGGGGGTACTCAACAAGTTGTTAGACGGGGAGGCTCCGCTCTGAGGTCCAACCCCTTGCTATTTTAAGTACCATTTTTCACGAAAAAGGTACCCCTTTCGTATGCCTTCTATTGACCGATGGCACCCCTTTCACATACGTCGTTTAATACTTTGCATCCCTTTCAGAACTGCTGTAAATGCATTGTCATTCAAATAGGAATCAATCAAAACAATAGAGCGTTTTCCCGCCTTCATAAAGCCATAAAATTCATCTGTTCGGCCCTTCGGGCCCTTTCACAGACCCAAATTACAGAGTCCCTACCCTTTCATGTACTTCAACGAGTAAAATCCCTACCCCTTTCGGGCGGAGCCTTCCCTTATAGACCATTACAGGAAGTACCCCCCGGGGCTCCTAGACACTCGGAGAATAAGAAGGAGACTGAAGATGGAGCTGATCGCTAACGAAAGTTTTCTTTTGTTTCAATTATTGGGTTTGCATCTTTTTGCTTTTAGCGGAGCTCCCGCGCGCGCGAAGCGGAGCACCATGGGTAAGAAAATTTGGTAAACTATCCATCCCAGAAAATTTGGTTATAACGTAGCATACGCCCGTCCGTACACACACTTCATGTAAGCCGATGTCAAATGTCACAATAGATCTTGCACAACTTGACTAGCCTCTTAGTTGTGTAAGCCATCCGTATGAGTACGATTAGATTGACAGCTGTCAAAATCAGACATCCGCTGACAATTATCACATGACCGTCTCGCGGGCTCAGATAAAAGACCAGTCGTTTTGCCCCTATACATAAGCTGATATAACATGTCACACTTACCAATTCAACATAACAACGGATAAAAACGAAACTACGCCGGGCAAGGCTGTCAGTTGGCTGAGAGTCGTTTAAAGTTACATTGGCAGGCCAAATTAAGGTCAATTGACAGCTGTCAAAATGGGACATGTGCAGACCGCTATCAGAAAACTAATAACGAGGGCTCAGGTTCGCTCAGGTACACGATCTGGCATTTTCCATGCCGGACGGAAATGTCCTACTCACACTCGTAGTCTGATAATTCGAATATTCGCCGTTCTAATGAAGGTTAATTGACAGCTGTCAAACTAGAGTATACGCTGACCATCATCGCCTGAGTGGATCGCGGGCTCATTTTTCTATCTTTTGAGGTCACGTAGTGTTTAAAGTTTTGCGCTGATATTTTATTTGATCATGGGCTCAATTCGAAGCCCCATAGCTTTATAGAAAATCTATCCATCCTAGAAAATTCGGCAATCACGTGACCATACACCGACCACCCGACCTTCCGTCCGTCCGCACCACAGGCATACCAATGTTTAATCTCACACTTTCTAGCTAGTTTGGGAGCCTGCAACCTGATATTGTACATCCACGTTTTGATTAATTGACGGCTGTCAAAACAGTGTTTCTGCTGACCAGTATCGCCTGACCGTATCGCGGGCTCAGGTATCGACCCTCTGAGTTCGAGTAATATTTTGAAGGTATTCGCTGACAAGTTGCTACTTTTCAAATGATCGCAGGCTCAAGTTCAATTTTTTTAAAATGCATATGAAATAAGTCGTGTTTCATGAGCGGCACTTTTAAAATGTTGATTTCGAACTGATCTCGGACACGAAAATTCAACCGGCTTTTACATTTACATGCAGGGAAGGCAATCGCTTTAGGTAGTACTTGGTGTAAGACTGCCCAAAATGTCCCGGGCCACCGCCTACCACTGTTAGTTACTACCCATGGCTTTTGACTTTTCTCACTGTCACGCGTTGATCACGCTCTACGTCCAATTTTTATGTTCTGATTGGTCAAAATTTGACAGGTGAGTTTATGCGGAAAATTTTTGCAGCGTCTGGAAACTTGCTCACTGATAGCTGGAGCTGAGAGAGTTTTGTGTCATCTTGTGATGTTTTAAACTGTCTTTTTCTACTTGGTGTACAAAATGAAATACAGCTGCTATCAAGATTGTTCTGTAATTCGTGGCTGGTTTGTTTATTGCGCTTTTTGTTGACAAATGCACCGCTTGTCAAAGTCATTGGAAATCCGACTTCGGATGGCATCGTTTCCAAAAATGAGCTTACTCACTTGCCCTTGCTTGAGGCGTAAGAAGGTTGAAAAGTCTCAGGCGATTCTGGAACACTTGATGACCTTCAGAAGCAGCATCTCGACTGGTAAGCTTGAGCCATTATTGTTTTTGATGTCTTTTTTTTTCGGTTTCCTGAAGTCGAGCGTATGGTTTATGCGGCTCAAGTTAAAACACGAGCAATGATCTAACCTACAATAGTATCAGGTTTAAAAAGCCTTTAGACATCTTTTCAGATCTTTTGACCCGCAAATTCAAAGAAAAGGTTCCGAAGATTATTTAGTTATGATTTTGGCTGTAAACAGAAAGCTCTGAGCGATTTTCTTGCCTCGAGTTCATCTTGAAAAAGAGCGAACACCGGGAAGCTGGCTTAAAACATAAATAAGCTTATGCTTGCCTGACTCATGATTTTCTGAGACACTTTACTCTCAATACTTCTCTTCGTGAATGAAAGTTATTGTCTCTGTACGTGTTTCACCGAATTAAACTTATTTTATTGATTGTTAGTAGTCCCTCTCGCAATTTTCATCGCTGCACCGGTTGTTTCCAGTCGATCTGACCCTTGCGAAATAACTTTTGAAATTCCTAGGAATTCCTAGGAATCATAGGTGTGAATTTTCACGGTAAATTCGGACTTGGAATTCCTAGGAATTCCCAGTTTAAAAAGTTCTGGTTCTAAATTCCTAGAAATTCCCGGAAATTCCAAATGGAAATGAAACTAGACTTGGAATTCCTAGGAATTCCAACCTACAAGATTTTAAAGCACAAAAAATTCTTAGAAATTCCCAGAAATTCCTAGTAATTCCTAGGAATTCTTAGGAATTCCTAGGAATTCTAGGAGTTTACAGGTTTAACATCATGTCATCAATCAACATCCAATGCCAGGATAGTAAAGTATACGCACATTTAATGATTAATTACCAACTTAACTGGAGAAAGCATGGGAATTGCATTTAAACAAGTTTATGATAATAATGTTCAAAATCACATCTTATGGTACACGTTTTGTTTTTTAAAAAATTGAATAAAACAATTAAAGTCCTGAGATTAAATTGTTCTTGAGTCATTATTGAAAAATTGTGGGACACATTTGTAACTGGAATAATACAGCAAAAGAGTCTTGATTGAATTAATTTTACAGCGGGAACATATATGTAAAAAAAGCAAAAGTCAGGCCAACTTGCTTCCACCAAGCTTATCTGCTAAGCCCTTATTAAGCCGCTCTTTTAATTCAGGTCTCAAACTGAGAACAAAATAATGAACTGGAAACTCAGGGTGCAAAGAAAGTCAATTTTACACCTTGCCCGAAGGGCAAGCTGTAACTAACATCTACTAGCCCGAAAAAATTTTTTCGCAAGTAGAATGAAAAAATATTAATCAATTATTCCTTTCTTAATTACACTGTAAGTTAATATATTACTTGACAAAAGCAATAAATAACCGTAAAAGTGTGAACTATAAGTAGACCTGGTAAGATATTCTTGACACAGTACACTAGTACAATAATTCAGTGTTAACCTTTTGATTTAAGTGAAGCTAACGGAATTAAGGGCCAAATAGCAGACAAACGTTTTTCTTTGAACACAATGCTAAAAACTACATATTACTGGTTAACCTCTAGTGAGAATGTCCAAATACTCAAGGTTCTGTAACGCTTTGAGTTCAACGCAATATTCGCTCCCGATGTCTTCACACTGTAGAATTTTTTCTAAGTCCACCGTAACACGTGAGTGGTTAACATACATTTTAGACATTTTACAATTTAGAAAAACATTCTTTAAGAAAAAAACGGCGTTGA